GTGCAGTAGCGCTGGCTTGCAATCACTGTGCATGATTTAGGGGTACAGGTTTACAGCTCTTCAGACGAATGTGACCACACCACACTCACCAGCAAGGCTCTAGTTTTTTGTTTGTAAAATACACTTTAATGCAGTTGAAATAAATTTATTCAATGTAAGAAAGCCCACAGTGAGCAAAAATATCAAGACTTTAAATATTAAAAGTGGCTCCAATGTTCCCTTTTGTCTGAGGGGGTGTCCTAGGCCGTCCGGGCCACTATGAAGTACAGATGGGAGTCTTGTAAACAGACATGCATTTCTCGGTTCCGAGGTGGCAGTGGAAGCCGGGGTGCCGGTGTGGTCACGTGTCCCCCTGGGCTACAGACAGCCGACTCCCCTTTGCACCCTCACAGAGGACAGGGACAAGGAGCTCTCTGGGGTCCTTTTCTACCAGGGGACTCAGCCCACTGCTGAGGGCTCCACCCTCATGATCTGTGACCTCCCACCGCCTCACCCCATCACCTTACCTGAGGACTTCAGTCAATGGGTTTGGGGGCTTGGGGACACAAGTGTCGTCCATGACAGGGTTCAAGGGCTACTAATTGCCCATAAGGAGCAGCTGCTGGGACATGGGAGGAGAGGACCAGGTTCTCCCCAGCTCCGGGAGACCAGGCTGGCCCTGCCCTTGCTGGCAGGGCGCAGTCCCCGGGAACCTGGGCAGGACGCCCCTCCTGGTGCAGTCCGAGACTGAGCGCCTCCGGGCCCACGGCGGGAGCCAGAGCTGGGCAGACAGAGGCCGGGCGGGACCGCAGAGCAGCCCGGGCGAGTCCAGGAACCACATCCTCCAAGGGAAGGCGGAGGCGCAGCAGGCAGCCCTCGCGGCAGCTCGGCGGTCAGCCTGTAGCCACGGGAGGGGACCGGCCCAGGTCGGAACGCCCGGCCGCAGGCCCCAGAGTCACCTTGCCCGCCCTTCCCGCCCCAGCGCTCTGTTTCGCCTCAGTTCATTGGGCTCCGTCCTCCGAGGAACCGTCTCCACCAACTCACAGCTGTAGGCGCAGTTTTCAGTCGCGCTTTAGCCTGAAACTATCACCACTCGAGGGGAAGCACGTCCCTCCCCGGCCCCGAGGCCCGCACGGCTGCAGAGCAGGTGCACATGGGGGCGCCCAGGCCCGGCCCTGCCCGCGGCGGCGACTGGGGACCTGGCTTCTCTGCGCTGTCCGTGGGGACGATCATGAGCCCAGGGGTTTCACGGAGGCGTATGACGGACGATGTGGTCACAGTTTTAAGTCAGGGTCAGTCGAGGGGGCCGTTCCCTCCGATGTCCTTTGCCCCGAGCTCAGATCCTTTGCTTTCTGGCACCTCCGCGGAGCGCCCTCCCGGGGCCGGCCGCTGCCGTCTCTCTCCTCACTGGGTCCTTCCTGGAGGTCTCCCTTCAGGTGCCGGATTCGACTGGGAGGGCACGTCCCCAGTGCTCCGCCATGGGCCCAGGTGCACCCGCTTGGCCCGCCCGGAGCTGGGAGGGGCTGTGTCTCCCTCCTCCTGAGGATGGGGGTCTCACCTTTGTGGATGCTGCACCTGCTGAAATATTGTCTCAACAGGTTCCCATCAAAATCAGACAAGTCCTGCTCCCTACATAGGCCTGAGGAGAGCCGGGATCCCGGGGCGGGGCCAGCAGGAAGGAGTATGCAGTCTGCACGCTCACCCAGGACAGGCCTCTGCCGCTCCTGGCCTCTGCTCTTACCTGTAGAAAGCAGGCTACAAACACCTGCCCTGCGGGATGGTTGTGAAGTTAAGTGTGCAAGGTTCTGGGCATGCCGGGACACAGCTGGCAGATGCTATTACTTTTATTTCTACTCTAGACCCTTCCCTAAAATCTAGACTTTTTCTTTTGTAGGATTGATGAACCCACATTAGGATCCTGTGTTCCAGGCGCGCCCGTGTGTGCCCTGGCTGGAAACAGCACTGAAGGGTCACTTACACACACACGGACCTCTCTGGGCCTGGATCCTGCTCCCCTTGCTGCGCCCCCACCTGCTGCCCCCACCTGAGCGTGCTATGCAAGCAGGGCAGCCACCTCGGGCAGGACTGGCCGCCCTGCCCTGCCACCCCCATTTGCCCTTGTCTCACCACCTGCTCAGATCGCTGGGGAATAAGGCTGCTGAGTGGCAGCCAGCTCAGGGACTCCTGCCAAGGTCTCCATTCTTCCTGACTACAGGGAACATTCTGGAAGGGAACCAAGGTCAATACCACACAAATGTCTCCATGGCAACAGCGGGTCCTGGCAGACTCAAAGGATGTTGGTGATTGGCCCAGTCTCAGGTCAAGTCTTTGTTGATCCCCCTCTGGGGATGGGGCCAACTTCATCCTTACTCCCTCTGTCCTGAACCTGGGGTCACCCGGGGAGCCCCAGTGGCTGCCCACCCCCCAGCAGGCATGGGTGTAGACACAGGCGGTCTGCGTGGGGTATCGCTCCGTCTTATGCACCTTTTCAGCTCTCAAATGCCTTGACAGGCCCCCGTGGCCCCATGTTCTCCTCTGCAATCAACCACCAGCCAGCTCTGTGCTCTCGGTGGTTTGAAAAGCCCCCTGGCCTGACCATGGCAGAGGGCCCAGAGAGGCAGCCCCACTCTAACAGCACCACACTCGGCCTCCCCGCCCAGGGCATCTGGAGCCAGCCCATGGCTGGGGTCAAGGGCCAGGCGTCCTCAGGACTGATGGGGGAGGCACGCTTCTTGTCACTGCTGGGCAGGAGCCTCGCCCGGCCTCACGGGGAGTCCCAGGAATAAAGGCTAAAACAAAGGGGGACACCCTTGGGAACCAGGGACAGCAGCTGCCTGGGCTGAGGGGCTTGGCACTGGGGTTTAGCAAACACAGGAGCACAGCTGAGGGCCCCAGGGCAGGGCGGGGGTGAGGGCGAGGGTGTAGCTGACCTGACCGTGCTGCCCGCAGCGCGGCAGGGAGCGGTCAGCGTACACCGTGCCCCGGACACCGTGCTGTGCACCTGTTACCTTAACAGAGCCGAGCGGAGCTCAGCGTCCACCCCTTAGAGGAGGAGACAGAACCTGGGGAGCTCAGGGATTCACGAGGCCCCTTGTTGCGCAGCTGGAGCAGGGAGGGCAGCAGGTGGGCCTCCGCCCGGCCAGCTCACAGGGACCTCTGGGGGCCAATGAGCACCTGAACCCGGCAGCTCGGCCGGAGCTGAGCTCTACTCCAGAGAGGAAATAAGGATACGAACGAGCAGACAACCCCTCCCCCCACCCTATACACGCAGTGTTCTCGCATCTTTAACCCCAAAAATCAGCCAGGCCCCAGTCTCAGGTGGAGATCACCCCTTACACCTGACGGCTGGCGGCGCGGCAACCAGGCACGGGCCCGGCAGGCTCCTTGGGTTCAGGCAAACAGAACCGTGGAGCCCTCGGTAGATCTGACAGGGCCTCCAGTGCTGAAGCAGGCCCGGACACGGGCAGACAGGCGGGGGGCGGGGAGGCGGGGGAGCCGGGGAGGCTGTGGGCAGGCAGCAACTGAATACCCCGCCCCCCAATCTCTACGGGGTCTCCTGCTTCTCTCTGGGGTTCTCTCTCTGTCTCCCCCTATCTCCTGGCCCAGGCTCTGTACTGAAAGGGAGGTGTGTCCCGTGCTCACACCTTTCGGCCCAGTGCGTGCCCGAGCTCATGCTCCCAAGGGCCTTTTGCACCACCACGGTATCACGTGTGGACAATGAAACCCGAGAAATAAGCAAGGCCCAGATGGTGGTCATCGAGACTAATGAAGGCAGGAGAGAGAAAGCCTGGTTTAACCCATTTTCCGTACCGTGGGGTTTGCTTTTCTGCCCGGCTGGCCCCCAGGCCTCCCCCACCCACCGGCCTTCAGCCCTGAGAGGCCTTGGAGGGCACTGGCCCTGACCTGCAATGCGCAGGCCCTCCCGGGCCAGGCCTGCCTCTTGGAGCCTGCCACAGAGTTGGCCCCTCGCTCCTGGGGTGGCTGCTGCTCACCCAGGACAGCCCCTCAAGATAGGGACCACCTTTGTACCCCAGTCCCACCTTGCACCCTGAGTCTCAGGAGAGGCCCTGGTCACCAGTGGTGCTGAATTGAGCCAAAGGAGCCGGACTCGCCCTCCCTGGAAGGTGGTGGCAATGGCAGGTGTGTCTGCACGCGGAGCGGCCGCACCTGGAGGCCCATGCTCCACCCCGGACTGGTAAGGAGCGCCCAGCACGGGGTGGTGGCAAGGAGCAGCTGGGGAGCATGCTGGGTGAGCCCGAGTGGGGTCGAGGGTGAAGGACCACAGAGTGGGCCAATCCACCCATCAATCCCCGCTCGGTGAAGACACGAAGGGCAGCAGAACGGGCGACTCTGCCCGTGAAACCACCCCTCTGGGCACTCTGGGCAGGAAGAGACCCTGAGTCTTGCTGGAGCCACTTCTCTGACCACTTCCACACAGCCGTGGCGTAGGGTAGGTAAAAGTATCAGGCTTTTCTGCCCTCCCGCCATCAGGATAGAGGATGGATCCTGCGGTCCTGAATGCATGCCTGATGGCGGCACCTGGAGTGGGGTGTGGGCAGAGGTAGATGGGATTCACCTGGGCTAAGCCTGGGCTTATAAGGGCGGCATCATGGGGATGCCAGCAGAAGCCGAAAGAAGCAGAGAAGTGGAGAAGCAAGGAAGCAGAAGCAGAACCACGAGAGAGCAGAGCAGCGGAGACCACCAGAGAAGGCCGGAGAGCCCAGAAAAAGTGAAGACTTGCTGGGGGCTGGGAGGCCTGCCAGCCTCCTGGCCCCCCAGCACCCCTGCCTGCCATGTACCTGGTGAATCCCAACAAAAGCCTGAAAAGCCACTGAGGGCTCCTGGACTCTCTCCTCCTTTACCCCGTCTGCTGGATCAGAAAACCTGCTCAGTGCCCATTCCTGCACCTACACGTGGCCTGAGGTGTGGCTCTGGCTGGGCCCTGGAGGAAGACGACTCACCCCAGGCTGGAGGGGGGCCCATGGCAGGCCTTCAGGGAAGGAGGGGTCACCCGAGGAATAATCACCAGCAGCCAGAGGGAAACTCAGTTTATTGAGCACCTGTTCATGCCGCGTGTCACACACGTACACTCAATGCAATTAGCTCAGAAGCCTGGACGCACCGATTCCCCGGCTCTGGCCGGTGCCCCGGGCCTCCCACTGTCAGGAAACCCAGGACGGTCCCTGCACCCTGACATTATGATTAAAGTGAGTAAAGACATGGGAGGAGCTCAAAGGAGCCCCACCCGCAGCTTAGAAGCCAGTCACGTGCAGGCACTGTCTGCACGCCAGCGCCCCTGTCTTTGGTCCAGAGCAGGATGCTGAGGCCTCTGCCGGCCCAAGATGTGACATCACAGCCCTCTGCCAGCTTGTCACAGATGGCTGCTGGCTCCTGAGGACGATGGCCCCCACCCCGGGCTCTTCCCATCAGGAGGCGAGACAATTAGAGTAACTGCAAATTCCTTCTCCGCCCGCTTCATATTCTCGGCCAGAGAAGTGGGGACTTGGAAAATGTCCCCCCAGGCAACCTCCGGGCATGGCCAACCCAGAACAGAAGCTCATGCTTATTGCAGTTTACCTTTGACAAAAGAGGTAAAGTTGGCAAGTGTCTGGCCGGGGTTTCATAGCACCACGACGAACCTTAACATCAAGGCTACACTTCAGAGGGGCCCTCAGAGGAACCGAGAAATATCCAAGCCCACAGAACAAGTTTCCCAACTCAGAGAGGGAAAAACACAAAGCATTGCCATATGAAATAATAATTAACAACAACATCAGTAATAATAATAATAATAATAATAATAACCTGACCGACCGGCAGCATCTGTTGGTTTTAATCACATTGAGGTCTCTTGAAAAAGAAAAAGCAAAACGATCCACGAAAGAAGAAACAATGGCTGAAATGTTCCAGGACCTCTGCTTTCCCACTGAGCTCTGAGTTCAAGTTTCAGAAATTCACCGCTGACGCCTGGCCTTCCAGAAGCTTCTAAGGGCCCTTCACATTCCTGGGGCGGGCAGCGAGGCTGGCAAAGTAGGCACACTGGGCGGGGTCACACTGGCCAGGGGGCCCAGGAGGCCCTGGGGGGCCAGGATGTCCAGCTGGTCCTGTCTCTCCCTGGGGGCCAGGACCCCCAGGGATCCCATCTTTAGCATAACCAGGTTCTCCAGGTTGACCTGGTACAAGGAACAAGAGAAGCAGAGTGGTTCAGTGCCTTCTGGAACGTGAGCCCTGTCTGCTCTCACTGTCCATTCAGCACAGACGGGCCCAGTACATGCCCAGAGGGCACATCCCCCTGTCTGGGCACTGCGTCCTGGACAGAGAACAGCAAGGAGCAGGGGCACCTCCACCTGCAGAAGGGGCTGCCTGACTGGCCTGGGACAGGAATCAGGGGCCCTTGGAGAGGAATGAGCGAAGCCGAGGTTGGGCGGAAGCACCTAGGAAATGCACCTGAACTAGGTGCGGGCCACCAAGTCCCCCTCATTAACCAAGGACCCACTCCCCATCCCTAAAGACTGGTGACATTCCCCCATCTGCACTCTCCTAGCTTGCTCTAGATGTTAAATGGAACCACGTACCTGGATGACCCTGACCATCACGTCAAGGTCAAAGACAGTGTAACTCGGACGTGAGTAAGTGACACTAAGCCCAGCATGTAGACCTGGAAACACAGCCTCCAGCCAGCCTTCCGCGCCCCCTCCTATTAAGCCTCCACGTGTCGAACAAACCTACCTCCCCTCTGCTCTGGCCATGGGAGCTCAGCGCTGAGTGGGGTCTTAGCAGTGGCCGTGAACCCCGTCTCGTGGCTCTGTCGTCACCCCCCCCAAGGGAAGCCTGAACCCCCCATAAAAGAAACAAAAATAGACTTTTCCTCTGAAAGGTCCTTAGCCCTTCTGGGAATCCCCTGCCCACTCTGTCCGTGGCCATCCACTCTAAAGCCCTGCCACGCCGCATGTCTCGTTCCTGATCTCCGCCTCCCAGCGGGGTGACTGCGCCTCTCCTAGGGCTCTGCCCTCCAACCTTTACTTGGAATTGCCATACTTGAAAAATACCCGTCATCTTATAAGTTTATAATATAGAATGCTTATAATAATAATATAAAATGATATTAATATAAATACAATTAATAAAATGCCATAATAAGCAGGCAAGCTGTTAAAAATGAGCTTTTATCACTGATTTCTAATTACCTTCTCATGAGAATAAAAATACACGCCCACTGTAGGGCACTTGGAAAATCCAGAAAATATAAATCCAAAATTAAAATAACGTACAGGTTTAATATTCAGAAATGACCTCAGGCAATCCCATGAACTAGACTTAAATAATAATAGTTTTAGTGAGGAGGAGTCTGATACCAATTCAGCCTAATTCCTTCCAAGTTCTTTTGTGGTCTTGGAAGGTGCCCGCAGCTTTATTCTAGAACTCTCTCCCCAGACCACCTAGAACCAGACCACACCAGGGCGTCCCTTGGCCCCAAGCCACCTGCCCCTTGGCCGGCACGTTCTGAGAAACAGTATCGGGTACCGGCAGGTGCAGAGTGCAACGGGAGGAGGGGGCAGCAGGCTGAACCCACACGGGCGGTGTCTGCACCAGGCCCTGGCACCTACAGGGCTCCACACGCACACCCTGGGGTCCACAGGGGGCCTCCGTGCACTCGGATTTATCCAACCCGCATGTCCTAGGACCTGTCACTCATGGGGTGCACTTCAGCTCCTAGGACCTGTCACTCATGGGGTGCTCTCCAGCTTCACCTAAGTCAGGAAGCTGGCATTTTAGAAGATTTCTTAAAAACTAACCAGCACCGGGCCACCCTGGTGGCACAGGGGATAAGTCTCAGCACTATGAAGCTGTCTGCAGCCACTGCAGCACGAGTTCAATCCCGACCAGGGAGCTACCCACAGGGTGCAGCAGACCCCTCCTGTCTCCCCGCTGCTCCCCTCAGCAGTGTGTTTCAGTGGATCCGCCTGTTCTGCTCCCCACTCTGTCTCTGGTGAATCCTCTCACCTCCCGCAACTCCGGCCTGCACCCCAGTTCTTGTATGCATAAATAAATAAATCGTTAAAAAAAAACAAAACAGCATCCTCTGTCTCCACATCACTGAACCTGACCCTCCCTGCCGTCCTGAGGCCATGGCGACTACAAGGGGGGAGCCCTGTGACCCCCACTCCATGGGGAGGGCAACCCCAGCTGAGGTTCCACGCACTAGTCCTACCTGGGATTCCAGGGGGGCCCATCTCGCCTCGGAGGCCAACTCCAGGCACACCTGAGTCACCTTTGGCTCCTCGCTCACCTGGAGGGAAAAACCAACACCTCGGGTGGTGGCGACCCTGGCAAGGACCAACAGGAGCCGCCGAGCCACACCCGTGCCGGGGCCCGGAGACCGGCGTCCCTCGGCTCCTCCTCAGCGCCGAAGGGGACATGGCCATCGGTGCTGCTCCCCGGGCCCCGAGCAGCTGCGTTGGTGACGGGCGAGGAGGGAACGTAATTTTGCCAAACTGCCCGGCATGGCCCCTCCGTGACGCACGGAGCTGCCCCAGGGCGCCAGCCGCTGCGCGGAGGCCTCAGAAGCTGCCCCTCCATGGACGGCGTCTCTGCCCTGGTGCTGCACCGGCCTCACGGGGCCCCCGCACCCACCTCCCAGTCTTCACTCACCTTTGGGGCCCATGGGTCCCGAGGGTCCTTCCAGGCCACCCTGCCCGGGCCGTCCCGGCTCCCCCACGGGCCCTGCGCGGCCGGGAAGCCCGTCCTTTCCAGGGGGCCCCGGGAGCCCGGGCCTGCCTTGAGATGCCTTCACATGTGCGGGGGGCATCTGGGCCAGGAGGTAGGCGAGCTTGACTGTGGGGGAGCACAGACAGTTTGTGAAGGGGGGGACAGGACAGAGGGCCTGGGGTGACTCAGTCACAGCTCAGAGCTGCAGACGCAACAACGACCACGAAGCAGCACGGGACCGGCACCCGTGCGCCCCACACCAGTGCACCCCGCAGCCGTGCACCCCAGGTGGCCGGGCCACAGGGACTGGACCGGCCCGTGGTCCCGTCACGGCCTCCAGAGCCAGGCAGCCTGAGCTGGGGCCCCTGCCGCCGCTGCAGCCGTTGGCGCTGGCAGGACCGTGACGAGGAGAGCGGCGGCAGCAGTGGTGACCTGGACGCAGAGCCCCCTCGGAGGCCGCAGGACCCGCCCCGGGGCATCCACTTCCCACCTTCCCTTTCCTCCACCCCAGCTCAAGGCCACTGGACTTCCAGGGCTTGTCTGACAGTGCATGAGGCCGGGCCACGGGGCTCATATTCCGAGCTGTGTCCACCCCGACTCAGCATCTGACACTGGGTTGACGCAAAAATCACCATCTGCCCCGTGGCCACGCGGCTCAGGGCGCCTCCCCTCTGGCCCCCTGCGCCTGGCCTCCTGTGGGCTTCCCCTCCCCTGCCCTGGGGGGCCGGCACGTTCTCCTCCCTACAGCGCCCTTCGCAAGGGAGGCTGGAACTTGGGGGCTGAGAGCCGGTTTCTGCTGCGCGCTGCCTGCACGCAGGCCCCGGCCCTTAACGGCTCTTCACAGCCCTTCGGCCTCGGGGAAGCTGCCGTGGTGTTTCCGTCCCGACAATCACAGGTCACGGGGAGACGCCCACGAGCCAAGGGGTGTCAGCGCTTGGAAGCCTCTCCTCCCCCTCCCTGAGGCCTGCTACACACCGGCTGGTGCCAGGCCTTGGCTGCCCCCCTCCCCTGGGGTCTTCACACATATTTCAAAGTTCTGGGGTCCCGCCCCTTCTCTGGCTCCCATCCCCCCACTCCGGGAAGCCCGCCCTCCTCGATGCCTGCCCTCAGAGCTGGGCCAGCTGCTCCATCTGTCCACCTCCACCGCCCCCGCGCCAGGTGAAATCACGGAGCTCTTCCTGCATGTCTGCTTGCCCGTCTGCCTCTGCCCGGGACTGTGAGCTCTGGGAGGCCGACAGCAGCCGGGGCAGTAGCTGCTGCTGGGTGGTGCGCACAGAGGAAATGGCGGAGCTGGGCCTGCCGGGGGTGCTCTCCTTACAGGGCATCGGCAGACGCTGCAGCGTCCCTGGGCGGCCAGGCCTGCAGGGTCCCTCCTTCGCCATCTTCTCACGGGAGCGCCTGGACCCGGGCGACGGCTGAAGGGAGACCTGCAAGGCCTGCTTTGGGGCTCTGGCCACACCCAGGCTGTCTCAAGGCTCTGAGGATGCCAGCTGCTCACCTTCCAGCTGTTTCCCGAGCTCCTCCTGGATGAGCCGCCTCAGCGTGTCCAGGGATGGAGACTCCCCCTGGGGGAAGGGAGGGGGTTAGCTCCTGCCACCCAGGGTCCCTGACAGCTCAGACCCCAGGAAGGGGCTGAGCACCCTACACCCTCCTCCCAGCCGGAGCTGCTACCCCTTTCCCTGGGTCCCTCCCTGCAGACCCCCTCCCCTTAGCTGGGTCTCCTGCGAAGGCCACCCACACCCTCCCCAGCGCTGGCCCTGGGAGGTCTCTTGGGCGACGTCCTGTCTAGCTCCCTGCTCACAGGCCACCTCCTGCAAGGGCTCAAGCTTCATTCCCCCCAACTGGCCACTCGGCCACTCTGGCCGCCAGAGCTCTGGGCCCTGTGCCGGAGCCCCGTGCTGTCCTGGGGCCCGGTTTGCAGACACTGGTGAGGGTGGTCAGAGAAGCAGATGTAGGATTCTTAGAAGAACCTGCTAGGGCAGAGCTCCCGCCTCTGCCTGCTCTCTTGTGTCCGACCCCTCAGGGCAGTGGCCACCCTCAAGGGCAAGCACCCCACCGGGCCTGGCCCAGACCCCCAAGAGGTGGACCCCATCTCCCCTCTCCTCCTTTCTCCTCTGGCCAATAACCTCTTAGGAGCGTCCCGAGTGCCCAGCACACACGGGAGCAGGCCGGGAGAGCGTGGCCAGGGCCCGAGGGCTTTGAGCCCTGCTTCCGCGGCCCCCCCAGACGTGGTCGAGGGGGGTGCAGGCTGCCCGGCTGCCTCCAGGGTGGCTGACACCCAGGTGACCACAGCCGCCAGGGAGGGCTGGAACCTCAGAGCCAGAGCAGGCCCAGAACCTCAGAGCCGGGCCCCACGGAGCCCCAGGTGTGAGGCAGACCAGCACCCTTACCCTCAGTCCTGGGAATCCTGGCTGGCCTGGTGGCCCTGGGGGCCCAGCTGGCCCGTTCTCCCCTGGTGGTCCTTGGGGACCCATCAGGCCCGTGTGGCCTTTGTGGCCTGGGATGCCAGGGTCCCCAGGCTGACCCTTCCCACCAGGAGGTCCTTTGTCACCTTTGATGCCAGGATCTCCCTAGAGGGGAAGAAGTGTGTCATGAGCCGAGGATAGAGGCGCCCTGGGGCAGACGGCACCCCTCCAGCTTCCAGGGGCGCCCCAGTCCTGGGGGGAGGCTTGGTCCTGGCACACCCATGACACGGAGCCCGCTGCACAGATGAGGGGTCCGGGAGACAAAGCGCTGCCCACGGTCACACAGCAGCCTGCAGCCAGGCGGCATCCTGTGGGCAAGAATCCAGCCCCGCGTGCCGTCCAGCCGCGCAGCGAGAAGACAGCCACTGCCTGAGCCGCAGGCCGCCCGCGCTGCTGGCCGCCCCGGTCAGTTCCGCACTGTCAACTGGAGGGACAGTGCCCTGTTCAAACCGGCGGCTCACTCATGGCTCCCATCTCTGCCCTGGGCCCTGGGCATGGCACTGCCCGGGTCCGCTGCCTCCCCACCGCTGACCAGGACTGGGGTCCTGGAGCGGAGACATGGGGACCACGGGCTGCCCGTCCCTGCCCCTGTGCACCTGACCAGCAAACCCTGGCTGGGTGGGTCAGAAAGGGTGTGCCCCACTGAGGTCCTCGGGTGATGGGCCGGGCAGAAGCCAGCCACGAGGGGGTGATGGCGCAGCTGTGGCAGTGGACATGCCCCAAGCTGGGGACGAGGACACACCTGCCACCCACTGCCACGCAGAATCGCCACCTACGGCGTCCACAGCGGGGAGGAGCCGGGGAGAGAGTCCGGCGGTGCGGGGTCAGGAAAGGGTAAATGCATGTCTCTACCACGCGCGTTTCTCTCTGCACCGAGTCTGGGGAGACCAGGAGAAATGGTGGTGATGGGCCGTGGGTGGGGACGGGCTGGCGGGCATGGCGGGCGCGGGCCTCTGTGCAGTCGGCATTAAGCAAGCATCTGCATTAACAAAAGCCAATTTGGCCAGCCCCGTCACCCGCAGTCCTCAGGGTGCATTCGGGGTGCACCCGCGAGCCGAGCCCTACCGTCCACAGCGCCAAGTTTCCGATGCAGGAAACGTCTCAAGGTCGCGTTGCCCTGAGAGCTCTGGACCGTATTTCAAACGGCCCAGGCGCGGGAAGGGCGGGAGCCCCACCACTCTGGCAATGCGCCCTGAAACCACTTACCGGGAGAGGCCACCTCTCCACGGATGGATGGGACTCGAGGACAGATTGATGTTCCCCGTCTGGGTCCTGACTCCTAAGCTACGCCCCAGCCGTCACCCCCAGGGATGCCTGGGTGACAGGGCCAGGGGGAGCCCGAGGCTTCTCGGCCACAGCCCTGCCCCCACGCTGGGTGCCAACCCAAGGTGCCACAGCCCCAGGACGAGGCGCTGAAGTCACAGAGGAGGGGGGACTCCTAGCCCCTCGGCCCCCACTTTTGTGTCTGGCCTGCAGGGGGAGCCCCATCCGTGCCCACCCTGCTCCAGGACGCTACAGGGAAAGCAGGGGAGGGGGTGGTGGGGGCCATGAGGAGCCTGTGGGCCAGTGAGACCCGGCCGCCTGCTCCCAGAGAGGGCGTCACCAGGTCAGGACGCGCCCCTCCCCGCTGGCGTTTCTGTTTCTGCAAAAAACAAAAGTGACTCCCCCCGCCCGCTGTTGTTTTATGGAGAAATGAAATGTACTAAAGGTTCTCTGGGGGCAGCGCCAAGGCGATTCATTATGGGAAAATCTGTTCCCTTGTCACCTCCAGCGACAGAGCTGGCTCCTGGCGCATCGACTCGCGCGCCCAGCCATCAGGCTCCGCGCTCGGGCCCACGGAGCCAGCTCTGTCACCGTCTTGCCTTTGAATTTGTAATTGCGATGATTTTACGCCTTAAAATAACCACCAAAAAGGAAAAGGAAAATAGCAGCATGGGCTGCAACTGCATGGGGGAGCCCCGCCCTTTGGGGCGCCTGGTTTCCCAGGGCGGGAGCACAAAAGCCCCCCCACACGCTGGCTTCCCGGGCCGGGCTGTGTGCCAGCACCCCGGACCCAGCCCCCAGGCCCCCAGGAGGAGGTCACCGTCACAAGCCCGCACCTACCCTTTCTCCCCGGAGTCCTGGCTCTCCGGGCGTCCCAGGGGCACCCTGGGGAGACACGAGAGAGAGAGAGAGAGAGAGAGAGAGAGAGAGAGAGAGAGAGAGAGACAGTGAGGGAGAGAACAGTCCATGACCTGGCCATCCTATGCCATCTGCCCCCCGGACAGGGACTTCCAGGAGCCCCTCCACTGCCTGGACCAGAGGCACCGCGCCGTCTCTCCTCCGACCTTGCCCCACACCCCTAACCCCCTGTCTCCCCAGGTGAGCGTCTGGAAAGCAGGATCTGGCCTCAGCACCTCTGGGCTTCACCGAGCTCCCACCCCGGGGCCGGCCCACACGTCGTGGGTTTTCAAAAGCCGCAAACATAGAGCAGAGGGACCCGGCGGCTGCCGGGCGGGGGGTCTGTCCAGGCAGGACCCACGGAAGCAGGAGGCTCTGGGCTTGAGCACCAAGAGGCAGAGGGGCCAGGCGGGGGCCAGGGCGGGGGCCAGGGCAAGGAGGGAGGGAGCGGGACCAAGCGCGAGGACCTGAGCGGCCAGATGGGGAGGAGGTGGATGGCTCCAGACAGAGCCGGGAGGCGAGAGGGAGAGGCCACAAAGATGGCCCCGGGCTGGCCGGGCAGCTAGGGCGCGGGCCTCGTTCGGGAGGCATGAGGGACGCCCCGACGATGACGCCGCCCGCGCGCCAAGCCCCGGAGACCCAGCAGGCACCACCCAAGAGAGCAGCCCTTGTCTCCCCAGGAAAGGAGAAGGGGCGGTACTTGCCTCCTTGCCGGGGCCTCCCCGCTCTCCAGGCTCCCCCTGCGAAAGAGAACACCTTCAGGGCCCCGAGCAGCAGCTCCCAGCGGGCCCAGCCCTCCGCAGCAGCCCCCTTCCAGCAAGGACAGACACCCCAGGGCGCCCCGACAGGGCTCAGCTCGTGCCCAGGAAACACGACGGTGCGCCCCGGCTCTGGGGCTTCCCACACATAGGACAGAGGTGGCCCCACCCAGAGGGCCTCGGGCCATCAGCTTCTGTCCGGCCGTGCTGGGCGGGCCCTCGGGCGCAGGCTGGTGTGAGACGGCACCAGGCATCAGCCCTGGGGTCAGCCCGTGCGGTTTTGGCTCTGCCACGCACGGCTCTGTGGCCGTGGGCTACCTCCTTACAATTTCCTTAGACCACCTGTGCCTCCGTTTCTCCATCTGTAAATGGGAGGAGCCGCTGTGCCTGCTACAAATAACCCACCGCCGAGCTCAAAGAAGGACAGAGCGGCGAGCTGGAAGGGCAGGGACCGGCGGCTCCCCAGGAGCCAGATTATAAAGAAGGGGCCGCGGGCCAGAGGGAGGCCTGGCCCAGCAGGGACAGCTGAGGCAGGGGCTCAGGTAAGACCAGCGCACAGAGCCACACAGGGGCTGGGGCTGCGGGGCACAAGGGCCAAAGAGGGGTCACCTTGTCGAGCAGCTGGGCTGGCAGGGGGCATTCTCAGATGCCAGAAACTAGCTGGGGGGCGGCAGGATGAGGGGTGTTTTCACGTTTCCAAGGTGATGTGCAACCCTCACCCTCAGCTAGCAGTTCAAGGTGTGATTTGGCAAGTGAAGCACCGGGGGAGGCTGAGCAGGAAGGGACCCCTCCACACCCTGGCGGGACCCCAGCAGTGCTCAGTGCATCGAACTGTCAACGCAGGAGCCAGCCCCACGCCCTGGGGAGCCCACACGAGCAAGCCCGCATGCCCGAGCCTGCTGCACCAAGTCCTCACCTTCAAGGCGATCCCCACGCCCTCCAAGGTCAGGGCCAGCATCAGGCACTGCCCACCACGACCCTCAGTGCCCAAGTCACACATTTGCCGTGCTTGGGGGAGGGACGCCGCTAAGCCCTCTACCTCAGGCAGCTCACCCAGTCCCGGAGGCGGTGCTGGGGCAGTGAGGAAACCGAGGCACAACCTCCAGGCGGAGGCGGGAAGCTGAGCCTCTGGCCCAGCATGACGCATGGGCTCAGGCCTCAGCCGATGTGCTGCATCTCCCAGCTCAGAAGGCAGTGAGAGCACACGCCAGGCCCGAACCTGGGCGGGGCACAGGCGGGCAGAAGTGACCCGCTGACCCGCGTGGGAAGCCACACCTGGAGCCAGGCGTCTCGCCCCCAGGGGTGCTGTGCTTACCGGGGGCCCGCGGGGGCCCAGGAAGCCTGGAAGTCCGGGGCTGCCATTTTCTCCTTTGCTTCCCTTCTGTCCCTGCAGGGGAAAGTGGGGTTAATTCTTCAAGGTCAAGTGCCAACGCAAGCACTTGAGTTGGCTTTCCTGTAATGGAGAGGAGTGGTTGGGGGCACCCCCGGAATGGGGAGAGCATGGTGGGGGCATACCAGGGCCTGGGGAGCAAGAGGAGAACTGTCTCTACACCCCAAGTGGTGTTTCCATTCAAACAGCAGAGATTAAACGGGGGGAATATTGAACAGAAACAGCCCGATGTATGTGTGACACCTCCACCTCCAGGCAGCCCTCCAGGGAGGCGCTTTGTACGTCTACACGTCTGCCCAAGAAGACAGGGAGGCTCACAATTTGGTGCATCACTTCTGGACAAGACTCTTTGGGAACCTGCCACCTTTGGGCTTTCTGGGAAGCTGCCAGCTTCTGGGGCCTCTTCTGAATCAGCTCTGCTTTGGGGTGACTCTCCTAGGGCCCACCCCTAGCCCATCGGCTCTGTCTCACCAGTCATGGCGAGCCCCACACCATGGCTCCTGGGGGTCACAACATTTGTTAAACTTTGGCCTCCTTGGGCACCAGTGTCCCTGACCCAGCGGGAAGGGGGTCTCCACTAGGGTGAGCAGCCCCTGCTTTGCCAGGGGAGGATGTGCACCCCAGGATCGGGATTTTGTGCTTAAGTCAATGGCTCCTGGCAAGCGGGGGTGGGCTGGTCACCCCGGTTTTCACAGTGACAGCAGTAGCTGGTCAGCCTGGTCTGCCCCTGCACAGGGCAACTGCCCTTGACCCCACAGCCCTTCTCAACAGGTCGCTAATCTTAGCAAATGCCAGTGCAGGGAGGTGGGGCTGGGAGGACACGCGTGGAGACCTAGACCCCAGACCCCATCCAACCATCGTCCCCCATCTGTTCCGGCTCTGAACCCCAAGCCCCACAGCCTCTACTCAATGCCCAGGACTCTGCTGGTGACGCATGCGCCTCTCCTTCCTCCACCCATGGTCCTTCTACTCTCCCCGTGGTCGCCCCGCAGCCAGCAGGGGACACCGTCAGCCAGGCCTGGTGTCACGCACACGCTGTCACCTGAGGCGTGAGGGTTGGTGCGCCTGACCCTGTCCTTCACCCTCTGCCATCAGACACCTGCCCCCACTGTCCACATCCTCCGTGTCTTGTGTTGCTCTGCCCGTCCGGGTGCCCCGGCCGCAGACCACGGAGCCCCGTGCACCCCCATGTGCATTTTCAGCTCCAGGAAGGGCCTTTCCTGGCTCTACTGGCCTCCAGTGCGTTTCCACCATTCAAAGCCCACCTGAGCCCAGGATGGCTGCAGGGCTAGAGACCCCACGGTCTGCGAGGACCCCCACGCCATGAAGCTCGCCCCTCCACCACCACAGCAGGCCTGAGGCTACTCACGGGGTTTCCTGGAGAGCCAGCGTCTCCGGGGAGGCCAGGGGAGCCATTCTTACCCTGGAGGAAGAGACAGAGGTGACGGCTCTGCCGGGCCTCACGGAGCAGACTGACGCGGGTTGCCCGATGGGAGGCCCCGACAGCAGGCCCCGAGCTGCTGCGGCGCAGGTGGCTCTCAGCCAAACGCGTCATGGCCGACCTGTCGAGGGACCCGCGCGGCCATGTGGCCTTCTCCCTGTGCAGGGGCGGCGGGTCCAAGACACATTGGCACAGGTGCCAGGCAGGTCATGTGCCCGTGGAGGGGCACTCGGGGGCACTGGCAACTGGGGCTCAGGCCGGCTCCCCGCGGGCCCGGGCCACTCCTCCTGCCCCAGTGTCCTCAGGCAGCCCCAGGTCTCCGAGTCACTGAGGAAAGGAGGCCACGGCGCCCTCTTGCAGGCTCTGAGCACCCATCTCCCGCTCCGCGCCTCTCCTTCCAGGCGCCCTGAGAAGACGATCCAGTGCACGCAGCCCAGGCCGGCGCTGGGCACGCTGAGTGTCCACGGGCTTGCTGGGTGGCCTCGGGCGGGGCACTCAACCTCTCTGTGCTCCCAGCCCACCGGTGAGCGGGAACAGGGGCGGTCACCGCGCCGCCTCCAGCAGCCGCGTGAGCAGAGAGCCCCCGCCCCGCCCGCGCGGCCATGACTGTGTCTGTTTCATGACCCAGGAAGCTGTGAGGTGGCCAGAGAGCTGTGTTCCCCCAGGAGGCATGCCCGTGCCCGGCGGGTGACGGGAGCTGTCAGAGAAACAGCCCGGAGCCGGCACTGACGTGTCCCACTGACGTGTTGCGGACCCTTCAGCAGTTTTCCTTGGGCGCGGTCCCCGGGACGGGCTCGGATGTGCGGGGGGGTGAGAAAGCCAGAGAGCGGCCCGCAGGCGGCGCGCGGCCAGGCCGTGGTCAGCGGAGACACGGGATAAGGACCCACCGGTCCCGGTTTCATCCCAACAGCTCAACCAGCCGTGGACCCGGAGCCTGGCAGGTCCCAGCTCTGTCTCAGTCGCTGACTCATCCGTTCATCCCATGACTCATTCGAAATTCACACGCACACACATGCACACACACACGCACACGTGCACACACGTGCACACATGTGGGCAAAGTACGCAAGCTGCAAGCAGGAGAGCTGTGAGCCGCGCCGTGTCCCACCCGTGCTGTGGGTGCGCAGAGGCTGCGCCGAAGGGCATACAACGCCCCTCACTGTCCCGCCGCTGCGGGGTGGGGTGGGCGGTCAAGGGATTTTCTCTGTTTTGTGATGTTCGGTGGCAGAGCAGCAGGGCCGGGAGAGGCCTAGGCCAGACCGCCCCTCAGCCTCGGGGGCCCACCCCGCTGACCCTCCATCCTTAGGGGGAAGGTAACCATCTTGGCCAAGGAGCCACTGGGGTGGGAGATGGGCCCCGTCTCTGTGCTTTCAGCCACTCCCCGGGACGGGTGGGCTGCGGGGACAGGCCCAGAGCAGACACGGCTCCAGCGGGGCCTAGAGCCGGGGAGAGCTGGAGGGAGGGCCGGCAGGGCCCCCACACCAGTGAGGTGTGTCCAGTCCCTATTGTGGGAGGGCGGCCCTGAAACAGGCGGCTGAGAGGCCATGAGGGGGGCACAGAGCAACTGCTACTTACCAGCTCTGAGACACAGGCCACGTTTTTAATGACACACAGGGCCGCACCCCAAATACCTCTGGCAACAAGCCCCGTTGAAACATGGAGCAAATGAGTCCTGGACAGAACTCACCGGTGGGCCCCTGGCTCCTCGGGGCCCCTGCGGGCCTGTGGGTCCAGCATCGCCCTGAAATGAGAGGGGCCCCATTATCACAGAGGCACCACCGGGAGACGATGCAGCCTCCGTTTCCAGCGAGGACCGGGGTCTGGGTCTCCGGGGTGCCCACCTTCCGCTTTGTCCACACCTCCACCCAAAGCCCCCAGGGCACCCACACTCACGTCTTTCCCTGGTGACCCTTCCCGGCCCGGCGGCCCCACAGCGCCAGGTTCTCCCTGCAAGGGGAGCAGACACAGCAGCTGTCAGGGGAAGGTGCAGGAGTCTGCGCTTCTGGTGGGGAGGCGAGGGCTGGAGGGGGAGCAGCAGGAGGACCCTGCAGAGCCGGCCCGCCGAGCCCTGGTCTGAACTGGTCTGAGGCCCAGCGCTCGCGGGCTGGGGTCCTGTGTCCAGAGTGGCCCTGGGCAGCCAGCAGAGGCCGCAGCCGTGGGGAGGGTGGCAGGCAACACCCCTGCTGAGCCGTCTGGCACTCAGCTCATGTAGGCAGGACAGGATCTCGCCAGCAGGCCCTGGGGCTCCTTCATTTGGGGCATTTGGGTAAAATGGGAGAAGCTAGGGCACAAGAAAGCAGGACAGAGCCCCCCACACTCTCCACAAGGAGCTCCAGGCTGTGGCACCATCATCATTCGGTCCTGGGGCCTCGGTTTCCTCCTCTGGAAAATAACCCTCAGAGCAGCTCCAACCTAGGGGCTCAGGATGGCACAGCCGCCAGCCGCCAGGCGGATCTGAGCTGACTTGGTCAAACTGGTTTCCTCCAGTGCCAGCAACCCAGAAGAAAGGTCTAGAAACCCAGACCGAGGTGAGGGTGCTTCCCTGTGAGCACCGGGTCCAGCACTGCCAGCCCGGCTCCTCCCTGGGCACAGCCAACTTACCCTGGGGCCGGGGGCTCCCGGGTCCCCTGTGTGTCCCTTGAAGCCCTGCGGGGGAGAATGGGGTCATTCCAGCAGCGAGCGGGCCAGCAGGCAGGCACGGGCACACCTGGGTGAGGGCCCAGCTGAACTCTCACCCCCGATGGCCCCCGGGCGCCCTGTTCAGCACCAGGTGCAGTGCTGGGCCCTCTGAGCTGGGTCCCGGAGGACCAGGGGAGGGTGGCCAGACCCTCCTTGCCGTCCACTCTGGCCCGAGCAGGCTCCAGGGCCCACCCCCACCCCCACGCCCCCGTGTCTCCTGATCTCCCACCTCCTCCCTTCCTGTGCTCGCGGCCGAGCTTGCACCCCTTGGCCTGGCCCGGGGAGGTGCTTCCCTTACAGAAAACACGCAGTCTCCTGCCTGACTCTGCACCCTTCTCAAGGTCAGGGAACCCCAAATCCAGCTGGCTCAGAGGTAGGGACACTGGAGCTGAGTCCTCCCAGATAATTGTGGGCAAAATCACTGAGGGAGGGAGCTGCACCCCACAGGCCCGGCGCTGGCTGGGCCGTGAATGTTTCCTCTTCTCCACGAGCCCCCCCATTGCCATTTTGATCTCCAGCTCACAGAGAAGGGGTTCAGGAAGGCCCCCTGAGTGGCCACGTGAAGCTGAGCCTGGATTTCTCTCGCCCACAGCCCAGGCCTGTCTGACTCGGGCTGGGGCCAGTGGGGGGGTGAGGGGGGTCCTGCAGGTGAGTTTCCTTGGCGGACAACACCCACTAAGTCTGTGATGTAACCCCCTCTGAGGCCATATTCTCCCCTCTAAGGCTCTCCTCCTGATGAGCGGGGTTAAAAGCGGGGTTATTTAGGAAAAAAGGAAATTGATTTTTGAGTTGTAGCTCCTCTTTGCTGAAGACGAGCCAGGCGAGGTATCGATCACTTCAACAGAAACACACATTGAGGAAACAGACCTAACGTTTTTATCTCCTCCTTCTCACCAGATGATTGGATTTCAGGGTGTTCATTAGAAATCATATTTACTTTCCAAAAACAAATTTTAGGGATCGTGGAAATAATTTTGGAGGAGAAAGCATTTAACCAAAAACCCTAACAGCCTCCCAGAGCCACAGACGGGGCTAGCTTTTTGGAAAATGTGTCACCTGTATGTGCCAGGTAGGGTGGCGCGGGGCTAGCTAGGCAGGCTGCGCTGCAGACGGCATCGCCCAGAGGCGGAAGGAAAGACTGGCGGAGACCAGAGGAACTCGGGGTGGAAACAGCACGGGGGCCCGCGGCTGACCGCGAGGAGCCGTCCCCGGCGGTTGTTCCCCATCCCGGCGCCCACACGCGGGCGGGTCGCGTTCCGAAGTGGGGCCAACAGCCCTCTAGCGACGGAGTGATCCAAATGCAATGCAAGACTCACCCCTCAGCTCTGAGTCAGGACAAGCCCGTTCACACGATAACAAACAGAACAAACACCAAGATCGCGGGGAACAGCCGCCATCCCGTGGAGCACCCCCCGCCCCCTGCCAGGGGGGAGCGGGACAAATTGGCAGAAATCCCTGGGCCTGAAAAAAGCTGCTTCTGGAAGCAAAGGCAGCCCCGTCCCCATGACCCCACCCACCGGCCACTTACCGGGGGACCCCGCGCGCCCTCTGGTCCCGGCAGACCCGGCTCCCCGGCTTTGCCCTGGAGGAAGGAGAACGAGAGGGTGGAGGTCCTGGCTCTCGCGCTCCGGCCCCGGCCCAGGCCCCTGCTCAGCCCGCGGTGCCGGCCGGCGGCCATCCAGACACTGTCGGACACTGTGTGCCCAGGGCCGGCAGTTGGGAGCCGGGCGCAGGCCAGCCTGGCCTGTGGTGGGGGCCCCTGCATCCTCAGAGGGCGGCCTGGACCCGACCCAGAGACACCCCAGCACCGAGTTTCTTTCCCGCCCTCATCGCGGCCATGAGACGCGGCGGCGCCAGGCAACGCGGCCAGAACTGAGCCCCTGGGGTGGGGGTGAGGGCCCCTCACCCCAAGGCCTCGTTCTCCGTCCCCCCATCTTCTCCTGGCAGGACCGCTTCTGCTATTTAGCATTCAGGGAGGGCCCTGCCCTGAGCAGAAGACCAGGCCCCATGGTGCTGAGGTGCGAGGAACAGGTCAGAGGCTGGGGGGGTGGGGTCAGCGGGGAAGGGCAGGCGGGCAGCCTGGGGTCCTGCCTTCACGGTCACGGAAGGCTTATCTCTCCCCAAGTGGCCCCTCATTTTCACAGCTTATCCAGGTGGGCCAGGTGGGGTCCCCGGGGCAGGGTTGGAGAAAAAAGGCCACCTTGGATTTAGAGGGTCAACTACAGAGCACAGGCGGGTGCAAGGCTGGCTCCCAGTGCGCTGGGGTCTTCCGTCCAGCTCGCCTAGCGGAGGATCTTGGGGTGTCTTTCTCTCCCCTGGTTCTTTCCCCAGAGTTACATTCAGGACACGCCCTCGGGGAGGCCCTCGGGATAGAGGACACGGGCCCAGCCTGGCGCCTGCCCACAGGCAAGCGGAGTCACTGGCCCAAGAGCCAAGTTAGCAGCCGAAAAATGCCCACCCACAGCCGCGGGGTCTCCTGTCGCTGCGTCCTCACCGTCACCCAGGAGGGAGGGCCCTGCGGTCCCGCAGGCAACATGGTGAGGCACAGAGAGGCTAAGTGACCTGCCCAGGGGCACACAGCTGCGTGGACAGGCAGACTGTGAGGCTGCGCCTCGTCCCAGTCTATAAAATCAATCTCAAATGCCTCTTTATAAAAACTGCAACATACAGCTCAGTCGCCCATCTGTCCATCTACCTGAGTGTCCATCTGCCTGTCCGTCTGTCCATCATCTGTCCCCTGTCCTCTGCTGTCTGTCTCCCAGCCGTGGTCCTGAACCACAGGGCTCTGACGTGCAGTGAGCCCCTGCCACTGAGAGCAGCGGCGCCTTTTTCACCCCCGAGGCAGCGGCCGCCCTGCTGGTGTCCCGCCCGGTCTGAGCGCCGTGCACACCCTTCAGGGGGCTGGCCCTGGGTGCAGAGGGCCGGGGGGCACGGGGCCAGTGCCTCCAGGAGTGCGCCTCCATCTAAAACGGCTTTGGTGGCGTTGGTGGAGGGCACCGCCTGCTGGCCTGTGCGGACAGGAGTGGGGATGCCACTGTGTTCCCCACGGACCCCAGAGAGCCCCCAGTTCCTGGCTCCAGTCTGCCCTTAGGGGAGCCTGATGCCCCCTAGTGCCATTGCCACCTCCCCAGCAGCTCAGGGGGATAAAGGCGTGGGAGGGGCTCGCACTGAGAGTCCAGAACAAGAGCTCTGGAATGCCCGCTCTGGAGGGCCAGCCCGCCTCCCCTGCCCACTGCACCATCCTGCCCACTGCGCCCCCTGCCCCCTGCATACCAGAGCAGGGTTGCGCTCATCCGCTCTGTCCCCAGGCCTGGCCTGGGCCTTTGTGGAAGAGCCACTCATGAAACCGCCTGAACGAAGACAGGACCTGGTCCCCTGCGCAGAACGGCAGCTCCTCCCCAGCAGGAAGGCGGGGTCCTGCTCCCTGAACTCGGTGAGTCCCGGATGTTCCCCTCAGCTGCTGTGTGACCTGGGCATCCTGCTTAGCCTCTCTGTGCCTGAGTTTCCTCACCTGCATCCACGGGGGTTTTCGGGATACCAGGTTGGAAAGTGTAAGGAGGCACCTCTTGGCCTCCAGGTGAGCCCACACCTGCCAGCCAGGTGGGCTCCCCGTCAACCTCTCCTTCCCCCCACCCTGGAAGCCCGGCTGCAGCCACCAGCCCCGCAGACAGCTCAGTGGGGCGTCAGCCTCCAGCGCCTCCCTGGGGCTTTTTACTTTGCTCAGCAGCTACCAGCTCCTTCTCCTCCTGTCAGCAGTGAACTCGGGTTCCAGCGCCCGGCAACAGCGCGACTCTAAAGGAGGCGCTTCCGTTGGACGCAGGCTGAATCACAATAGCTGACGACCAAACAAATTAAATGGAACATAAACCTCCCCGGGGAAACTTTTCCGTACCCCACTCAGTGCTCTGACCTCACCGGGAGTTAAAACGAGGGCGCCTGGAAAAGTCACCTCCTGAAATAATTTGCCATTAGATGAGCCAGACGCGTTAATAAATTTCTCACCTCATCTGATTTCCAGCCGCTGCGGCAAGTTGGCACTAATATTCCTGTTCCATTTAAAAAGCAAGCAAAGCCCACCCGGGTCCGAGAGCCCCGTGGAGAGCAGCCAGCACCCAGCACCCAGCACCACCTCTCCCGGTTATGCGAGTTTGGCGTAAACGCCTTATAGTTTACATTTCACTGTGTCGATCACCACCACGTGCCGGTGGCCCCCAAATTAAAACAATCACAACCAAATGAACTCTGGTGGCACACAAGCGCCTTCCCATCCCTGCACCCCTGCACCCCTGCGCACATCCGCCCCGGCAGCGACTGTGGGCGTGAGCGTTCTGGCCTCCCAGAGCGACTCTATCCAAACCCCAGAGGAACACAAAGACCCATTTCTGCACAAAACCAGCAGCTCCAGGCACTGCTGCAGACTGTGTTTTTTGACTTAGTATTTCTCGGAGGGGTCCCGTGCCAGCAGTAGAGAAAGTCCTCCTTCTTCTACAGCTGGGTCTATGGGGGGCACCCCACTCAGCCAGAGTCTCCCAGGGGTGAGCCTTCAGAGAACCCAGGGCCCTAACCCCAGATCTCTCAGTGTCAAGGCTGTGGCGGGATTTGTGAACACAAAGTGCCGCTGGGAGCTGAGGATCCACCGTCGAGGAGGGACCGGCTGAGGGAGGCCTGCAAAATCCCTGCCTTTCCCACCCACAGCCCTGGGGCCCCGCACATCCTCAGGGACCATCTCACGGTGTCCCAGCGCAGCTGGCGGGAAAGAGAAGAAGGAAGAACGTAAGTCTGTGCCGATGCTGGAGACACAGAGGCACGTCCTGGCCCCGGCGGGGTGCTCAGGCTTTGGGGGCCAAATGGGCCTGTCAGGCATCAGATTTGTACTCTGGCCGGGGTCCCAGCCCGGAGCCCCAGCTCACACCGGTGGGACTGAGGCGGAGGCGGGACAGGAGCCCGGGCTCAGGTTTTTGTCGCCAGCCCGCATGTGGCTCCAGGCCGTGATGGCACCTCGCTGAGACTCAGTGTTCTCGGCTCTGAGGGGGGCCGCAGTGACCCCGGGCAGGGCAGTGGGGAGGCGGTGAAGGGCAGCAGGGGGCCGGCTCCTCGCAGAGCAGTCACCCCCGAGAAATTAGTGGTTTGGCTGGTAAACAGCAGGGACGGCAGAGCCCCTTACCTGCTCTCCCGGGACCCTTACCTGCTCTCCCGGGACCCTTACCTGCTCTCCCGGGACCCTTACCTGCTCTCCCGGGACTCTTACCTGCTCTCCCGGGACTCTTACCTGCTCTCCCGGGACCCTTACCTGCTCTCCTGGGACCCTTACCTGCTCTCCCGGGACTCTTACCTGCTCTCCCGGGACGCCGGGTTTCCCGTCTCTGCCCTCTTTGCCTTCTTCTCCCTGCAAGAGAAACTCCCACAGGTCACCTGGCTGCAGAGCCTGGAGGGCGCAAGCACAGAGGGTCATAGCGCCAGCAGCCCAGGCACCCGGGCCTCACACCCGCAGCGGGAAGGACGTCCCCGACGGGACTGGCGTGAGGGCCACGCTCCGCCCGCCGCCAAGACTGGCTCAGGCCTCAGACCCGCCATGTCTAGAAGGGAGAGGAGACCAGGAGCTTGCAGAAGCATCATCATGTTTGCTATTACTCTGCAGGTGCCTCCCCCAGGCCTCCCAGCGCCACACTCAGGTGGACACGGCTGGTATCTGGGTCCCTGGATTGAGCTCAGCGATCAACCTGGGCTGGGGCAGGGTTCAGCGCCGAAGTGCAGGCCCGGGAGTGCGCAGGGGACGGCAGCAGGGGTGAGGGCTGCGCTATGGACGTGTGTGCGCTGCTTTCCATGAAATGCCCCCCAGGTCCCCGCCACCTCCGGCCTCTCGGGCCAACCTCCTGCTCTAAACTCAGCACTGGACACACGGCGGTAGAGACGCACGTCTGTCCGAGAGACCCCAGGGCTACAGCACCTCTGGAGATGGGCAGTTCTGCAGGAAGACTGTGACATCACCCAGACCTGGGCCCCAATCCTGGGACCACGCTTGGCACAGAGCCCGGGGCAGCTGTGCCTGGAAGTTCTGATTCTTAGAAGGGAGAGGATGCGTTTTCTAGAAAGGAATGATTTGTTAGGAAGGCAAAGCAGTGACTAACATCCCAGAGTGTCATTTAAGACTGTGTGCCCTGGACAGGTTACTTAGCCCGAGGTCACAGTGGGGTAGCCCCCCAGTTGCAGCAAGGGCTAGAACTGATGCCCTCAAGTGACAGTGGCCCTCATGGATGCATCACCCCTCCCCTGCGTCTCTGATGCACATCTGCTATGTGCTCACAATCCAAGAAGCGGACGTCAGCCCCCACAGAACCTACACCCAGAACAGAGCCCCACGCTCCCCAGGGCCTGTCTGTTGGGCCCCCAGTCCTAGCAAACAAGCTAAATTTGCTGAATGAGCAAACCCATCAATGAGAACTGGAGGAGGTGGTCACTAACCAAACCAGCAGACAAGAAAAATGTGATTACCAGCTGAGATGGGCACTCTGCAGGGCAGAAAGGGTGGCTAAGAACACCTACCCTAGACTGGGGACGGAGGAGTCAGCTAGGCCGTGATGCCTGGGTGGGGTGAGAAGGCTCAAAGGCATTAACAGAGAAAGAGGACAAACAGAAACGCACGTGCAAAGGCCCCGTGGCCTAGAGAGGGACCAAATTTGGCAGGAAAGGATACAGGGTACCCTAGGAACCCAAAGGAAGCCAGTGCAACCAGAACAAAAGATGCACCCCAGAGGGTAGGGGGGGAGCTGTGGGCAGTACAGGTGCCAGCAGGGGGTGCTGGCCAGCCCTGGAGCCACAAAAGGACCCCTTCTGCACAGAGAGCAGGCCCGGCCACTCTGGGCTGGCCTGTGACTAACACCCTCACCCCTACTGTTGATGCAGCCTGTATCAAGAGCGCTGGACATGATCACACCCCAACAAGTGAACCCCACTTTTGGGGTCCATCATACAGAAATGAGAAAGGTGCTAAGCATGCAGAATCATCTATTACAATTTTTTGAAATAACTACAAGATGAGGGCGTGTCGGGGGTGAACATAGGTGCGATGGAACATTTCCTGGAGAGCGTGTGTGTGATATTTACACCAGCGTGGAAAATAGAAAACATTCGTATTTATCCCAGATAGTTCATTATCACATCTCAACTGTTGGTCATCTCAACTGTTTGTGTGTGTAACTGTGTGTGTGTGTGTGTGTGTGTGTGTGTGTGAGGAAGAAGCAGAGAGAGGGTTGGAAACACAAATGAAATGAGTAAAAAAAACTGCATGAAAGAAGAAGGAGACTAAGACTGACTGGACCAAAGCGGTAGCCGGCTTCGGCCGGAGAGGCGGTGGGGCTGGCTTTCCTCCTCACACCCTCCGCCTCCCAGGTTCCCCAGGGACCGTGCCTGCCTTGACAGCGGTGAGCCGAGTTTTGTTTGCTTGTTTTTGTAGTAACAAAACTAGATTTTTTAAATGCCACTTACTGGGATTCCAGGTAATCCAGATGGACCTTGGGGGCCAGGAGGACCGTCTTTCCCCTAAAAGACCCGAGACATAAAAAAGCCATTAAACGTCCGGGACGGCTTTTCTGGAGGTAGATGGTCTTGTCTGTGAGCAAGCAGCTTAGACGAGAAGCTGCCTCCTCTCCTCGCCCCCCGCCCCGGCCCCGAGGCCACCCCCGGCCTGGGCAGAGCTCAGGCACAGTAGCTGGTGTGCAGCTGGGGCTCATTTTGACGGATCACGCAGACTCACGGGAATTGCTTATCAGAGAGCCCCTTGGGAAGCAAACAGCGGGGCTTGGGGACTCACAAGACTGGGTCCAAACCCAGCTCTGCGCTCTGTCCCTAGTGGTCTGAGACCCGGCAGCACCGCAGCCTGCCAGCCCGCAGCACCAGGGGCCAGGTGGGGGCAGGGCTCTGTGCAAGCCAGGAGGGGAGCAGGGGTTTATGCCATGTCTTGTCCTTGTCCCGAGGCTCCCAGATTTTTTTACCATCAAGGGTTGTTTTGCATATCTTGACCGCCGCCCCCCCATGAAATAGACCATGTGTTCTGAAAGACCAAATTGCATCTGGTTTACCAAATTGCATTAATTAACACTTCATTTCCCATTTTACCCAGCAAAGCTGCTCATCACTGTCACAGTTCCCAAGCCAGCATGAGGTCACCTCCTTCCTACCCCACGGAGCCCTTTTATTTCATCCTGCATCTCCATGTGAATTTTTAGAGGCCCCGACAACTTTATTATCTCCTGCCAGTGGTTGTTCTGTGCTCAGATGCTCAAGACCAGGTTTTATATTCTAATCCACAGGCCCCACAACGCTTTTTATGGACTATGATTGTAACCTCTTGAAAGAAAAGCAAGAGGAAAAAATATTATGATATTTATTTCAGATTGACTCAGAATTTATAGGTTGTTGCATAAAGTGTCTAGTCAGGGGCCCAAAATGCTTCTTCGTAAATGCAACACAAAGTCAGGAGCTGAGTTTTATTTCCAGACCTGAGCAAAATGGAAGGCGTCAGCAAAGAATCATTAGACGTCACAGCTTTTTGACACAGCCTCATGGGAACTAACGAAGAATGAAAAATGTTTTGAGTTTACTAATGGTGTGTTACACCTCATCTCAAAAGAATTTTCACCTTGAGAGGTTATCTGATTTTATTTTAAAAATGCCATGTTTATGCACTGACATGGTTAACAATTTGACGTAACCAGCACCAGTGTGTCTCAGAACATTTGAGATTGCCTGGAAATATTTCCACTTAGACCGATGCAAAATAATAGCAACAATAAAACAAAAATAGTCACCACTTCCCACATCACAGTGCCTACAGACACGCTGACGCAGGAAGTGGGTATTTTCCTGCCAATCTGGGACAAATATTCCATCAGCATTAGGAAGATTTAAATATTGATAGTGGGGCTCCCTGAATTCCTTCCTGGATGTTCATGTTTGGAAGACGCCAGTGTTAAACACTAGTGATCTTGGAGAGGAAGCAGCAAAGTCTCACCCTCTGCTTGGTTTTATAAATAAAGTGCCAGCGGGACACCATCACACTCGGCAGCTCACGTATTGTCTACGGCTGATTTCACCTTCCGCAGCTGAGCGGAATATTCGCAAGAGACCATCTGGTGCACAAGTCCAAAATCTTTTCTATTTAGCTCAATTTTGCTCCCATCAGGTGAGTGGAAGATGCGACAGGCATCAGCAGACTTGCTCCCGTGCCTGCTTGCACCAGTTATAATGTGCTAAGGAAAGTACGCGGCTTAATTATTCACCAGCTGGCCCCGGGAAATTGAAGTGGGGAAAGAAAAGGATGGTGTTTTATGCAAACCAGGTTAGCACTTCAGAAATATTTGATGAAGATGAGCCACTATCTAAATAAATAACCTTAAGACAAGACAGCTATAAAAGGTTAACCAAAAAACCTAACCATCTAGGATTCCGCATTCATATTGCTTCACAGGTGTTGCTATTTTCTCAAATCACATTTTAAAAGGCAACAAGCGGTAGATGGGTGGATGTTCTTTTGTAGGAATAATAACCAGGGACTCTATTCAGGGGACATGAGTCAGTGAAGAGCCTTCGCTCTGCGTCAAAAAGATGAAGCCGTTTCCATGTATTAATTCAAAATACAATGGAAATGTTTTAGGTTTTGTGTATAGGACTATGCCCCACCTAACATTTTTATTACTGTTTTTTACTGCCAACACTCATTGTTTATGCTAAGAAAATGGTGACTGTGTTCTGGGTTGCTCTTGAAGCGTCAGGACCACGGACAGCCCCAAGCGCAGCCATAACTTGCGGGGAGTTCCAGGACAGAATCGATGCCAAATTAAAATGGTTTAATTCCTAGGAATGTAAAGATGTACATCTGGGCTCCACATCTTACTCTCCTTGGGCAAAGAGCCCATTAGTTTTTATTGGAGAAATATTTTTTTCTGTCTGAGAATCAATAAAAAAACTGCCTGCAGTGTGCTTTCTATTTTATTCGTCTGGGACCACTAGGTGGAAAGCTTCAAAAAGACTGGCCAGATGATGATACAAAAAGAACCAAGAAGCTGTTGTTTTTCAACCCCAACGGCTCTCCAGCCCCAACCCCAGCCATCCCACACGGTGAGTCAGTATGGACGAGTGTAACATTAAATTGGGAATTTTCACTCGACTTAACTCCCAATTTAGATATTAATTTTCTGTACGACCTTGAAAGGTGACCTAACCCCATCACATCAGGTTCATCTTCCTCATCCAAGGAGAAGGCAGTTGTGCTAAGGGACCCGAAAGTGCTCTCGGCACTAGTCTGCAGGCACCAGGGCAGGGTAAACCTGCTTGCCAGCCAGACTGGGAAGGTGGCGCTGAGGCCCTGGAACCAGGGTTTGTATCTGGTTATGCCAATTCCTCACCATGTGGTCCTAATCTAGCAATGTCATGTCTCTGATCCCCACATTCCTTGTTGGCAAATGGAGGTGATGATTCAGGACCTTTCTAACGCTCAGGGCAGTCAATGTGGCGAGACATCAGTGTACTATATATGCCCTTAAATGAATATGCATGTAAAGGATCCCAGCACAAAGCCTGATGACTAGAGATTCATCTTTGTTTTGAAGTTCTGAAACCAAGACGGCTTCTGGCAGCTTCGTGCAATGGATATATTCTGGGTTCTGAGATAAAAATCCTTGGGTCCAAGTGCAGCTACAGATGCAGGACCTTGACCCATGCCTTCACTTTCCTTAACTCCACTGTCCTTTTTTGAACACTTGGACAGCAGTGGCTACCTCCTGCCTGACATGCCACCTGGTCCACACCACAAGCTCAGGTGGCTGAGCGCCAACCCTTCCCCTGCCCTGTGCCTGCTCAGAATAGAAACCATCCTGACAAGGCACAGGACGATGCAGCTCAGCCTGGAGTCCGAAGAATTGGTTGAAACTTAATTCTAGAATAATATGTTGCCAGGTGACTTCATTCAAACCTTGATTTTAGAGGCAAAGTAATCAGGGCCCTCACATAAAGTGATGCTCCCTGGATTTCCCTACAAGACCAGGGACTAGACCCGCAGAACAACTGAGGCATGGGAGGTGAGGCTAACACAAGGGGTTCTGGGAAGAGCTTACCACGGACTAAAGGCAGGACTTACCGGTGGTCCTTGGAATCCTGGTGGCCCAGCAGTGCCCGCTACCCCATCTGCTCCCTGGGGAGGACAAAGAGCATGTTGCAGTTCGAAGCAAGACCACTGGCACCTCCTGCTGTGCGCGAAGCAATGCCCGGGTCTTGCATCTTGTACCCCTGCCCAGCTGCGTGGACCTTAAGTATTTTAAAGGTGCTCCGAATTCCCTCTCAGGCTGGGCTGGCCTCTGGGAATGCCAGGATGTTGGAGGCCAGCAGCCAGCTCGCAGGAAGGGCCAGGGCATCTACCAGCCAGGCGTTCCTAAGTCAAGAGTAACTGGTCTCACTTCCCTGTGAGGTCAGCTAATGCCAGGGAACGTGTCAGAACAGAAGGCAAGAAATGAACCTTGGGATTTATCTTCCAGGGAGAAAACGAAAACAAGTGCTTTGTCATCTCGGCTGAGACAGCAGCTATTTCACTGGAGTTGTCGAGAGAGTAAGTTAACATGTGTGGATTGACCAGGCACAGGGGAGGGTGTGCCATAGAGGGCTGTGCACTGCTCGAGGCACAGATGATGGTGGCCTTCTGGGCGTCTCCCGGACAGCGAGGCAGAGAGCACTGTGGACAGCATCCGGCCTGGGCTTTAGTCACGCCTGCCTAGCAGGTTTTCTTTAGTTGTTTGTTCACTGAGGGCCTGTATGGGATGCCAGGCACTGGCCAAGTCTTAGGGACACAGAAAGGGCAACACCATGGCTTTGGATGCCAAGAAAATTTGGCTTCACTATAGAAGATGTGTCTTCTTTCCCACGTAAGACAAGCTCCTTGAATCCAGATGTGGTCTGACTTGCCTCCACCTATTCCGCTAGGGAAGGGCCCCATGAAATAGAGGGATATTGATCAGATTTAAACAAAAATCCTAACATTCATTCTCTGCACTTGGGTCGCTGCTGCAGGGGAAAATTATGCATCTAGCTGAACCTAATAGAATCCTAATGCAGTTTCTACTCCAAATCTGGATTCTCCTATACAATTTTGCCAAAAAATTTTGGCATTCTAGACTCTGGAACATACATTAGATGGAATTAAATTCCCCTCTGCAGGTGGAGATCAGGATAAAGGTTTTATTGGGAGCAAGGGTGCTGACTAAACACCAGAAAATAAAGGGAAAGGAAAGAGCCGTGTCTGCTTGGTGTCTACACGCCGTGTCCCTTGGCCAGCGCCTGACACATTAATCAACACGCAAAAGGACAATACATAGATGGTCAGGAAGATTCAGTTTCTGTTCTTGAGCTGCTTCTGCCTAATGGGCTGCTGGACCAGAACAGGCGCTGAGTCAGCACCTTGTCCCCAAAACGATGAAAGGTACAAGGCATGACCCCACATGGAGGCTCAATAACCATCAGCCAAGTGCACTGGAAGCATTAATCAGGTGGAGACCGACAAGCTGGCTCCTAATTTATGGCCGTTTCTTTATCCCAGCTCCATCATCCAGCAGAAGAATAACAAGCAAGGTGCCACGTCCCACAGTGGAGAGTTGTCGGTCACAGCGCCGCCGCTGAGAAGAGGGTGGTTCTGTTTGCTTTGGAGACGTGTTCCAGACCCTGGGGCTGCCCGAACAGGGTGGGGTGGAGCTTTAACCCACTGCTTATTTCTGAACCCCTCAGATATGAGGGGACACAGGAAGCTGAAGTCACCATGGTAAGAAGTTATCCACAAGGGAACTGGATTTTTAGATGAAATTATTTCCCTCTCAAACGACCCTCAGTGCCCCACAAATGCCTTTGCACACCACATCCTATTGCCACCTCGACCAGTTTTTCTTTTTCAGATAGTCTTATGATAAAATCCTACAGCATGTGCACATGCAATAGAAATCAGGGTCTTCAGTGAAATAACACATTTTAAACAAATGCAGAATTTCACGAAGAGAATTGACAGCAAACTGACCAATCCCCCCAATATTGTTCACAAACATGCACATAGCCGAGGTGGGGCAGCGACGAGCTGGGGATGAAGAACGATGAGGCTGCAATGCAAAGGCCGTGGGGCATGAGTTGAGAGTAAAGATTCAGGGTAAGCTCTCCCAAAAAGTGGGGAAGCCCTCCCCGTCCCAAAGATACTTGATCTCACGAGTATCTTGATCTTACAAGTTTGCTGTAGCCTTCCATCAACAAGGGAAAGACGCTATTGCACGCTCTCACGTGATTTTAATAAAAATACCTTTTCAACACCTTGATTTACTCTAAGCAGATTTATTCTAACACATAGTTACAGTCAGGAGACTATTAGAAGTTGTTAAAAAGAAGACAAAGCAGCCAATGCAAGCAGCCATTTTAACCTCATGACCTTAGCTGAATCTCTTGTTCACTATCAGTGACTCTAGGTTGGCCCCTGTTGGAGCCCCTGTTGGACCGGGGCTCATGGCGAGTGCGTGGGGACTCCCAGGGGAGGGGACACTCAGTCCCACTGCCTGTTCCCAAGGCTCTTGGGTGGACATGTGGCCACCACCACAGTGAACTCTCACCAGAGAGCGAAGGACTCACTGTGGGCACCTAGACTAGGGAAGATCCCTGCTGTGCCGGACGCCAGTACACGCTGCTGCACGGGCCAGGAGAGCAGTCCTCAGGGGCCCGTGGGGAGCAGTAGGTGAGTTATTATTGTGATAACAAGTGTCTTAGAATAAGGATGACTGAGCAGCAGAAAATAGCAGTAATAATTTGCAGTCACCACCTTCGTGACTGATGATAGCAAACCCAGAAGTGTGGGTTTCTGTCGGCACGCGACTGCCAGAGTGGGACGGTTCCTTGGGAAGGGAGACTCGCGTCTACATGTTTTGCTGAAGATGCGAGGCTTGTGTTATCCCGGACGTCCCGCCCACCCATCTGGGTGACATAATAATAAAGCGCCTGCCCACCCTTGCCAGCACCCCCAGCCCAGCAGCACTGCAACCACGCTGCCCAGCATGTCCACTCAAGCCCCTCCTCTGCACGTGCCCTCGAGGCCTCTGGGACACGCCCAGGTGCCAGCTGTTCCCTTAAGACAAGAGGTAACCCCTCTGGCACCCTCTCCAGGAGCACGGAAGTGTGTTCAAATGCCAAGGCCAAAAGAGAAGGGAATTAAAAATCATTTCTTACCGGTGGCCCCGGGTTCCCTGGGGGCCCCATGAAACCAGGAACTCCAGGATGACCCTAAGAAAAAAAGAGGCAATTCAGAAAAACTCTACACTTTGGGAAACAATCAGATTTCAAGCAACAATCCAGAACCTGCCTCCAGGTGACAATTTTGGATAAACACTGACGGCAAAAAGACCTCTTTTTCATGTAGCACCAGTGGGTGATTCGGTACCTCGAGAAAGTATCTGACCATATTTACAAAAACACGTCTATCCAAAAAGAGGAGGCTTCCAGAAGGCCGTGGAGGAAGGAGGTGGGACGGGAGGTGTGGGTGGAAGTGAGGAGCCGCCACAGCTGGAGGCAGCCGGGGCCGGCTGACAGGCGGTGGACGTTCTCCCGCTACAGCCTCATCTTTGTTTGACGCGCCCCATAATAAACATTTTGATACATCACATGTGCCCGGCGCTGGGCTAGCTGGGGCACGGCAGCTGCCAGGACACATCTGGCTCTTCTGAGACCCTCGCCACGGAGGAGGAGCCGCGCACACCCAGAGCCAGACACCCCGTTCCAGAGCGCAGGGCTCTGCCCCTGACACTCCGCGGAGCAAACCAATGTGACGACACCAATCCAAAGACCCCTAAAGAAAGGGTCCCCTGCCTCCAGCGCCACCTCCCGCCCCGGGACACGGTAACAAGCAGCGCGGAGCTGCCTTGACAGCTCCTTCTCCTGAGAGTCGTGCAAGCAGTTGCTTTCCAGATGCAGATGGAATTTTTTTGTTCCCCTTTTTTTTTAGTTAATATATCTTAATTTATATAATTCTTACATCATTTTTCATTTTTGCACAATGTATGCAGGTTCATTTCGGTTATATTCCCCGTACAGTTCCCACCCCCTTATTTTGACCCTAATCCCTCCTCACCTCCCCTCCCACCCCACCCCGTAGTGTGTCTCTGGTCTACAGTTACTTGTTGATTTTGATTTTTTCTTTCTTATTCATTTTCCTGGTCCCTTATGTAGGTTTTCTACATTCCTGCTATGAGTGAGACCATCCGGTATTTTTCTTTTTCTTTCTGGCTTATTTCGCTGAGCATGATCCCTTCCAGCACCATCCATGTTGCTGCAAACTACATGAGTTTGTCTTTTTGATGGCTGAGTAATATTCCACGGTGTATATGGACCACCTCTTCCTGACCCAGTCATCTAGATGGGATTTTTGCTGTGTGTGTCACGTGGCCCCTGAGAGTTCTCATCTCCCCACCTCTGAGTACCGCTCTCGTGCCTCCCCTCACAGGGCGAAGAGCCTGAGGCCAAGAGCTTGAGCCGAGCCCCCGTGTGCAGGCGGAACCTTGGCACCTGCTGTGCAGCCTGGCATGGAGGTGGCTCACCACGAGTACCGGCTGAGACTTGCAGAGGGTGGAGGCAGCGGGAGGCAGCGGGAGACGGGAAGGGAGGTAAAACAGGGAAGAGGCAGAAGCGCCGGGGCAGAAGCGCAGGGGCCAGCCTGGGGGGCATAGCGGAGCCAAGCGCGGAGCCGGCTGGCAGACGGGAGGGAGCGGCCAGACCCACGGAAAGGGCCGGGCCGCCGTGATGCCACGGGAGAGAGGGCCCAGCGGGGTTGGGCGGCCACTGAGCCGGCAAGGGGCCCAGCGCAGTGAGAGCCAGACAGTGCGGCCTGGGGATGCGGGCGGGAGGGAGGGAAGTAGCAAAAGAGATGTTTGTTTGTTTTCCAGAGGAAGGAAAGGAAAGGAAAACAAGCTCTCAGAGGCGGGGAACTGTGACCAAGAAGCGGAGGATTCGAGGTGGAAATCCTGAACACGAGCGCTTCAGAGAGCTGCACGCAGGCAGAGGCGCGTCGAGGAAGGACGTCGGACGTGGGGGACGAAAGGTCGCTTAGAGAAGCGGGGCGTCCTCGGGGTGAGCAGCCACCAGGGGCGGGTCTTACCTGAGCCCCTTTCTGCCCCGGCTCGCCATCCGCGCCCTGCTCTCCTTTGCTTCCCTTGGGAGAAAAAAAAGAAAAATTTGCTCGCGCTCCATTGCAGAAGAAATCAGGCCCCGCGCCTGCATTCGCCCAGGCGTGCGCTGCTCACTGGTTCGCTCCTCCTCACTCTCGCCCAGTCCGGGTGAGCCCGGCGCGGGGTCGGCAGACACAGAGAGAGGGATCTGGCTGAGGGGATCCAGCTGGAGAGGTTTAGAGGGGGGCGGGGAACTAGGTGGGGAGCGGAGAGCGGTGCGGGGAGACAGGCAGAGTGCACCTCACAAAGCCCCGGCACGCCAGCCTCTGCAGCTGGGATGGGTTGTGGGTGATGGAAACCACCAGAAGCCTGTCTGGCTGCCCTCATTGCAGAGCTGCTCCTGCAGCCCCAGGGTGACGAGGGTCCGAGGAGGCAGGACACGCGCAGGGGGTGTTAGGAAGGGGCCGGGTGAAGAGGCCGAATCCCTGAGTGAGGAACGCGGCCCAGAGCTAAGGGCCATTGCTGAGAGGAGAAAACAGGTGCAGAGGGCAAGGGCGCTTGTTCCCACAGCTCTGCATGTGATGGTCCTGCTGTCCGTCCGCACCGGGAAACATCAAGGGGAGACGTGACGCGGCGCAGCACAGGGCTCCCGACACGCAGGGCCGCTGCCGGAGAAGTCAATGGTTTCCTCTCCTTCCCGTCCTCCGTCTGAGCTCAGGGAGCCTTCAGCCCTCATCTCACAACAATGGAAATGTCAGCAGCCAGAGGAGCGCCACAGTTGTCCTTGTCTCCCTCTCAGCTGCAGCCGGGATCAAAGCAAACACAGCCGCCCCCAGCCGGATGCACTTCCTTCCCGAGAGGACTGACATTTCCAGAGCCCCACGCTGCCAGCACCCGGCAGGCCCTTCCATGTGAGCGCCTGTCCCATGTATTTCTTTGTGTCCTCAACTGATGCTGCGCGCGCACACACACACACACACACACACGTAAAAATTCTTAAGACCAGAGAGGTGAAGCTGCTCACCTGAGCTCACACAGCTAGGAAAAAGCAAGATTTGGAACAGAACTCAGATGGCTCTGCATGCAAACTGCCCCTCCCTACCCAGGTGACACTCCCAGCTCTTTTCCTGGGCACGACGCCCCTCCCACTGGTTTCACGGTGTCGCCAGCACTGCCCTTACAGTCCAGGAATCTGACCATGCTCTGGGACCGTCCTAAGTACCTGGGGTCGCAGCAATCCACAAACCAGTTAGACAAACCCCCGCCCACCTGGAGTTTATATTCCAGAGAGACTGCTAGTCCCTCACTAGCTCAGATGGTGTATACTGGGGAGCCATTATAAGGGCTTCATTAAAAACAAGGGAAGGGGACTTCCCTGGTGGCGCAAGGGGTTAAGCACTGCACTATGAAGCAATCCGCAGCCTCTGCAGCACGAGTTCGATCCCCAGCCGGCCAGGGAGCAACCCACATGGCGCAGCAGACCTCTCCTGTCTCGCCCGCTGCTCCTCTCAGCAGTGTGTTTCACTCGGGCTGTCTGTCCTGTTCCCCACTCTGTCTCTGGTGAATCCTCTCACACCTCTCCCCTGCATCTCTGGCCTGCACCCCAGTTCTTGTATACATAAATAAATCTTTAAAAAAATTTTTTTTAATAAGTAAAAGCAATGGAAGTTACTCTCTCCCCAACCCCTTCTCTTAGAATATTTACTTGGGAAAACTTGTGCTTGTGAATTCTCTGTCTGTCTGAAATGTAGGTGAATCCTTTTAAAAGCTAAGGAAAGCCCTTTGCGAGCTCTAGGACTAGGGTGTCTTTCTGAGAGATCTGGGGAGCATCTCTGGAATGTAATCATCAGTGAGGACAGCACCCCATCTCCAGTGGGAAAGTGGGAGACTGACTTAATGCAGCGCCTGGTTCCAAGTCACAATCCCTCCCCCATCACAAAGGGGTGAGCCCCCCGCTGGTCCCTGGACACCGGGGGTCACCGCCATCACCCGGTGCTCAGAATGAGTGTGTGTGATGGACAGCGCCATCAAGGCCCCTCACCTGAGCTCTCTTGACCTTGAGGACCTGTGTGCAGTGGACCACGGCTGCTGGGCCACAGGAGAGGGTGAGCCTGAAGCCTGAGCAGAAGGCCCGTGGTGCACAGCACATGGTTTGATGCTTGTTTGACATCACAGGGGCCCTCTTCTTGTTCTACCTTTGTCGGGAGGCTTTCTGGTTGGGAGGAGATGTTATTTCATCTGTGGTGGCCTTTCCTCCTCAGCGCTGTCAGTGCCAAGCGCGCACTGGCATGATTAGAGGTCATGTTCAGATCGGAGGGTTCTCGAAGGACATTGGCCTTTGTGAATCCACCACGTGGGCAGTTCTCTGGGGGGCTTTAGAAACTGTTGTGGGCAGGGCCGAAACGTCCTCAAATGAATGAATTTCTGCTACTCTCAGCTAAGCCTTGTCCCTGAAATTCCGCGTGCTGATTCTCCACCTAGAAAACCTTCCTGGGGTGCTGGCGAGTCTCTGCCTAACCTTCCCTGGGGCTGGCCGCCCCAATAGTGAGACTAGCTTTTCTCAACCTGCCCAGAACAGGTCTGTTCCAAGGAGTGTCCTCTTGATATGAACTCAAGGTCAGTGGCCACCCCGTGCACCCGAGGACACCCATGACCATCACGTACAGAACGCAGACTACTTAAGGGCAGTGAGGAGCCTGGGGGCTTCCTGCCCCCTTTTTGCCCCTTTTTCCTGCAATCACTGGCCCCCTGCTGACCCAGCAGCATGCTTGCTCGGGGTCCTCACCCAGGGACAGGTTTAGCAGTGGACATATCCTCTCTCTGGGAATCTCACCTTGACTTTTAGAATAAAGATGAGGTCAGCCCAGGCAGAATCTTGTTTGTCCTATGAAGTGTTCCCGGCCCTTGACACCCCAGGTCCTTAAACACAGGATAAATATCCAGGTCCCCGCAATTATTCTTTGAATTTACGACATGTAGATCCTCTATACACATGCTATTAAATCGATTCTTTCTGATGTTCTTGATTATTCACCTGAGAAGCCGCCAGAGGGTGGGAGACCCCCCTCCGCCTCAACCCTTCCAATGCGACTAAAGCGCGACCTCCTCAACAGCCCTCACAGGCATCCCGTGTCCCCCTGGCGTGCTGTCTCTGAAAGTCGTTCGCTCTCCTGAGGTCTGTTACTCCTCACACAGAGCCGCGATGGGCAGCCACGCGCCGTTCACGAGGCCATGTGTCTTACGGGGGGGCCCGTGCCTGCTCTCTGTGAACGTCTCCTCGTCAATCCTCAACTGTTTCTGAGGCTCAGAGAAGTCAACTAAAACTGCCCAAGTCCCACAATTAGTAAGTAAAACGAGCCTGGCTAGTAAGAGACAGAGGTGAACTGCGGAACCACCGATGTCCAAAGCCTCCCCTCGCCCACAGCTCTCGATGCCTCCAGCCCAGCCTGACTCTTGTAAGAATCTTTCTTCTCCGCACAGCAGCAGGCGCTGGAAGGCACAGCCCATGTCCGACCTACCTCTGTGCCTGCAGACTTGGAAGGAACTCTTTAAGGGGCTGCTCGGTGAGAACCTTTCAGATTTGAGGCAGCTTTGGGAAATTAGAGGCTTGTGCTCATGCAGCGAACATGGGCTACATGTTCTGGGTCCCTTCTGGACAGGATGGGGCCCAAGACCTCTGCTGGAAGTGCCAATGGCTCCCCAGAATCGCCCAGAACTGCCCAGTGGGAATTTCTGCTCATTGAGTGTTTTCATTCCCTCCGGCTCCCATTATGGCTGGGGGACATGCAGATGAGGAGGAAACCAAGTGCTTTTTATGGAGGGTAGACGAGTGGCATCATAGCATCACAGCCTTTCCAATTCTGGGGAGACTTTGACTCTGACTCTGCAGAAAAATGTGTTTCCAGGGGGGTCTTCTCTCTGGTTGCCAGCCTGCTCCTCTTTTCCTCCATGGGGACAGAAGTCATAACCTGTCCCTTAAAGTCATGTTTTATGAAGTCTAAAAGCTCTAGAATGGAAATCTGTAATTGACAGTGGCATTAACCTTCCCAGGCACAGCTGCCAGACAGAGTAGCTGCAAATCTGCAAGATAAATCTTGGGGCAGCTGACTTCCCAGATGCTGGATCACAACTGCAAACAAGCAAACCAAACCCTCTTAGTGATGCACGGGGCCAGCAAACACCCAGGGCCTCTGGGCTTCAAGGGATGGGAACAATGGTCCCAAGAGCTCTGCCTCAGGTGACATTTTCAGTTTACAGATTCATCTTCACATCCGCAGGTCCCGCAGAGATCCTGCCTGAGAAGTGAAGTCCAACAGAGAGGAAATGAAATCGCCCTTCCACCTGCTTTCTGGGCAGTAGGAACAATGAAGAGCAGAGACTGGCTTGGGTTGAAGTCATGAACCAAGGCAAGATATTTAACTCCTCTGCCACTCCTGTTCCAACAGTAAGAGGTGCTGAGGGGGAGCTATTCTAGGGACACCAGCCAAGGCAGTGGCCAGAGGGAGCCTGTGCCCACTAGGACCTGTGCTTAGTGCTGAGATAATGGCCTGTCACCTGTCGCGCCCCTCTGGGAGCTGACCTTGGTGCTGGGGCTCGTGGCACTGCCAGGATAGTCATGTATTGCTCCCCTTGGTGCTGGGGCTAATGGGAAGTTATTACTACAGTCACCACATCCCTTAACAAAGGGAGCACATGGAGAAGTGTCTCTTTAGGGGATTTTGTCTTTGTGCAAACATCATGAATTGTAATAACACAAACCGAGATGGTATAGCCCATTACATAGCTGGTTTCCATGAAAGGGCCTGTTGGGTCTTCCATATTAAAGATGGTCTGTCATTGACTGAAATGTCATTAATCAACACAGGACTATAGTATAATAGGGCACCGATTAGTGGGGTCATGGAGTTAGACTAGCAGGGATTCACCTTGGCTATGCTGACTAATAGTGTAATACTATCACTCAATCTTGCTAAGCCTTGGTTTTGCCATCTGTATGGTGGGACAAAAGCTTTACCTCCTGGGGGCCTCCCCAATGGTGCAGTGAGTTGAGTGCCATGCTGTGAAGCTGTCCACAGCCTCTGCAGCGCTGGGTCGATTCCTGGCCAGCCAGGGAGCAACCAACATAGCACAGCAGTCCTCTCCTGCCTTGTCTGCTGCTCCCCGCAGCACTGTCTTCGGTCTATCTGCCTGTTCTGCTCCCTGCTCTGTCTCTGGTGAATTCTCTCATCCTCCCACATCTCTAGCCTGTACCCCAGTTCTTGTATAAATACATCTTTTGGGGGAAAAAAAAGATCCCCAGTGGATCTTTATTTAAAAAAAAAATAAGCTTTACCTCCTAAGTCAATGCTTACCTATTCAGGGGATAATCCTTTACAGCAGGTAATCTGCCCTTGGCCCTTACAGAGGCTGGACCCCCAGCTCCGAAAACACCTCAAGATCAACAAGACTCCCAAGGTCAAAGGTTAGAACACAGTCTTTAGGATGCAATAGATATTTTTGTTTTATTTCTGGATGGAGTCATTCTTTCAGTTTTCTGAATATGGTTAAGAACAAGCCCTCCCTTGAAATGAATTATAAAGGAACAGAGGCAGAGCCATTATCCCAAGACACCAGCACTTAAAGCCAGAGTGGGAATGATCTAGGAATCAATCCCTACTTAGTGGGGGGAACCCCTTATCTGTCAAACTGATTTTATATTTGTTTCTCCGAATAAAATCCATTCCTCAACACAGACTAAGCCCAGCTGCCAGCAAGTTGACAACAAAGGTTGCTTAAGGATCAGATGAAATTACCAGCCTGTATTGCCCTCCAGGGGAGGGGTGTCGTGGATGGAGCTGGTGACGCCAGGAAGGAAGGATAATGCACAGCAAATAGCACAACGTTACACTTTGCTGGTGTCTCTCATCCCAACACCGCCTGAGGCAAAGTGTTGTGTTCCCTCCATGCTGAGGCCTGCTGTCTGTGATTCCTGAAGCAAGAGTCTTGGTTATGGAAACACCCTGTAGGACTCAATAAGGTCCGTGGACAGAAAACGCTAAGTATCTTAAAGTGCCAACCAGCCGCTGGACAACTGGGGGTTTGCCAGCCTGGTATCCCACAGGTACAGTGTTGATGCTTGCTTGCTGACTTTTAAATAGTAATAATCATACCCGGAACCCCATTTTTCCAGGGATGGATGACCCGAGGATAGGGCAAGTAAGAGTCACTTTAGGTGGAAATGTAAAGGGCTCCAGAAACCTCCGTATCCAAGATAAATTATATCCCAGCGCCATAGTTTCAGAAGTCAAAACCAATGCAAAATTACCCAAAATATCAATATATAAATAAGCACAGGGCTGGGATTAGGAGCAGGGAGGCAAGTGGGTAGACTTGGGGTTAGGTTCTGGGGCCCCCCTCCTTCCCTGCTCAAGCAGACAGGGGAGCAAATGCACCTGCATAGACCTGAAGTCTGGAAACAGTGATGCAAGTTTTACTCCTTCCAGGAAAACCAGCTTCCCAACCCCCAATGACCAGGGAGCCAGATACATAAGATGAAACAATGAGCACCCAGCCTTTGCATCCTGCAGCGCATTCTTTCAGGAGGAAGAGCTTAAACCCCAGCATCACCTTCCTGTGCACATGGAGACCCCAGCATCGCTTTAGTTCAAAACAACTTAGAACCAGAAGCACCCCGGGTCAGGAATAAATATATTTTTAAAGTCAAGAGTTCACTATGTCTACCTACAAGCTAAATTCAAACTTGTGAAGGTTGGGACAGTCTCACAGAGCAAAATCTTCCCGAGTCCTTCCCAGATTTGAATCCTCTCTTTGATGATCTAATAAACTTTGTTGATCAGTGAGAATTTTAGTCCAGTTAACAGCCTTGTCTCTATTTAAAATTTTGTGACTTGAAAAAATATAGATTTAATTAACTTTAAAAATATTAGCCTTTTTACCTTGGTTCCTGAGGCTTTTGGTTCTCTCCCCCACCCCCAGCCCGCAACCCTGACGTGCCCCAGGCTGTGAGCACAGAAGCTGGAAGAGCACAGGAGGTAGTGCTGGCAGAGCTCACACGCACCGTTTGTCACGGTCCTCAGCCTGTAAAGTCCCCACTCTTATTCTCCAGCTCACTGGTGTTAAAAAGGAGAGGGGAATAGGCCCCAAATTGAGTCGCTCATGCTGGGCCCCCCCAAGTGCAATCCTAACCCAGTCAATCCACGAGTTTCCTGGCTGGCACCAGTGAGGCTGACCATGCGGTGAATCCTCTGCCACCCCCGACAGGTGCTTTGCCTGAGTAATCTTTTTCTTTTGCTAAAACCCTTGTCCTCTCTCTCTGAGACCATAAACCCTCTCACCCTGGCAGAGCCAAGCCTCCCTGCCGAAGGGGAGGCTGCTTGGGTCACGACAAGTTCAATTAAGCCAACTTGACCTTTACATTTATCTGGATGGATTTTGGTTTTTAACACCAGAGGGGGCAGTAAGGCCCAAGGTAAGGACTTGGTCTGAGGTCAGAGCGGAGCAGGACTCCCGCCCTGGGGTCTGGCTCCTGGCTCTTTCCTATGGAAATCTTGCCCTGCGCCTCTAGAGGGGCACAGCTCTGCACCTGGCTGGGCCACAGAATGACCTGCATGAGCATCAGCACAGGCGAAGTGCCGGATGCAGGGGCACAGACAACACAAGGGAGCCGGTGATGTCACCTGGGTGCACCACTGTTGGGGGTCGGTGAGGCAGGAGAGGGGTTCCCGTGAGCCTCGGGAAACTCCATGGCACTCAGCTAGGGCCAACCACGGCACTGTGCAGTAGAAAGCAGCATTTTGCCCACTGGAGCACCGAGGTCAGGTCACTTACCCACCCCCTGCTAGTGACTGTCCCTGTCTCTAGGAAGGAACCTGTCCCCAAAACACACTTAAGATGAAATAAATTTTTCACCGCAAAGAAACCTTCTAGGCTAATGACATGGAAGCCAGCAAGACGCGCTCACAGACCCAGATCGCGGGGTGGAGAGACGGGGCGCCTGTGGGAAGAGGAGCAGGGAGGGCCCCAGCCCTTGCATGGCTCTGAGTTCAAGCAGCAACAATAGTCTCCCCCTGCTCCTCTGGGAGCGGCACGCGGACCCCATCCCTGAGGGTCCTGCCCTTAGACTCAGCTGCATAGCTGTTGTCCGCTCTTACTCGACACCTGCGGGATTAGGATCTCCGTGATTTGTTTCTCAGAGAGCTCCAGAACCCAGATTCTGGTAACAGAAGTGGAATAAGGTTGGGGTGTGGTCAGTGCTCTCCACCCACCCCAGCCCTCACCCCCAGACTTAGCAGTCTCTCCTTAGAGCAAAATACTCTCACTCCCAAGAACCACAGCCATGTACCTGCTCCGATGTCCAGACCCACCTGCCGGCTCCGGGACTGGCTCCTTGGCTGTGAAACCACTGAGTCATCCCGCTGGTCTCAGAGGGCGCGTCACCATTAGGGTGAGAGGTAAAATATGCACTTGCCTCTGCAAAGCGCTCTCTAGAAAGATGTCTTAATTGAATGCTAGACTGCTAGACTGTTTTGGCGCTCAGCTTCACAAGTCTCTGAAGTTTTCTTTCATTCTTGTCATCAGTGCATGAAAATGGAGGCCCAGAAAGAGCAGGGATTTGACCTAAAGCTGCTCAGGGCTGGGACTCGATCTTGGAGCTGCCTGAGCCCAAAGTTCACGTCTCCACCTGGAAGAGCCGCACATGCAGCCTGTGGCTCCTTCCGCATCCCAGCCAGGCACGCGCTTGTAGACGAGCAGCCTGACGCTCGGCAAGTGGACGTGACCTTGAGCAAGGTCACGAGATAGTTAGACCCATGGATAGACCCTAAATGTTGGGGTTTGACTTTACAGCCCTGATTCCTTCGCCCTGGAATCACTCTCCCTCACACTCAGATCAACCAGAGAGACGCAGCGCCCGGTGGACGCGAGGCTGAGGGGCACAGAGGGTGTTGACGAAGGCTCACTGACCTGAGGTCCAGCTACCCCTGGGGGCCCCGGGAGGCCTCTGGGCCCAGCATCTCCCTGCAGCAGGGACAGAAGAAAGGAAAACACAAGATGAGTGACTGGAGCCCATACCCAGGCGCCAGCAAGCCCTGAGCACACCCAACATTTCACTGCCACCCCGCGGGTCTCCCACTCCCACCCTACCCCCGGTGTCTGAGCAAAGTGTGGGGGCTGGTGGTGGCCTTAGGGGGTGCGGTTGTGCATTCATGGGCTACCCGTGACTTACGTGGGTGAGGGTCCGTCGGTGCGGCAGCCAGGTCCCGATGACCCGGCCCCGATGACCCGGCCCGGATGACCCGGCCCCCAGGCACGTCCTTGAGCAGGCCACTCACACTCGCCCAGAGAGGCCGTGTTGATTACATTCATTGCATCACATTTCACTGCTATGGAAAAGCCTAGATCTTTTCTCCTTACCTTTTTCCCTTCTGGGCCTTCTCTCCCTGGCTTTCCCTGAAGACCTTTGTCCCCTTTAAAGCCTGGCATCCCAGGGAGGCCTGGGGGCCCAGGCGGGCAGTCGTGGCACATGTCCTGGAAGAGACCAAATGACAGCACAGCTACCGCGAAGCACCAGCGCCCCCCGGGCAGCAGATGACGGCAACAAACAGGCGGGCTGAGCCACAAGCTGACCCTTGGCGTCAAACGTTGCCTTTCTCGCTCTCTTAACCTTAAATTAGCTTTCCTTGCTGGCAGATCTGGGTCATGACATCATCTCTCCCTCCTGGGTCCGGCCAGACGGCTGGGAATACGGCCCGAGACCAGGTGGTTACAAGTAAATGCCCTGCCACCTGGGAGCGGCTGCCACAAAGACTCTCAGGTGAGGCTCAAATCCACGCGACCTTCGACAAGGCGCAGGCGTTTAGATAGGACCCAAGGCATAAGCAACAAAAGAAAAAAGTGGATAAATGGAATTTGAACAAAATTTTAAACTTTTGCTTAAAAGCTGCAAAGGGCGCTGGTGAACATGAACACTCGCACGATGAGAGGCAGCTGCGTTTGCAGGGCCTGTGGCGGGGCCCTGTGTCTCTCGCCCGATTCCGCTCCCAGCAAGCGCGCGGCGCAGGGCGATGCGCGCACACGGAAAACAGTGCGCCGTTGTCAAGGACAGGGCTCGGGGAGGGTGGAGAGGGCCTGCTAGTGGATACAGGACTTTGTTTCTTGGGTGGTAGGAATGATCTAGAACTAGATACTGGGATCGATGCAATGGAAACCTTGCATAAAAACTGCAATGTACACTCTTGAGAGGCAAGTAAATTCGTAAATGAAAACAATAGGAGCAGACTTAATGCAAAGGTTTAGTATTGCTAGAGGTAGCAAGCTCTGTCCCGAAGCCTAGAGGCAAAACAAAGCTGGGAGCCGAGGTCCCCGTCGTGTAGGCTTGCCCCAGCGGGTTCTGGACAAAGAGGCAGAACAGGCACAGCAGCAGGTGCCACCCTCGGGACTCCCCGGCTGTGGCTGGGCTCTTCTTTGCCCAGAGCAGGTGGTAAGTTCTGCCAACCCCTCTTCTCTGAGGTGGATCCAAGTTCTCTCAAGCCCAAGGAGGTTGTTTTCTGACTTGCCTGTGTCATCCCCATGTTCTGCAGCCTGGAGCACGGAAGGTACCAAGACTCGCAGGCCAAGCACTCTCTGGGCCACGCCAGCCCCTGCGTGCTCATCTGGCCAGAACTCTCTCTCTCCCTGGGGCACCACCGAGGAGCCCCTAGGCGAGACAAGGCCCAGGGCATGCGGCTCTGATGGATTCGCTGCACTGGAGTGGCCGCGAAGTGCTTGGAGAGACACCCCCCTCACATCGCTGCGTTGGCGCCCCGGCTGGCATCCCTTTGGGTCTCTAGCTCAGAGCGGAAGGGGCTTCTGCACAAAAGCAGCTGAATAACCACCCACTTTCACTTGCTTTGTTCTTACTGAGTCCTTACAGACCCTCTAGATGCCGCCTCCTTGGAGATCTCTTCCCGCTGCCTCAAGCTGGGGCAGATTCTATCCCAGATGCCCGCTGAGCAAGCATTTGTCTTGCTGTGGACTCGGTCTGAACCCCACCCCCACCCTGGCCCCAGGGCAGCGGGGCAGCGTGTGCTCCAGAAGCCGGAGGGCACCACTCTGTCTCTGCGCACCCTGCCCAGCGTTGCCTCTGTGGGTGGCTTGAGAAGCGCTGAGCTTTGGTTTTGGAGGTGGGCACTGCCAGATGCTGGGGCACATGAAGCAAGGGTGAAGGAGATGAGCTGAGGGTGCTATTTGCAGCTGCCAGTTTTCATCTGGGAGGGCTGCGCCCAGCTCCCGCCTGTCTCAGAGTGCCTTAAAAGGAGACGCATCCACGAGCACCGGCCCGCGCGGAGATGGACGGACGCGTGGGCGTGGGCAGTGGGCAGCAGGGATTCTGGCCGCGGCGTCTGCTTGGAGGGCACACTGGTGGCAGCGGCAGTTAAGAGATAGTGATTTGACTACGTAGCTCAATGCTGCAGCCATGAAGCCTGATAACCTCACAGCCTCGCTTCTGCTGCCTCTGGGGTGGAGGTCGGGACGCCTTGAGCTGACGTCCTGGGAGGTGGAACAGGGACAGGGTCGGATGCAAACCCAGCTCTGCCCGAGTGACGGAATGGTGACAAACGACCCAGGCTAACAGAAGCCTGTAACGGGCAGGGCCTGAATCAATACTTAATGATTAGTCGTCAGGCCCTGGGCCATGGAGAAAACCCTCTCGTCAATAAAAATCAGGAAAGACTGTTCTATTACTATTCATTTTTAATAGAATGTATAATTAGCCAGCAAGGCGCCTTGTAGGTGGTGAGATGAAACACCCCAGGCTGCTGTGGTTTTCTCCTCCCGTCTCCTCTCGTGCTGTCAGGAGTGAACTGGGCACTCTCTGGCGTCACCCAGGGGCGCTCTCTTGCGCAGGAAGTGAGGAAGGGCTGATCACACAGACCCAGTGTCAAGCTTCACCCAAACTAAGACGAGGCTGGGAGGAGCGGCAGCAGAGGGGCCTCCCCAGAGGGCGGCGTGGCTCCGTCTGAGCTGTAAGTCTCACCCCACCTCTGCCTTGCTGTCCCCAGGCCTTTGCCAGTTAGGACCCGAGGTCCTTGGCCAAGTGCCTGGCCATCAGCGTGCCCTGCCCCATCTTGGCAGAAAGAACATCCTCGCCGCTCACGGAGAGTAGACGGAGCCCTGCACTCGCACCCACACTAAAGGCCCAGCAGCCCACACCCGCCGCCCCACTCGGCCAGGCCCTCTCTCCAGAACGCGAGGCTGACCGTCGTGGGCTTACAAGTCTGTCTATGGAGTCAGCGAGCAGCAGATTCTAGTCTCGGAAAGTCCCTGACCCTTACAGTGCCAGGCTCCTCGGGCACGAAACAGGAACATGAAGCGTGCAGCCCTCAAGGAATCATTGTGAGCAGCGAGCACGAGATGCACACCCAGGGCCAGCACAGCACTGCCCGGGAGAACGGGGCCCTCCTCGTGCACTGTCCCGGGCGGCCGGCAGGCACGCGTGGCCGTCACGCACTTGGGACGTGGCTAGTGTGGACAGGACCCGTATTTGAATTGAACCTCATTTAATTAACTTAGATGTGAGCTGACAGGTAGCCAGCAACCCTCTTACTGGGCTGGATTAGCACGCTGTGGGCACACCGGCAGCTCTCACCCAGTGTTCCTGGAATGCAGTCACACAGGTGCTCAAGCTCCAAAATGCAATCTCGCGCCCCATCCCCAGCTCCAAAGCGCATGCACAGTGACGTCATGCTTTTACCTTCACCAAGAGCTTTATGTCCTCTGGAGACAGCAGCGGAGAGACGCCCTGTCAAAGTAAAAATAAATGAATACACAGAGGCACACGTGCACACACACGTGCACACATGCATCCCAAGCATCTGTGGGCGGTGCGGGTCTTTGAAGCACAAGATTTAACTCAGATCGGTGCTTCAGACAGTCCCTCGACCTCCCGAAGCTGGAGCCACAGAAGTCGTTCAACCCTCTGACTATCGCAAGTGGAGAAAATCAAGAGGTCCTGGGGTTGGAAAGACTTGGATTTGGGGGTGCGAGGAAGCAACCAGCCCTGAAGAGAGTTGGTTTGTGCTGCGGACGCTAAGCCCAAAGCTGAGTGGCCTGAGCGAGCCTCCGGGGAAGGCAACCTCTGCAATACTCATTTATCAAAACATTAAAAGGGGAAAGAGGCTTTATTTTGAAGATTGTTTCTCCGCGGGGAGTTAAGAGCAGAGGGTTCACATTGTCCACATCGGGACATTTTTATGCACTGGGACCTTGTCCCGCTGTGGGTCGAGTTCTCTGTGTAGTGAGCGTTTAGGCCACGCGGCCAGAGGTGGCAGCGAAGGGAGAGAACAAGGAGTGAGTTTTTCGTGCAGGTGCACGCGACCTTGGGGACACCTCACGGCTGCAGCTCTCGCAAGCCAGGTCTCGAGAAGACAGGCACGGGGCCTGCCTGGGGTGGTGTCTGCTGACCACCACGGCGCATGAATGAGCCTCTGAGCCCCCGGCCACACGTGCTGGGTCACTTCCAAGTCTGCAGGGCTAAGAGCGCTAACGGCCCCGCAGCTGGGGGAGACGGTGTGTGCCCAGAGTCCCCTTCACTCCGACCTGCCCTTCACCAGCTGCCAGAACACAGGCCTGAAACGCCAGCTGGGCACAGCCAGTGCCCGCGGTGGGGGTGAGAGCGGCCCCTGGGGTCGAGATGGGGAGGCCGTGGCTCCTCCCTCCAGGACACCTTGCACCCCCCACCCCCACCCCGGCTCTTCCTCCCTCCCACCACGTGGGTCTCACCTGAGAGTCAATCATTGGCCCAAGAATCCCCCCCACCAGAGCCTCTGCTTCTAGGGAAGACAGTTCCGGACAGAGCGATTCTCGGCACAAGTCCCACGAACACAGCACCGAGGGCCCCGTTCTCCACCCACGGAGGCTGGGGGGCGAGGGCCGGGCAGGCAAGGGTTAGCCAGCAGCCTGGGCATCCTACCCATTCCAGAGAGGTGCGCTCCTTCCGGCTCCCGAGGGTAACCTCTGAGCTTTGGGGTGCCCTTCCTGAGAAGGTCTCTTTGTTTACCTAGCGTCTTGGCCAAGTTAGGCAGCTGACGCTGAGGCTGTGATTTAGGGTGGGGTCCCTGGGTCAGAGTGACCTCTGGAGGGGCCAGCAACTGCGTCACTAAGGCCATCAACCCAGGGGTCCCACGACTATGGGACCCCCGTAAAATCTCTGGACACCAAGGTTTGGGTGAGAGTCCCTCGCTGGCAAGGCCGAGCATCCCCGAGAACACTCATCACACCACGACGAAGCCCGGGGGCTGGCTGGGGCAGGCTCCCAGGAGACGCTGAGGCTCAGCTCTCAGGGGTGCTGCCGAGCCTCAGTCTCCCGTGCTGCTCTCAGCGCGCGTCTCCGCACGGTCATAACCATGACTGTGAGAGTCACAGCTTTCCTGAATTCTGGGAGTCCTTCTAGGGAGTCTCTGAACGTGAGGATGGCCTTGGGGACTCCTGAACGAGGCCTAGCTGACTAGGAGGGTTGGACAGAGACCCGCGCGACTGCTGGGCTGTGAGCACGGGGGGCTCTTTCCAGCAAATTTAAAAGTCATCAAGCACAAACCCCTGTCCTCCCTCTCTGATTCTGCCGCCCCCGCCCCGTGCCCTCTGGGTGACGCGCAGTTGTCCACACTGGCAGCTGGACTCTGCTGACTTGGTTCTCTTTGCAGCAAGGTGTCCACACCTTGGCTTGGCGGAGGTCACCCAAACCCTGTTTAGCTCTGGCTGCACCTTCTTCTTCCACCCGATTCAGCAGGGCCTGGCCCTCGGGCGTGAAGTGGACTCTATGAGAGCAAGGGTGAGTGAGGAAGTCCTCTCTAGCCGCCAGCAAGACCTTTCCTCATCCCATTGGAAAAGTTTCCAAACAGGCAAGAACCCCGCACTGGTCTCTGCCGCGTCCAGCCGTCTGGATGAGGGAGAGCAGAGCTTGAGCCCACAGCAGGCTCCGGGCGGGGTTCCTAGCTTGCAGGCCCCACCTACAGAGGAGCAGGTGGCTTGCAGATCCACCCTGAGATGAAGTGTCTGCCCAGGTGAGCACATGGTTCCTGGAGCCAGACTTCGGTCTCCGTCCTGAGACCTGAGGCTCCTGAGCCTTCCATCCCAGAGGTGTCCTCCCCAGGACCCATCCTCCGATATCTGCACGCTCTCCCCGCTCTCCCAGACCTGCCTCACGGTTCCCTCTGTGAGCCCCCATGGCCTGGCCACCGACTCCGCTGGCCTCTAGCACTGGCCAACGAGCGGAGGCCGCCTGAAGGTCTAGGACCTGGGAGACTGGCCACACCCGAGGACCCCGCCCTTGGGACTGTCCATCCTGGCTCAGCCTTTCAGGGCTTCCCCTGCCTTCACTGAGAGAGGACAGAAGTTTCTGCTCCTAGAGGAGCGGGCATTGGGAGGGTTGGCATCCCTGAACAAAGGGGCAGGAAACGGCCAGTTAGAAATCTGCAATGCGTGAGGCCACTGCCCGCATGCAGAGTCCACTCTCGTGTGTCCCCTCCCTCCATGCCTGGGACGGGAGGCTGCACCCCGGAATGCGCTACAGGCTCACTGTCCTGCTGGGCCGAGGAGCGGTGCCATTGGGAAACTAGGAGGGACGCAGCTCCCCCGCTCTGGGCCACGCGCCCCGGCTCCCCGCCCGTGGGCTGCTTCTCTCCCACCGCCCGCGCTCCCACTTGACCTGAAACCTGGCAGCGTAGCTCCCCACCGCGGTTGTCTCCGGCTTCACCGCGCCTCGGATTAGGACCCCCACTCACAGATTTCTAAAAGTCCCTTTTCAAAGTCTCTTGAACTGTCTGAGTCGCATTTTAATCTTGCCGGAGCCCTGGCTGCCGTTACTCGTCCAGAACAGTTAGCTGACATACTGGCTTGCCAGGAGGCCCTCTTTCTCCTGGGTTTCCTGGGACACCCTAAAGAAGAAAGAAAGGAAACATCAGCTGAGCTAAGCTTGCAGCCCCCATGCACCCCCCACATCTGCCCAGCGCAATGCGGCGGGAGAAACACCGCCCGACCTCGAAGACTCGCGCCGGGAACCTCCCGCTCTGGAAGGAGCATCCAAGGGCTCCAGAAGAGAACGCGTGGTGCGTTTAGAAGAGGAAGCCGCCGCCCTAGTCCTCCTGCCTGACTCACAACCACAACGATCCATCCAGTGTCTCGCGCACACACACGCAAACATGCACATGCGTGCACACACGCACACACAAACATACAACACAGCATATACACCCACACGCAAACACACACACATCATAACTTCCACCATTCTTTCCCAAGCACAGGGGGAAGGGCCAGCCCGCAGGAGGGAGCCCCCGTCACCGGGCGCAGAGGACGTCGGCGCAGGCGGGGAGGGTGACGGTCACGGAGACACGTCGGGGGGAGAGGAACAGCGGGCGGCTGCACGGACGTGTGGAGCACAGAGAACCCGGACTAAGGCCAGGGGGAGGACAAAGCTTGCGAGCCGCAAAGCTGAGGCAGGAGCAGGGGAGGAGCAGACGGGTGGAAACAGGGGCGGGAAGCGCAACGGGGCCTGCGGGCGGGTCGCAGGGCTGTGGTGGTGGGAGAACCCAGGGGCGACGCCGGGGGAGGCGCCAGATGCTGCCCTAAATGAACAGCGATGTAAGAAAACAAACACATAAATTTAAAAAGAAGGAACATGGTGTTGGAAGTGGGGCGGGACGTTAGGATATCTGGCGGCAGGGCCGAGGGGACAACTCTCCTCCCTGAACTAGAAGCCGGCGGAGAGGGAGGGCGGCCCTTTGTCCTCCCTCCCCGGGACAGGAAGAGGCAGCGCAGGGCCACGAGCACGCTCTGCTCCTGCTGCCGGATGTCTTCGCGCTGCAGGACCCGTGGTCATCTCCACGGGCGGGGGAGTCCGCGTGGAGTAATGTCCAGGCGCTGGGCAGCCAGGACCACAGGGGCAGAGCACGCTGGGCCCTCCCTTCTCGGCCCCTTCTTAGCTCGGCCCCGCCCGCACCATCCCTTCCCCGAGGGCCCGGCCGCCGAGCGAAGGCCAGGGAGCGGAGATGAGCGATGACCACAGGCAGGGACAGGGGCACCCTGGGAACACTGGATGCGCCGGAGCCCCCTGGGTGGGAGGAGGGCCAGGAGCCAGCCATGGAGAGGGGGTGCCGGATCTGAGCAGCCCGGAGCAGAAATGACCAGTTGGGTGTGTAAGAAAAGGGACCAAGAAGGAGGGGGCGCTGAGGAGCGGCCTGGGAGGCTACGGAAAGCACAAGCACACGAACTAGAATTTGACAGGATGCATGAATGGGGCACAATGGTAGACGAGCAAACCTCTCCAAATGTCCGTGGGGACAGAGAAGGGGCTGGAGAAGGAGGCTCCCTGGGAAGCCCTGACCAGGCCTCGAAGCCGCTGTGTGCCAAGGGAGCCAGGGGACGGCAGGGCGGGCTTCCGGGGAGCGTGCAAGAACCCTGACCGTGGGGACCCTGTCTCTTTACTTACGTCCTGGCCGGCTGGTCCCTGGGGGCCGGGGAATCCAGGTGAGCCTCGAGATCCCTAGAGAAGAAGAGGAACACATGTCCGCCGACAGCCGGCCCGCTGCCCCCCCCATGTGCCCAGTCCGGGTCTCTGCAGGCCCGGGCCTGCCATGGCGACCACCCAGGGGAAGGACGCCTGCTCGTGAGCTCACGCTACGTGGCTGGGCGCGCTGGAGCCAGGACTCGGAGCAGGTTCCTCTGGCTTTTTGGCCTAATTCACGACTCCAGGGCCATCCTCATGCAAGGGAGAGATGTCCGCAGGCCACACTGTCGCCCCACCGCAGGGGGACGGCGGAGCAGACGCTGCCCCGGCCTTGCCCGCCACCATGGCCATGCCCCTCCTGGAGCCGCCACTGCCCGGTTGTAGGTTTACAGACTACATGAGCCCCTGCTCCCCCCAGTTAAAAAGACACTTCCACCGAGAGAGCAGGCGTCCTCCCGGGCAAAGCCAGCCCCCCACTGAATCCATACTGTACCGGGGGTCCCTTGTCTCCGGGCGCTCCAGAGGGGCCCTGGGAACAAGCACACACAGTAAGTAAAGCAGCGACTCTTGCAAACAGAAAAAACAGGGCCCAGTGGGGTTGCTCACGCCAGGTCCCCCCAGACTGGATACCGATGGCAACTTCAGCCTCTCCCCACAGTCACCCGAGGCACATGCGCCGCGCCCTGAGGCCGTCTGCGCTGCCCCTGGGGAGCGGCTCCACCTGCCACGACCTTCCCTAAGTGGTTCATCCTGCCGCCGCTTGCTGCCTGCAAACACCCGGTGTCTCCGCGTGTGGACGGGACGCCGCCTGCACCGCGTCCTTAACAAGCCCACTAGGTCACCGCGTGTCGGTTTGTCCTTTACCACAGGCGATGCTCATGGCACTGCGGGGCGTTCCTGCCAGGGGACGGCCCCCACCCGGGAGGAGCGACCCTGCTGCTCTCAGCCACACGTCTCCGCAGCTGCCATCCACCCAGAAACGTTGAAATGTGAAAAGCTTTCTGGAACCTTCTCCACTTGCCCCTGAACTGGTACCTCCTTACCTGGCACCCACTTCGTTCCCACACCTGAGTCCATCTCTGGTCTGGAGCTCAGGTGCGGGGTGGGAGCCACATCCCAGCATCTGTCCCTAGACGTGCTGGTGCTCACTGCTCGGGAGCCGGGGCACTCGGGGGCAGGCGGGCTGATGCAAGTGCTTCCTGCTCCCACAAGGCGTCACACACAAGCACGCGCACACACGTGCACACAGGTGTGCCCCGCCTGGAATGTGCGCAGGCTGTGTACTTCCACACTCCCCGGGTGAGGTTCCAGGGTACTGCTCCCTCCTGCGTAGAGAAGAGCTGCGCCTGCGCCCGGGCCCTTGCTACGCTGAGGTCTGCACTCCAGTCTGCTCTGCCTTTTCTACCTGGACACAGAGTCCCATGCTCAGCTGAGATGCCACCACCCACAGAAGCCTTCCCGGATTTCTCCCAGGGTGCTCATCAGAGGCGGTGTCCCCTCCACACGCCCCTCCATGGACGCACTGTCCAGCGCTGATGCCGCCCCCTGTCCGGCCCCTCCCTGATTGTCTGCCGCTGAGCCCCGGGCCTGGTGAGTCTCTCCAGCACGCGCACGGCACCCGCTGTAGCCAGAACGCAGCGGAGCCCAGGAACACACGCCCTCCGGACTGGAAGCTTAGAGCAAGAGGGACTTGACAACCTTTGTGATGGTCCCTCGTCACGGCGATCAGACCCAGGCAGCAGCCAGCCCAGGGCTGACCATCGATGTCATCAAGCCACTGTCCTCCCAGAACCCTCCTCCTCCCGGAACCCTCCTCCCAGCAGCCTCCTCCTGCCACGGCAGGGTGTGCTGGCAGCTGGCCCATCAGGACGCTGCCCACGGAGTTGGGAGGGAGGGTTCGGGGTCCAGGCTGCCCCTGGGAATCTCCACCTGCAGACCCCAAGCACCTGGATGCAGCCCTCGGCTGGAGCAGGCTTATGTTTAAGCTTTTCAAACCTTGCTAAAGAAAGACCAGCAGCCACCTGAAGGGTAATGGGAGTGTCTTGTTAATGTCTTAGAGCAAGAAGCCCAAGCTCTGAAGGGATCACCCACACGTACCCCCGGCGGGCGATGTGCGGGCTGGCGGCAGCCCATCCCCTCCGGGAAGTGAGGCTAACTTGGCAGTCAAAGGCCTTGGAGTGTAAGGCCGGGGTGGCACCAGGGGGTCAGAGGAATAACAGGACCAGATCCATCCTGGACGCGCCTTCTCTGGGGGAACTTAATGGAAATAATCCCTCTCTCCTGAAGGCCCGGGGTGGGGCGGAGGCGGGTGGGAGTCTGGGTTGGAGGATGTGGGAAGTGACACACATCTAGACACTGGCCTGGGCCAGTGTGTGACATGACCAGTTACATGACACTGGTCTGGACCAGCCGTTGCCACTGGCCAAGCCGCACCGCCCAGTGGACCTGAGCTCACTCACCTGGACTATTAGTGGGGCAGACACCATCAGAGCCCCCTTCCATGTTCCCCGGACACACACCAACCTGGCAGCTCCTCGTTCCAGGCTCCCGTCCAGGGCTCTCTGCAGCCCAGGAGGATGCTAGCTCATGCACTGGGTAGGCTGAGAGTCCCTGGTATCAACTCTCCTGGGCGCAGCCCTCAAGCATGGGCCAAAAGTGCTGGAGCACAGGCCTGTGGCTTGTCACTCTCTCTGCAGGACAACTGCCGCAGCACCCTACAGTGAGTGCCCAGTGGATGCCTGAACATTCACACACCCTCCTGGCTTCCCGCCCCCATGCTGACATCGCCAATCCCTGAGTGGTGACTTCTGAGGCCATTCCCCAAAGAAACGCCTTGCCCTTGACTCTCGTTCCAAAGATCTCTCCTGCAGAATCCTGCCTTCACCCGATGACAGATCCAACCAGCTTGCACAGGACACCAGGAGGCTGGTGTCCGGATGCTTCTGGACCCAGCACAGGCCAGGCACAGAGCCTGCTGGTAAATGACAGAACTCCTGCCAGGGCACCTGCTTTCCTGAGGGGCTCCTACCCATGTTCCCGCCGCCCCTGCATACACCTGCTCTCAGCACAGCCCTGAGCCGTCCCCAGGTCTCCAGCCATTAGTAGCCTAGGCTACAAGCCAAAGGCAGGATTTATGAAAATTCAATAAGGTTTCATCCACTACGGAAGCTTTTAATAAGTTGAAGTGGAGGAAGGATACTAAACAGTTGATTTACGGCCTCTTGGCCAGAGTCGACCAATTACTTGTTAGGTGTTACCACTTGGGCAGGGACATATTTCACGGGCAGTTTTAGCTGGCGCGTAAGTGGGCGGCTGCAAGAGTGGGGTCCACCTCTGTGGCTTGGCTTTCTGATTTAGGTTTCGGGACTCCTGCGGGTAGGTTGGGGCATGCAGTACCCCGTTACATGATGGAGGGGACGGGCCCAAGTTACGGTTCTGCAGAACCACTTGTTTCCAGCCGAGGGGGTAACTCCTAGCTGGCTCAGGAGATCAGGTGTCATTAAAAGGAGTTTAGAAATGAGAAAGTGTGAAATATTATCTCTCTTCACTATATCTTTTGCCATATTCTTCCCAGTTACCAAAAGACAGAAGATAAAGCCGATGTCACAAAGTGGAGAGTCTTCTTCATAGAAATTTCTAGCTGATACTTTCTCTTAAGGAAAGCAGATGCAAGACAAAAACTAGAGATTCCCGAGGGGATCCCACATGCCTTTCCCATGGTTTCCAGGGACGCCTAGAAAGATACTGAGCCACCAGGCCCTCCTGCCACCTTGCCATTAGCCCCGCTTGCTGGGGGCATGAGGAGAGTAAGGGGGACATTTCTGGGGAGCGGGAATAAGGAGTGTCTGGGGGAGATGCAGGAGGAGAGAGCCCTGGAGAACTTCAGCAAGAAGTGAGAAGCCCGAGGCCAGGCCTGCAGCGCCAGAGCACCGCGGAGGGAGGAGAGGCCTTCTTACTTTATAAGAGACATTGTGGGGAATAAGGCGGATTTCCTTACATATTTTTTGAGAGACTATGAAGGATGGGAATGCTTTCATTATTTGGGGGTGTGCTCTGCATTTCTCGATTGAAAACCCCGAGACTGGACATCTGCTCTGGTTCATATCTGGTTGTGTTTAGTAGGGGTCCAGTCAGACCGTGTGGCTGGATTAAAATAATAATGATAATAACAACAGCAACAACATCGTGTGGGTAGCAGAGTACTCTGAGGCTTAGTGATGACATTTGAAAAGAATTGGGTGTTTGAGCTTCTTTTAAATAATGGCATGTGCTGTGCAGATTATTGGTCTTTTCCCAGAATTCATATATTGAAACCTAACTCCCAGGGGGATGGTATGGAGAGGGGGGTCATGAGGACAGAGCCCTCATGAAGGGGAGCGGTGCCTTGGTAAGGGATCCCGGAGACCCGCGTCCCTCCCTCCCCAAGAGGACACAGGATAGGCCACTGCCCCTGAACTAGGAAGGGGTCGGCCATCACTGCATGTGCGGGTGCCTTGACCTTCCAGCCTCCAGAACTGTGAGAAGTCAGCTCGTGTTGTTTAAAGCTCCCCAGTTTGTGGCATTTTTGTTACAGCCACGGGAATGGACTAAGACTAAATGGCTGTCAAGTAAAATGTAAGCATGTTTTAGGTGCATTAACAAGGCATCGTATCTTTCACAAAGAAAGAACAAAACAGATAAGACCCCAGGTTTGAAAATTGGCCTTAAATTTTGATGGTTATTCGACGTACTGTATGGAGGAGACAGGCCACCACGGTCCCGTTCTCTGCAAAGAGACCCGTCTAATAAACTTCTATTCTCGGTGGAAATCACCGCCTACATTTCCAATCCAGGCTTCTAGCTCTGAGAGAAGCGTGTCTTCTGCTTCTAGAGCGTCCAGCTGGAGGCTGGTCCAGAGGGCTGGTAGCCTTCTCCAGCTTGGACGGGGGCCCAGATGACATTGATCCTCATGGTCCCCTATAAAGCTTTTATAATTCCTAAATTTACCACCTCCAGGGAGTCTGCGGACTCACGCCTCCTGATTGAGGTGAATTATTCATCAAAGTGAAGCCGCGAGGGCTACTTTGTGGACTTGACCTTGGGGCTGCGTTAGGACTGTTCTTGGCTCTACTCACACTCGCACCTGTGTGCTGATCAGAGGCGGAGGCCAATGAGACACCCCTTTTTGCCTGGACTGCTTGAGATCATGCCGTGTCGCCCACATCACACCCCTTCCCCAATCCTTTCAGTTTCAATTCACTAGTTACAACTCAGTGTTTGCCAAGCTTGTCTGTCTTTTCTTTCTCTCTATTTAAATTTTAGTTCAATTTTGTCCTCTTGCTCCCCTTTGAGCCAAACGAGACTTGACCTCCCCCCAACCGCATTTCCCTAAGAAACACACCCAGATTTCGTAACACAGCCACCCACAGTGGACAGACCTATACCCTGACCCATCTACGGGCCAGGGACCCACACCCAGGTTGGCTGGAAAGTGATGTCCCTACAGCAAGACCCAGGCTGCACTGGGGCCCAGCAGGGAATGGCTGTATGGCCAGCAGCAAGGAAGTTCTGGGTGAATAAGGACTCACAGGAGGACCAGCAACCCCAATGCCTGGGTCACCACGGCTGCCAGGAGAGCCAGGAATCCCAGGTGCACCTCGGTCCCCCTAGAAAGAGAAAAAATGAGATCAAGACATCAGTTCCAGAAAGGAGAGAGCAAGGGTGCAAAAGCGTTTATGTCCCTCATGCTGCCCTATACCCGGGCCCCACGTCTCACCTTCACCCGAGCAGCCCATCCCCCACCTGTCCCCACACGGAAGCCGCAGCCTCCAGCAGTGGTCATGCAGCTTTCAAAGCTGACCTTCTGGACCTTGACCACAGCACCAAATGTGCTCATGACAACACGCCCCTCCCACGTGACTCCACTGTAGGTTCTGTTGTGCTTTCTCCTGACTCATCATGCCCCCATCCTGACCACACCTCAGATTGGACCACATACCCACACCACCACTAAATTCACAAATCAATCCACCAATAACGTGCCAAGAACCTATATTTTCTGATCACTTTTTCAGAGAAGGGCGGGATGACCAAAATGTAACTTCTGCCTTCGAGCATAGTGGTTATTATAGTAAAGTCCCACAATTGCCTGGGATTAAGGTCTGACCTCCACCCTTACTAACAGCTGACTTAAAGTGACAAGTCCCTGAGCTCCAGTCTCTTCCTCTACATAGAGGGGTAACAGGAAGGGCTTCCAGGTAACAGAGGACACACCCAAGTGAGATCATGCAACAGAGTGTTTGGCACACTTGTTGTCGTGGGGCTTGGTGCCAGCTGCATTGGCTTTGATGCAGTGTTTACAACCCCAGCTAGCCCATTCTGTATGCATATTCACACAATTATGTTGCAGCACCATTAATAGTCTGATCAGAGGGGCTTTCCCATGCACCCTAATAAGTGTTACTTATGTAAACACCACGGAAAACCTCCTGGGGACCCCGCCCCAGTGTGGCCAGCAAACAAGCATCTCTGTACGCTGCACCTTGCATGCAAAATTCTACGTTGCCTGAGGTGCAAGTCAGTATTTTCAGATATGTAAATATTTAATGATGTCCAGCCTTTGCATCTCTTCACGCGGAGGAGACTGGGTCATGCATTTCCTTCCTTTAGTATTGGTCTGTCTTTGGATCTGGGCAATTTAGAGCCGAAAGTCCCTCTCTCAAGAACAGTCACCTCCTAAGTGCCCATGACTCACTGTTTCTGGCTACATGTAGAAGCTGTGGGCTTGTGTTTGGAGAGAAGCTCCCACAGGGCAATGTCTATTTGGGCTGCTTCCCAAGTGTGAATCTCACCTTGATTATCTAATAAGCTCTTTGTGTAAGTACTCTGGAGACTTAAAGTTTCAATTAATAGTTGTATAGATTGAACATTACTGCCTTTCTAAATTCCAAAATAAATCCAATCCAAACACAAATAAATGGTCCCCAGCAATTCTGTATAAATGGCTGTGCCACTGGGTCAGGTCAGCTGGACTGCAGTCTGACCCTCTGACTTCTGTGTAAGTGCCATGACAGTAGGAACTATCAACTCAGTCATCAAAACCCAATAATTCAACAAATAGTTGTCAAGTAGCTAAAATGAATCAGACTCTGTTGGGTACAATATCTATACACTTTTCCATCCAGTGTGCCCAGCTTAGGGCTGGCACTGCTTGCAGTCTTTAATCACCATCTCCTGAATGCCAGAAGGAATGGATGCGTCATCACTCACATTTTGTCAGGCACAAAATTCTGCTTTTGACCCAAATTAGTGTTAACAGGGGAGGAGGGAGCATATTAGATAAGTGCCCCACAGCCCAGCCTGGAATTCCTGGCCCGGAGAGTTCTTATTCCAGACCTGGCCCAATTGGATGTTTACGTCCCATTGTGACACTAGCATTTTCCCCAAGAAGTTACACTTTACAGCTTAATGAGCTGGAACTTTTAGAAAATGGCCCCAAGAAAAGAACAAAGTACCTTAATGCTCAGTCAGAAAAAGCAAGCTCATGATTAAGGAAAGAAGGCACATGAGCTCGATCCTGTAATACTGACTTGAGCATCTGTTTTGGCTGCAAGGCATTCTGGGCCAGATTCCAACAGGGCCCAAGGAAGAAATGTGTGAGGAAGTGGGGGGTCATGGAAGGACACCTTTTGAATAACAAACATGTCCCCTAGGATGATGTCTTTCTACAAGAGTCCTTTGGGGGGGGGGGGTAAATATTCTTTAGCCATTTTTACAGAAAAGGAACAGAGGGTCTCAGAAAGGACGAGCCACTTGCCTTCAAATCTATCTTGGCTGAGTTACCAGTTCTGCATGAAGGCAAAGCCTGATTAATTTTCTAGAAACAAGCTTCCCCCAAGAGAAAGGCGTCTTTAATAGTCTGCACTTACAAGTTATTAGGAAGGGCCAAGAGGATGCCCATTCGCTTTCCTGCCTTAATTTTCCTAAGTGCTTTCGGTGGTCAGCGCCAGGGACAGCGCCAGGGCGAAATACACAGGTGCTTTATCCAGTATCTAGCTCCATCTCTCCGCACTCCTGCGCCTCCTCCTGAGCAGCCCATCCTCCAACTACCTTATCAGTGCCCACTGACCATGGAAACTGCTATTTCTACACCATAGTCTAACTTGCAACCTCATACAATATCAACACTGCAATGGAGCTTCGGTATAATGTCTCACATTTGAACTGGGTGGAAGTATTTGGTCCAAGGGAGAGCACGCCTTATCCCTGAACCCTGTGAATTTGAGACAGGTTGGTGAACTGAGCCCAGCCCGGGGCTCCCTATATGCCTCACTGCAGGGTCTCAGCCCGCCTCTCTACTCTCCAGTACCCACTTGGCCCCTCCACAACGTGCCTGCTAGGATGGAGAGTTCTCCCCAGACACCACCCTCCTGCTGCAATCCTAAAACAGACTCCACAGAGTGATCAATAATAAGTACCACTAGTGGGCCTCCCTGGTGGCACAAGGAGGTAAGACGCAACCTGTGAAGCTGTCCGCAGCCACTGCAGCACGACTTTGATCCCCGGCCAGGCAGCTGACCCACCTGGTGCAGCAGACCTCCCCGGTCTCCCCGCTGCTCCCCTCAGCAGTGGATTTCAGTCAGTCCTCCTGTTTCCCACTGTTTCTGGTGAATCCTCTCACCCACCACACCTCTGGCCTGTACCCCAGTTCTTGTATGCATAAATATTTTCTTTTTAAAAATGAGTATCACTAGTACTTATGATCATATGACTGTGACAAGCATGAGGCTAAGCAACTCTATTTACTCGCATTATAACCCATTTTTACCCAAACTGCCTGGGAGATAAATTTTATTGATCTCATAAATACTTATCACAGAGAAAGGACATCTTAACCATTTTCCTTCTTTACCATTTCTGGTGCCTTTGCCTTCCTTCCAAGAGATCAATGTCCTTTGGACACTGAAGGTCTCACTTCAGCATCGGGAGGCTCAGCACACTCCTCAGGCTGGCTGGTAACTCACAAGGTCCTCCAGAATCAGGCTCTGCTTCCGTCTCTGGTTCCACTCCACGTAAGACCACTACTCCAGCCAGACACAGCCACTTACTACGCCCCCACTGCAGACAATGGTGCTTCCATTTTTTTCTTCAGAAAATAAGGAGCTGCCATATGTTTGCCCACATTGCTCAAAAACTATTGTATTTCTTTTGACTTTGCTCTTGAACATCAAAATCACTATTAGCAAATGCACATCAATTAGTGCAAGCTCGGGATGCTCACGGGATGCTCACGGAGGTCACCCATCTGGATGGGGCAAGCCCTGAAGCAAATACATTTAATTTAGACAACACGGTCATTCCCGAGGCTGCAATGTCCATATCCTGCATATTATTTTAAACAAGCCTTTTAAGTACAATGTGAAAAGTGACATTCTCTGTGGTTATGCTGCTCAGATTGCAGAGATACAACTACAGAATTAAAATAAAAACTTTCCTATTACCGGGATGAGTATCTGGTGCTTGGGGGGAAAAAACCTAGTAAGAGAGGCAACATATATGAATTCCTATTAAATCACCCGGCTGGATGGGCAGCGACAAACTTTAGGTCGGTGCTAGATAATTCGGAAAGTGGCTTTAGGGATAAAAGGAAGCGGCACTGAAGGCACATAATTTTTTTAAAACATGTTTTCATAAATAGATACCAGGGGTAAAAACAAATATACTAACATTACAGCACCCCTTCAATCTATGTGACCTGAAATGCTTGTGTTCAATTAAAACAGTGCTGCTTCTAATATCAAGAATTAACTATGTTACTCCATTCTCAAGTTTCTGCATCTTCGCTGGTCAGATACTTTTCCACTGGCCGAGGCTGCATTTACAGCACGAGGTCTTCTCCGAAGACAGTTTTCTTTCCCTTGCATCTGCTCTATGTGCTTCAAGATCAGGACCAGCTTCACCTCCTCCCAAATGTCTTCCAGAGTCAAACCACGCCGGGTCGGCGGCTTCCTCTCTTTCCCTCTACTGGTGCCCGTTCCGGCCCCGTTCTGTGGTTTCTCCAGTGGCCCCTGAGCTGCTGGGGGGCAGGACACTCACACACATTGCTGTCATCCACAGCCAGCCTCAGGCCTGACACGTGCCGGCACGGTGGAGGTGCCATGGACGAAATTACAAACACACTGGTAATTGATGCAGGAACAAGTCAAGGAAGGAACAGTTCCGGGCAGGGAGACTTCAGGGACACGTCCCTGCCACCCGGGAAAGTTCTCTTAAGAGTGTGTTTGCAGGGCCTCCCTGGCGGCGCAAGGGGTTGAGATGCAACCTATGAAGCTGTCTGCAGCCACGGTGGCATGAGTTCAATCCCCGGCCAGCCAGGGAGCTGCCCACATGGCACAGCAGACCTCGCCTGGTGTATTTCAGTCCATCTGCCTGTTCTGCTCCCCACTCTGTCTCTGGCGAATCCTCTCACCCTCCGCAGCTCTGGCCTGTACCCCAGTTCTCGTATGCATAAATAATAAATCTTTAAAATAAAAAGAGTGTGGCTGCAAATGAGTTGAGGAAGAGGGCACTGGTGTTTCCAAAGTGTTTCCCTTTCTGGAATCCTAGGTGCTCGATGACAACCCCGTTCCTGCCGCCCCTCTCGGGAGTAGCACCAGCTTGGTGGGAATGAATGACCACCTGTAGCCTGACCCGTCAAATCTGCCCACAGGCCCTCCACTGTCCGCTCCTCCAAGTACTCCTGCGTGCCAGGGACATGGTGGCGGCTCCTGAGCGCTTAGGAGACGGAACAGACACCAGACTGAGGAGTGTGGGGTCCGGCATGGCTGTGTGGGTCAGAAGCCACCCGCCGAGACGCCCACTAGCCTGAATGTGAGTGAGAAGTAGACTGTGCGATCAGCAGCTGTAGGGGGCCATCTGTCGCCACCACTCCATGGCCACACAAGATGGCGGGGCCCATTCTCTGCTGATTGAAAGTCAGTGTCGCTTGCCACGTCATTTAATAAGCACCAACTGGGCATGCTGGAAGGGCACACCCGGAGTCACGAGCCTTTCCTCAAGCAGAACGTGATGGACAGGAGTACGAGTGGCCAGAGGTGCTCACAGTAACACTCCCGCGGTGCCTTTCTGAGGCCAACCTGTGGCTCCTGCGGTACAGGTAAGACTCACCTTGGTTCCTAGGGGTCCAGGTAAGCCAGGTGGTCCACGAAGTCCCTGGGGAAATGAACAAATGCCAGGAAGTCAAGGACCCCAAGTGCCCCCTGCCGTGCCCTCCACCTGAACACAGGTGTCCCCAACTGTCGCATTTAGAAAAGCGCCACTTCCTCTGAGCCATCTGCCTGGCCCTGCGGGGGCCGAGGCCCTTCTCTCTGCACAGCCCGTGGCTGAGCTGGCTGGGATGGCTCCGTGCGCCGTGTGGACGTTGTGCCGCCCTGGCCTGAAGAACACGAGCGCCACTGCTCCCCAGCCAGGCCCCCAAGCCCGCCCACGGCCTCCCCACATCCCCTCCCCCCCCGGCTCTTCCTGTCACCGGCTGTGACTCCGTCTCTGCAATGTTCGGCCAGTGAGCCTTTCTCGTTTCCAAGCCCAGCCTGATGGTCACGGGCGCAGGAGCCCCTGGTTTCTGGGGACACTTACCGGCTCCCCATCTTTCCCCTTTCCAGATGGTCCAGGGAGCCCGGGAGCACCAGGGTCACCTCTGGGGCCAGCTGGTCCTGGGCCACCTTCCTCGCCTGCTGCTCCCTGAAAAGAAAAGTGGACAGTGTCCAGGCTCACCGACCCCCAAGGAGAAGCTTGCTGCTGGCCGGCGTCCGAGGGCTGGAGGGCCCCGGAGATGCCCCGACTGCTTCAGAAAGCCCCCCCAGCAAGTGGGGAGAATGACAGATGGTGTGCGCCTGGTTACATTGTGTACCCCGAATGGACAGGCTGAAGTCCTAACTCCTGTGCCTCTGCTTGGAAATAGGCCCTTTGCAGATGTTAAGAAAGGATGAGGTGACACCGGAGGAGGCAGGTCCTGACCAACATGACTGGTGTCTGGTGAGGAGGAACTGCACCCGGACACACTCGGGGGGAAGACACGGGGACAAGGCGGCCATCCACAAGCCAAGGAGAGGGGCCCAGACGAGGCCTGAGACAGGAGAGACAGGACATTTCTGCTGTTTAAGCCCCTGGTCTGTGACGCTCCCCACAGCGAACACGCACACGTGGAACATGGAGACAGAAAGGTCGTGAGTGGTGAACCCATCGGCCCCCACTCAGGGCAGGACTCCACTCAGCTTGGGTCCCCGCGGAGCAGAGCGGTCACCACCTCCCCAGGCTGCTTGTGCACGGCCTAGACTCAGTGGCTCCTCATGGCCAGCCCAGTCGGCCTCCCTGCGGCCTCCCGGACATTTGGCATGCAAGCGTGGAGCTCTGCAGACAAAGCCTAAACCTTCACACAACAGACCTTCAGTGATATGACCACAGCTTTGGGCTTCAAAGTGGGGAGAGAGAGCGACACACACAGAGAGACAGAGACAGAGAGAAACACACAGAGACAGAGACACATACAGGGACAGAGACACATACAGGGACAGTGACACACACAGGGACAGAGAGATGAAAGAGTGACAGAGACAGACATGACAGCCTCTGACAAGGAACTGGCTTTGAGCTCCCTGCAGGCCAATGTCCTCCTTTCTGACCCCACAGCTCAGCCCCTTGTGGCTGCAGGGCACGAGGCTGCCCCGCCGGAGCCCGGGGACTGCTCCCAGAGTGGACGCCCTCGGGCCCAGGGCGCAATCTGGGGTCTCTCTGGTGAAGAGCAGAAGAAAGAGGGGCCAGGATCGGCAAAGCCAGGGATGGAGAGGCCCCTCGCACGCCAAGGGCAGGACCAGCCTCCCCAGCCTCAGACCAGCCCCTGGAGAGTGGGACGGAGGAGGAGCGTGTCCGGGCGTGGACGTTTGTCCACTCTCAGGGCACTTGCGTTTCCTTCCGAGTTCCGGGAGGGCCGTGGCGTCCCTGGGCCAAGGAGAGGTGTTTGGCGCCCCCTAGAGGGTGAGTGAGCTGACAGCACCCCGCGCGCCAGGGCTCTGGTCTCAAACCCTGACGTCCACGTGCGGGTCCAGCTGCGGGTCCACCCACCCGGCCCGGAGTGGAGAACAGTCCTCACGCCTGGTGTGACGGAGGCCAGGAGATGGGGGGGTTTCCTTCCCTGGCTCAGCCTGGGTGACCTCATGGCTGGCCTAAGGCGGTATTCATTACCTTTCTCTCCAACACATTAGCCCCCGGCTCACACGGGTCATGACTGAGCTGGGGATCCAATTACGCGCAAACCCAGGCAGTGCCCGCAGTTGGCTGCTCATTTTTCTCGGCACTAAACAGTTTTGCATTCTGTGGATTTCAGAATCCAGCCTCCCCTCCCCGTCTGTGCTGGTCACATTTGAAAGATAAAAGATAAAGAGCTCAGTCCTTTAAAAGTTCCCAGGCAAAGCGGAACAGAAGGAATTTGTTTTGAGAAGTTCAGACACGTGTGCCAGGAGGGGCACTGGGGGGGGCCAGGGACAGCTGTGTATGTCTGTGCCACCTGCTGGGGTGCGGAGCAGCCCTCGGCCCCTGCCCCGCGCAGCCAGGCCCCTCCGCCGGGAGCCTCGCGACCCTGAGCCACGTCTCCTGCCCCAGGAATCTCAGGGCAGAGCAGACGCCGCCATCGGGGACAGGCCCGGGGACGGTGGTGGGGGCTTGGGGGTAGTTTGGGTGGCCACATGCATCTGACGAGGTGTGAGCCTGTTCCCCTAAACCAACATCACTTCAATTAAAAAGCACACACGAAAGCCAGGCCGCTCAGCTCGCACGACTGCCATTCGGGGCGTCTGGGTGGGGGCGCGTAATGTCATTTGTGATTCTGGGCATGAGCCCCGGCTTCAGGAGGCGGCAGGTCCCCTTCGCCCTTGAGCGTTGGTGTGTTGGGGGGCCCGTGTCGCTCCTCTTTCCGGTCAATAAAGCCTGTCCTCGCAGCTTGGGAAGTCTGGCAGCAGCGGGGATGGGGGAGCACTGAACTGAGAGGGAGCAGGCCTGGGGAGCAGCCGCGTGTGCCGGAGATGGCCCGTGCCTTACCTTCTCTCCGCGCTCCCCGTCCTTCCCAGGGGGGCCTCTGATGCCAGGGGGGCCCTGAGGAAAAAAGAAAGGCTATTGACATGCAAATTCCAAGGTGGCCTGTGCCCAGAGAGGGTGACGAGGCCCCTAGGGTCCAGGTGGTTGATGATGGCAGCTGTGTCCTGCTCGTCCCGCCCGGCTCTGCTCCTGCCCTGGGCACGCACGCGGCGTGGCTGCTGGACTCTCTGCGGAGGCTCCTGGAGGGACGGGTAGGGTCCCTATGGCAGACCCCAGGGAGGGTGGGGATGACCCAGAAGCCAGGCGTGACATCGGAGGCCTGCCCCCCGCCGCCCGTGTCTCGGGGGTGCCCAGAGGCTGAAACGGGCCCTCACCTTCCAGTAGGAGAACAAGCTGGTGAGGGGGGTGGAGAGACAGGTGCGTGTCATGGGGCTCTGCCCTGCGGAGCGCCAGGGCCAGGCAGGACGCACCCTCAGAGCCACCCCGGTGGGGGCAGAGCTGGGGCATCAGTGCCCACAGATCAGGGCGGCTGCTGGGGCCGCTGACAATGCCACGTGGCTGGACAATGACAAGGTCCCAAGCGCCAGAGGAAAGCCCTGGCTCGCAGGCCTGGCTGCCGGACCTGCCCCTCCGGGCAGGGGAAGCTGCTCCGAAGCACCTATGGCGACCGCTCCCCACCGGCCTCCACTCCCCATGCCCCAGTCTCCTCCTGTGTGATGGGGGAAGGGCAATACCCGCCCCCCGAGGGCAGGGCCTGCACGTAGCCCCGGGTCGGCCTCCCAGGCCAGGGTGTCCGTGCGGTGGTGGCCGAGCAGAAGGACCTCGCCGGCCCGGAGCCCAGACGCTCGGTGGCCTTGGCGGGCCCCTCGGAGCTCCCCCCAGCAACGTAGAGTCAGCGTGGACGGCGGACCCTCAGCCAGGCCCCCGGTGGACAGCCCGGCCCACGGGGAGAGGCCACACCCCAGAGGGCGGCTGGACAGTCGAGGGCTGAGGGGCCCAGCCCTGCCCGCTGCGTCCACCCTGGAGATGCAGAGCTCGGGGTGTGGGAGGGGCCAGGTCCGGAGGCCAGTCGGAGCCAAGGTGTGACTGGAACCCAGGTCCCCCACAGCCAGGACCCCCGAAGTCTTGGGTTCATCTTCCCTGCTCCAGGCAGACGCCGGTGCTGGTCTAGCAGCCGGACACTTCCAGACTCCGGCAGCCCCAGCCACTCCGCCCCGGCCTCTGCTCCCCGAGCCGCCTTCGCCTCGGGCGGGCTTGGGGCGCGGGGACTCCCTGAGGAGCGGGGGTGTCCCAGGAGAACTCGCCACATGGCCCAGGCCTGGGCTCCCCACCGGGGCTGGTGACCCCGCCCCACTCACCGCATTTCCTGGGGGGCCACTGGGGCCTGGGGGTCCCGCAGGTCCGGGCGTGCCCTGTGAGGGGGAGACGGTTGGAAGGGCTCACCGCTTCAGCTCGTCCTCCCGCGGCCTCCACGGCCCTCGCCTCCGCGCTGCGCTCGGCTGGGACCACGGCTGCGCCGAAGCCCTCCCTGAGGAGGGGGCGCGCCTCCAGCCTGAGTCACGGCCAAGGCGGGTGTATGTGTGTGGTACGTGTGTGTGTTGTGTGTGTGGTGTGTGTGTGATGTGGTGTGTGTGTGTGGTGTGTGTGGTGTGTGTGTGGTGTGTGTGTGGTATGTGTGTGGTGTGTGTGTGTGTGTGTGTGGTGTGTGTGGTGTGGTGTGTGCAGAGCCTGCATTGCTGTGAAGCGGGGAGGCCAGGCCGCCATCTCTCTTGTCCTTGCTACTCAGAAGCCCCACCCTGGCCGCCCGTGCGTGGATGGCGCTTCCTTCCCCACCCTGAGCCCAGAGCCAGGGGCAGATGCTCAGCTCTGTCCCCCAGGGGCCCCAGTGGCAGGTGGGGCTCCAGGACTCACAGGGTTTCCAGCCGCTCCGGGCACCCCGTGGGCACCGTCTTGTCCCTTGGCACCCTGCACAGGAAAGAAGAGGGGGAAGGAGACATCATGGTAACATAGTGGTCATCCCCTCCCCACCACTGTCTGGGGACAGCTTTCTTGTGAGCCTGTTCCCCTAAACAAGCTGTGAACCACTGTTACCTCAATATGCATGGATGGATGGATGGATGGATGGATGGATGGAGGATGGATGGATGGATGGATGGAGGATGGATGGATGGATGGATGGAGGATGGATGGATGGATGGATGGATGATGGATGGAGGATGGATGGATGGATGGATGGATGGATGGATGGATGTAGGATGGATGGATGGATGGATGGAGGATGGATGGATGGATGGATGGATGGATGGATGGATGGATGGGTGGATGGAGGATGGATGGATGGATGGATGGATGGATGGATGGATGGATGGGTGGATGGATGGATGATGGATGGGTGGATGGATGGATGGAGGATGGATGGGTGGATGGATGGATGGAGGATGAATGGATGATGGATGGATCGAGGATGGATGGATGGATGGAGGATGGATGGGTGGATGGATGATGGATGGGTGGATGGATGGATGGAGGATGGATGGAGGATGGATGGATGGAGGATGGATGGATGATGGATGGGTGGAGGATGGATGGATGGAGGATGGATGGATGATGGATGGGTGGAGGATGGATGGATGGATGGATGGAGGATGGATGGGTGGATGGATGGAGGATGGATGGATGGATGGATGGATGGATGGATGGATGGGTGGATGGATGGATGATGGATGGATGGATGATGGATGGGTGGATGGATGGATGGAGGATGGATGGATGATGGATGGATGGAGGATGGATGGATGGATGGATGGATGGAGGATGGATGGGTGGATGGATGGATGGAGGATGGAGGATGGATGGACGATGGATGGATGGATGGGTGGATGGAGGATGGATGGATGGAGGATGGATGGATGGAGGATGGATGGGTGGATGGATGATGGATGGATGGATGGATGGATGGATGGATGGATGGATGGATGGATGGACAGAGGATAGAGGATGGATGGATGGATAGATGGTGGATGGACGGATGGATGGATGGGTGGGTGGACAGCTGGATGGATGGATAAACGGGGAGGGGAGCATTCTGAGGAGGAGTGGGAGAAGTGTGTGCTCACAGTCTAAAAACAATACATCAAAGTGGCAAGTGATCACATTTACGACTCAAAAAATCTTGATCCAAGCTGGAAGGACAGGGCGCAGGTGGGCCCAGACAGAACCCCCAATCTGTGACAGGAGCTGGAACCCCACCTGGCCTTACTTTTCCCCTCCTGACCCCCAGGACGTCGGGGTCCACCTGCCCCTGCATCCCTATGCAAAGTGGCCCAGAGCGACAGGATGGTGCAGGCACCCTCAGGCAGTGAGGTGGCCCGTGGAGTCTGGGTCCACACACCCCATCCTAAGCTGTGTCCCCAGCGGCAAGTCCTCCAACCCCAGAGAACTATCAACAGCTCAAGCGTCAGCTAAGCCAAAACTAAGACAGGCCCCAGAATGCTGTCCAGGTCAGAGCTGCAGCCAGGGCTGGTGGGGAGAGGGTTTGCACTCGGAGAGCCCAAGGGGGCTGGGCCGGGAGCGCCCTTCCAGAGGGAAGGGGACGTGGTGGGATCCGAGTTCCCCTAAAGGGCAGGGTCCAGAGGTGGGGGTCACAGGGTCTGCATTTCAGGTGTTCTGCAGGGGCCTCTGGGGCCCTGGGCTCATGGGTCTGGTCAGCACAAGGCGGTGCCCCCAGGAAGGCACTTCTGAGGTGTCAGGGGAGGGGCCCGTGGACTGGAGAGGTTTCCTGGTCTCAGAACCAGGGCGTGGAAAGAGGATTTTCTTACCGGTGGCCCAGCAGGTCCCCGAGGCCCCAATTCTCCAGGATGGCCCTGAGATCCCTGCAAAGAAAGGGCCCTTAGTGACTAGATCACCCCCTCATTCTGGGCATGTTGGGAGGCATGGGTAGGTGCCATGGGTGTGAGTTGAGGTCTGGGAGGGTTGAGGTCTGGAAGGGGGTGTCCCTAGAATGCCGGGGGTGGGGGAAGGGGCTGCATTCCTGCGGTGGGGTACCCGGGGGTGGGTTGTACAGCTCGGCCCTGCACCTGCTCATCCCAGATTCTGGGTAACCAGCCTGGGCACCGGGCTCTGACCAGGGCGAGGATGGAGGTGCAGGGACTCACCGGTTCTCCGGGCAGGCCGGGATCGCCCTTCTCACCCTTGGGCCCTTGTTCTCCCTGTTGATACAGAAGCAAAGATACAGCAGACGCAATGGCCACGCTGGCCTCACGGCCATCCTGCCCCCAAGACTGTCCCTCTGCCAGGCATGTCCTTCCCACGGCACCAAGCCGAGCAACATTTCCCATCCTTCAGGCCTAAGGCCGAGAGTCTTGATGGACCCCCGCGAGGAGCGAGCTGCCCGTCGGGGCTGCCTGGCTGTCTCTCTCCTCCACGGCTCTGGCGGTCGGGGCACCGTCAGGCCATTTCTGTGTTGTGTCCTGGTGACGGGGGCCAGGGAGAAGGGCCGGCACTGCCCAGGCCAGGAGTCTGCACACGCGGGGCGCGGGCTGTTTCCTCTTGCTTTGGACTGAGATTCCAGCCCCGGGTGCCCGAGGTGTGCGGGACACCGACGCCCTCAGATGTCCCAGGGGTGTGCCAGCGTCAAGATGACCGGAGGCGGGAGGCCGAGAACAAGACCTGGGGGCTGGACGTGACGAATACCAGGAGCAGCAGCTTGACGCTGCCTGGCGGGCTGTTTGCTGGGGACTGCCCAGCCCGCTCTGAGACCAGCTCGAGGTGGGTGGTGGACGGTCTCCTCGGGGTTACGCCCCCATTCTCTCTGCTCAGTGGCCGGGGATCTGAAATGAAGCGCTTGCACGTGGGGCTCCTGCCTGCTCACTGGCTCCTGGCAGTGGCCGGGGCACAGGCCTGTCCCGCTAACGCTGTGGCCTTGTGGCCTGCAGCGGCGGCCTAGGCGGGGCCAAGTGGAGCGAATGCCCAGAGGAGGGAGGGCTTTTCCCAGCCGCTCGGCCCAACCCCTCTGGAGCTGGGCTGGCGAGTGCAGCGCTGGGCGTGCCCAGAGAGGAGAAGTTGCCGGGGGTGGGAGGCGGGTTCTCCTCTTGATCTGCTGGTGCCATGTCCAGGGTCCTGGGAAGGTTGAGATGCCCACCCTGGCCTTCAAGGTAACAGGACAGGTGGGCAGACAAGAGGCTATATCCAGGTGGACCACAGGCCTCTCTTACGCTCCAACGGCTGAAGGCCCCACCCAGCCACAGGAGAGGAGCCGGACTAGACCCTGCTGAAAATAGCACCCCCTCTTGAGCCTCGCCCAGCCCCACTTGAACCCCCGCTCACTGGCCACACAGCCTGGGGCAAAGTGTTCCCCCACGGTGACCCTATCTGCAAAATGAGCAGGTGGTTCCCACTTCACACGGAACAAGGTGTCAGTGCAAAGGCAAGGGGCTGCAAGATGAGTCCACAAAGGAGACAGGCGAGTCTGGGGTGCTCTCCTGCGGGAGCAGAGGACGTGCCTCAGCAAGGCCCTGCGCAGCTCTGTCTCAGGGAGGGGACCTAGCACAGTGCATAGGTGCACGCCTGTTTGGGGAGACACCCCACCCCCCACCTGCAGGACTCAGGGTAGACCAGCATGTACCAGGAATGTAGGGGGCGGGGGTCCTACATAAGCCAGGAGTTTGAAAGCAAAGACCTTGGAGACTTTGGAGGTGTAGGGAGGACCGTGGAAGTATCTAGAAGGCAGACCCAGCATCTGATTAGGGGATCTGGAGGAAAGGGCTAGTGCTCAGCCTTCAGTTAGCTGAGTGGCAGGTACAGAAAGGTGCTGTTGGTTTTAGTGTTTCTCTCTACATTCCCACCTGCCACAGGCAGATTTGGGGACCTTGCTCTCGAGGCTCCTCCCTGTCCTCCACTCCCAAACCTCTTCTGGGGCCCCCGCGAGTGCCAGTGGCACAAGCTGGTTTCCTAATTTTCTCTGCATGGTCTACTTCAGAGAGCCGAGACCCGGATTGAGTGAAATTATTTTTTTGCTAAATATGCTTCATGGTACTTGACGCAGAGGAAGCTTCCGCAGACGTGAGCTCATTCCTTCTGGAGGCCTCATTTCCAGCCAGCTCAGAAGATGCTGCTGGCCCCAGGCTGGCCCCACGTGCCGGGCCATTCCACGCTGGGCTTCCCCCTAGATCTTGCGTGGTGAGGGCTTGAGAGATGGCTGGTCCTCGAGTGCCCCCCTACCTCTGCTCAGGAAAGAAGCCCCTTAAACATCCTCTCCAGTGGCCTTCGGGGAGTCTGCCTGAACCCCTCCTTCAGTGCTGCCTCCCTGGTGTCCAGGTGAGCCCAATACACCGTGTCTGGAGGTGTGACCCGCCTTTTTGTTGGTACTTTGTCAGACGCAAGTTGGGGGAGACTCACGGGCATCCTAGGGTGCGGCGTGAACAGGGACGTCTGCAAAGGAAACCACAGCGTGAGAGGCGGGGTCAAGTCCAGAGCTGCCTCGGACAGACGCCCCACCTGGAAGGACACGGGCCTGACGCTCCCTTTAAGTATCATTAGTTCTGACGACTAGAATCACATGCTCTGTCCGGAAGCTGTTGCCAGGGAGAAAGCCGAGCGGCCGGAGGCAGGGACGCTGGAGTCACAGGCTGAGCTCAAGCCCCGCCGCCCCTCTGCGGCTGTGAGGGGGACGTCTGCCAGCGCCTACACCCTCAGTGGTAAATGGGATGAAATGCTCCCCACGTGGGCGCTGCAGGGCGGATGTGGAATCATCCTCCAACATCCTCAGCAGCACCTGGGGCCCTGGGATGCTCCCTCGGGGTCTCCTTCCCACCATCATCTGCTGTGGCTAAACGAGATGCCGGCGAGCCTGGACACCAGGGAGGCGCTGGTGTTGTGACTAAGCAGTCATGTGTGGGAAGGGGCACCCCATCAGCTTAGGAGCTTTGAGCAGGAGAAAGGGCTAGAATAGTAGTACTTACTGTTCCAGGTAGTCCAGGGGGCCCGGCTGGACCGACCTCACCCTGGATGGAGAAACAGAAAATAGATGACACTTTGTCCTCCTGTCAAGTCCGCTTATCCCCAGACAACAGAATCACCCACCCTGCATCTACCTGGATGATGGATGGAGGATGGATGGATGGTGGATGGGTGGATGGATGGAGGATGGATGGATGGAGGATGGATGGATGATGGATGGTGGATGGATGATGGATAGTGGATGGATGGATGGATGGATGGATAGACGATGAGTAGAGGATGGAGGATGGATGATGGATGGATGGATGGATGGTGGATGGAAGATGGATGGATGGATGGATGGATGGAGGATGGATGGATGGATGGATGGAGGATGGATGGAGGATGGATGGAGGATGGATGGAGGATGGATGGATGAATGGATGGATGGTGGATGGATGGAGGATGGATGGAGGATGGATGGAGGATGGATGGAGGATGGATGGAGGATGGATGGATAAAAAAGAAGGGAGGGGCCTCCCCTGGTGGCGCAGCGGTTGAGCGCTGGGCTGTGAGGTTGCCTGCAGCCTCTGCAGCACCGGTTCCTTCCCCAGCTGCTGGCGAGGGTCCCACAAAAAAAAAAAAAAAAAAAAGAAGAAGGGCGGGAAGGAGGAAGACGGAAAATAGACATAACTGACCGGCGCTAGGCAGATGGATGAGTGATGGACAGTAATAGATCCCGAATTATAAAATATTTTCAACACACAGCACCCTATGTTTTGAGAGGTCGCTACGGTGACTTACACATTCACACGGCCGTAACTATTGTGCGTGAGGAAATAAAGGGAGCCCCACACCTCGTCACGTTGAGGACATCGCTGCTTCCCACCTATTGGAGCCGCAGGCAGGGTTGCTCCCCCAAACCAGGCCCAGAGCACCAGGCCCAGAGCTCCAAGCCCAGAGCTCCCTGAGAGCCTCCTCTGGGGCCTGCCCTCCCCTTTGAAGGGGAAAGATGTTCTCGGGGCTGAGGGCACCATCCTACATTCCTGTGAGCAGCACAGAGGGGCTGACTCTCTAAGCTTGCGCCCCAACTCTACCACTTCTACATTGTTTTGCCTCTTTGTTGGTTTTCCTCTTCGCAGGATGAGGCTCCTGGACAGACAACTGGCCACAGAGCACAGGGGCCGAGTGGGCCACGCTTGGCACAGCAGGCCAAGGAGGGAGGCGACCACATGACCCCGAGGGGGCTGGGAGCACAGCAGGGCGCGTTCTGGCCTCCTTTACTCTCCTTAGAAGAGCCTAGAAGATAGGCCACTTCAGGAATAAGGAAACCGAAGCCTAGAGACGCCCATTCCCCTGCCCCGAGTCACACGGCCGGCACATGCCGAGCCCGGGCCGGAACTCGGTCAGGCTGGCAGGAAGGAGGAAGCTGCCCTCATTGCGCTCCAGAAGATTTGCAAAGACAAAGGCCGCCCAGTGCCGTCTGCACCACCCGCTCCCCGGTCTCTGTGACACCTGGGCTCACGCTCCGCACCAACCGGCCCCGGCCGGCTCACGCACCAGCCCTGACAGGCGCCCACGGCAGAGTCGGCGGCTCCCCAGTTCACTGTGTAAACGGGTGTCCGAGAGGAGCCTTCGCGGGGAGACCATGCCCCCAACCCGGGGGACAAGGGGCCCCGGGGCTGGCGCAGGCGCGGGCGGGGCTCTCTGACGCGACCGGGGGCCTAGGACCGCGGGGCGCCCGTTGAGGGGCCTGGGCTCGGCCGTTCTCGGGAGCCTGTCACGCCTCCCTTCAGGCCCGCGGGGCACCAGTGCCCACAGCAGGTGGCAGGGAGGAGAGGGCTGGGGGCAGGGCCGGAGGGGCCCTGTGGGCACAGTCAGAAGGGGCACCGGTGCATCAGTGTCTGATTCTGCCCCCCCTTGGCCTGCACTGTCCCTACCCCTTTCTCTGGAGGAGGAGAAAGGAGACCAGACTCTTCGGAAGCCTGCCCGGGGTTCTGCCCTGGCCCTGGCAATTCTGCCAAAGCAATAAAGAGGGCTTTATGGTTTCTCTGAGTCCTTTGCATCCCGGAAATGAGATTCTCAAATGAAAATCGCGTCTCTGGCAAGTGCGCGCGCGGGCCCGGCTGCGCGGCCTCCCCACGAGCCCTTTCCACGCCAGACACCACTCAGGTCGCCGGCCGCCTGCGGCAAAGCCCTAAGTTGTCAGCCCGCGGCGGGGGTCGGAGCCCCTCCCAGAGCAAGGGAGCACAAGGGAACAGGGGCGAGCGGCGGAGTCACCCTGAGAAGGACGTGCGGACCCCGCGCAGGGGCCTGGGGCGAGCCCGTGTGGAAGGGGGCGCACCAGGCCCCTGGGACGGAGGGTCCCCAGGCCCCAGACCCCAGCCTCCAGCCAGGGGGTGCACGGAGCTGCCAGGGCCAGGACACTGGAGATCCAGGGCCCGGCGCAGGCCCCCGAGCCTCTCCTGCAGCCTGGAGGAGGGTCTAGGGTCCCCAGGCCCCTCATCTGTACAGTGCATGGCCATCGGCAGCAGGGACCCCAGAGCTCGGCCTCCCCACTGCAGGCAGCACCCACACATGCAGAGGGGAGCCCCGGGCAGCAGCTCCTACCTTGTCTCCTCGGTCACCTTTCAGTCCCGGGAGCCCCAGGCCGCCTTTCTCTCCCTGGGGAAAAGATGACCTGTCACCCCGGGCAACTGAGCAGCACCAGGGGAGATGCTGCCTTTCCTGGGGGCCGACGGCTGCACAGACCCCATTCCTCCAACGCCCTCACCTGGCAGAGAGCGCACCGAGGCGGCCCCAGGAGTCCTGGGGACTAAGTAGACGCACCGGCTCCCCAGGCGGCAGCCCCCAGGTGACCCCGCCCACCCGGCCCTCTGCAACTTCAGGGGGACAGTCCACCCTCTCCAGGGCCCACTCAAGGCTGCCACCCTCCTGGTCCAGCTCACAGACCAGAGCTATCTGCCCCCTCCCCCACTTTTTCTCATCTATGAGCACCGGAGAAGGCCCCTTGAACCCCAGTCAAACCCGCTAGCCCCCCAAAAGACTCCCAAGGGGGCCGCTCTCCCCAGGCTCAGGTGAGGGGCCCCAGAGGAAAGGCTGTGGGTCACTTACCTGTTCCCCCTTCTCTCCCCTCCGGCCCGGGAGTCCTGGTGCACCCGGCAGACCTGCGGCTCCCTGGGGGACAGGGGCGCTGTTGAGCCAGGTTGCAGGGCCACTGCCCCTGCTCCTGCTTTCCAGCCCCCAGAGGTCTCGGACTTAGTGGAGGTGATGGGGCAGCCAAGGGAATTGCCATTGGGGCGTCCCCAGGCTCTCCCCACTTGTGCCTCCCTCCCGCTCGGTGTCTCACTCCTGGCCCAGCAGCTCTCAGGCGCGGCCACGCCTAGCTCTCCCCGACACGCCCCCAGTCTGAGTTAGGGGCTCCCCGAGCCCGCCCTCACCGGCTTGTCGCTCAACGCACCTCGCACAGGTGCACCAGGTCATGCTGGTGGCCCCCCGCCCCTCACCGCCACGGACACGGAGGACTTGCTGACTATGGGGTGGGTCACTGAATGTGTGAACTGAATGCCACGCGCCCCAGGGACCCCTAGAACAAGTCCTCGCAGACGCTGGGGAGCAGGGGGTGGAGCGCATGGGCCTTCGGGCAAGTGACACCAACAGACCTTCTCTCCGGGCTGGCCTGCCAGACCTTGCTCCCCAACTTCACCCTGGAGACAGAACAGACACCCCATCATTTTCCCTGCACACTCTCTTTGGGGTACCCCCACGTCCACATCAGAGGGTCCAGGGCCACAATAGTGGGCTCCATCCAATCCCACTGCAGTGATTTTGGATCGTGTGCATCTTTTTAAACGAACACGAATGTCGGTTCTTATGCTGTGAAGACCCCCGGAGCTGTGCGCCCCCAAGGGCGGGCTGGGGTCCTAGAGTCTGGACTCCAGGAATGGGGAGCCCAGGGGCCGGGGGAGCACTTCTCCACGGTGGCAGACAGCTGGGGGGGGGGCAGGGCTGAGAGCTCTTGCGCTTCCACGGGGCCTCTAAAGGCTTCGAGGCACGGAGCGGGGCCCAGCCTCTCGCCAGCCAGCAGGGGCGTCCTGCTCATTTCGAGGGACCGTTAGCCAGGAGGGGGGAAGGCAGGAAGGAGGGAGGGCCCCAGCGCCCCTGGCTTGCAGGACCCACGCCTCCCCGCTCCTGGGTGCCCGGGGCTGTGACCCTCCCGTCATCCCCCCAGCCAGCGGGCCCCATGCTCCATCCCGGGGGGCCTGCAGCCCTGACACCGCTTGGATAACAGGAGGGCAGGCGGGGGGTGCGTACCCGAGGGCCGGGCTTCCCAGGAAGGCCGTCGTAGCCTCTGTCCCCGGGCTCCCCCTGGAAGGAAGCAGCAGGACGGTGAGGGCCATTGGCCGGCGGTGCAGTGTGGGGGGAGGGAGCGGCGGGCGGAAGCTCCTGAGTCCCGGGGGACCCAGAGGGCCGCCACCACCTCGCAGCCCCACGTGCAGCAGCTGGGCGGGCAGGTGCGCCTGCGCCCGAGGCCTGGATGGGGCAGAGCTAGGAGGGGCCCGGAGAACGCGAGCCCCCGGCTGCCCTGGGCCTAGTCTTCTGAGCCGAGGTGGGTGGAGAAGGTCACGTAAAATGCAAGGAAGTGAACTGAAATTCCTCATTCTGCGTGAAAGACGCGTTTCTAGCTCTGCTCACTGACGAGGATGAGGAACCGTCACCGCTGCCTGCACGCCCGTGGCCGCGGCCGGCCCCCCTGGGCGACGGGACAAGCTCAGCTCAGGCCTGCGGCTGGCGGCTCTCCACCGCCCGTCGGCGCCGCCCACGCCCCCTGCGCCTGGCAGCGAGGGTGTTTGCCCTCCAGCGCCAGCGTCCTCCCAAGGAGAACCTCAGGAAGACGTTGTTTTCATTTTCTCAAGTTTTGTTGATTTGCCAGATACTGACTTGTGGGGTTGAGCGAGCACAGCCTCGCCCCTCTGTACACGCTCGCCCTCCCCCGCCCTCCCCCTGCGCTCCGGGCTGTGTCCCAGAGCGGTTTACAAGTATGTTAGCAAGAGTGTCTGCAAGGTTCTCTTCCTCACAAACAAAATAAATGCAAATTTTTAAGATTCAAAATGAACCCACGCCCCTGCACCCCCGGGCTCCTGCGCTGACGCCCGGCGCCTGCACCCTCCCCAAGGCGGGCATCTCCGCCGCCCGCGGCCCAGGCCGCCCGTGCAGTTTAATCCCCCAACAGGGACGCATCCCCCTGGCTCTGCCTCCGCGGGTCCTCCCCTCATGCACCCCGTGAATACCCACCTTGGGTCCTGGCAGGCCCGGAGGTCCATGCAGCCCATCCTTTCCCGGGGACCCCTGGCCAAGAGGGGGAGACACAGACGCATGAGGGCAGGCCGGGGAAGCACCAGCTTAGCCAGGACTGATTCAGCAGCCAGAGGCTGGGAACCCCTTCTTATCAGAGGCGCTCGTGGCCTTATCCATGGGGCCAGGTCCACTTGCACGTTTCCCTGGGATGGGGATGGGTCTGCCCCTCTGGACCCTGCCAGCCCCCAGCGGCCCAGAAGTGTGGGCGGGCAAGCGGGTGGTCGGCTGGACCTGGTTCTGAAGGTCCCATTGCCACATCCAGCTGCCAGGGGAGGAGACAAGCCAGGCCCAGAAGCAGCATGAGGACCACAGCCTGACCCAGGCCTCTGGGAAGATCGGCTTTCCCAGGAAGCCGATCTCTCCACGCAGGCCCCAGGGCCCCAGCCTCACCAGGCCTTCCACTGCTTCTCTGTGCCCTCATCACAGGTCGGAGGCTCAGGAGCCGCCCCTGCCATCCTGCCCTGCAGAGCCGAGGCCGAGAGGCCAGGAGACGGACACCCACTGTGCCAGGCGGGTGTTGGCTGAGCACAGGCCTTGGAAGAAAGGACAAGCTCCTGGCCCAGGTCATCTTGGCTTGGGGTGAGAACAGGAGGCCCGTGGCCTTGTCCTGGGCCGGCCATGGCCCAGCCCTTGGCCCTCTCTCTCTACGTGTCCCTCCTGGACAAACACAAAGGACTTTGACTTTTTCTCTGGGTAAGGAGAGCAAAGGGGCAGAGAGAGGGCACCCCAGTTGGCACCCCAGCTGCAGTCACGGGGGCAAAGCCGGAAGCCAGGGCCCAGGAAGGCCCCTGAGGAAAGGCCTGGTCCTGGGGCCTGGGGGTGAGCAGCAGCGCGTCCCGTGGAAGGCCCCTGGATGGAAAGGCGGGAAGCCGGGGGGTCACTCACCGCCTGCCCAGGGTGCCCGGGTTTTCCCGGGAAGCCGATCTCTCCAGGAAGACCCTGTAAAGGGAACCGCAGGGCACGGTGAGTCTGGCTTCCTGGGCATCGGCCCCTTCATCCCACGCCTCCCTGGCCAGGCCCAGGCCTCTGGCTCCATGAGGAACCCAGTGTGGACGCATCTGGGAGCCAACGCGTCCCCACGCTGGCCTGGTCCACAGCGGCCACCCGCCCCACACTCATCTCCACTGACTGGGGTGGTGGGGCCCCCTCCTCTGCCCACACCGGGCTGCCTCCCCCAGCAGGGGTACCTGACCCCACTGCCCTCTGCAAGGTTGCCCAGCAAGGTTGCCCATTGCACCCAAAGTTGGGGAGAGGAAACACGGACAACGCCCCGCCCCGGCCTGCTGTGCCCCTCACGGCCAAACCACGAAAGGGCGACCAGGCTCCCTGGACAGTGCTGCAAGCAGCTGCTCCCCGTGCTGGGGCTCGGGGCTGAGCGCCCAGGGCCTGGGCTCGGCCAGGGCGGGACCCCTGCCGACACCCCAGCACTGGGCCTGGACAGAGACAAACCACACACAAAGATGCGCCTGCTCCAAGTTCCCTGTAAGAGAAAGTCCAAGCCAGTCTTACCGGGGGGCCTCCGGGTCCAGGCGGGCCTGGGATGCCAGGGGAGCCTGGAGGTCCCTGCAAAGGAAGAGGGTGGAGGGTTACAACACCACAGCCCCTCGAGAGGCTCCTCTGGGCTGGGGGCGGGGGCTGACGTCAGCAGTGTCGCGGCTTCTTTTCAAACAGAAAGGAACAGGAGCAGAAAGAAAAGACCGAAAATCAAATTGTAAAAGATTCCTTCTGAGGCGACACAGAGAACGGCTGTTGACTCTTCGACTCTGCAGCCTGCGGACGTGCGGCGTGCACACAGCGGGGCAGCCAGGAATGAGGCCCCAGAGCAGGGGTGCAGCCCTAGTGGGCGGGGAATGTGGGGTGAAGGGCAGGACCGTAGGTCTGCGGGAGGGCCGAGAAAAAGCACGTGTCACAGTTCTGCAGACAACTCTCCCGACAGCAAACCTTCTCCACCCCACCCCCTCTTCACTGAAGGAACTTGGACGTGTGACCTCACGCGGGTCTTGGGGCACAGGTGTATGAATCAGCCCCTGCGTGTGTGAGTCCCGCCTCTCACCCCACCGTCAAGCCCTTCCCTGATTTCCCCACTCCTTCTCCCTTCCCTTCCAGTAACCACTATTTTGTTCTTCGAGCCTAAAGGCTTGTTTTTGTTTTATTTGTTCATTTATTCTTTATCTACCGCATATGAGTGACATCGCATCGTCTGTCTGTCCCTATCTGGCTCCTCGCCCTACGTTCTGTCCCCTCTGGGTCCGCCCAAGTTGCAAACGGCAGGGTCACAACTTCATTGTTCACGGCTGAGTAATATTCCACCAGTCCATAGACTGATGCATTTGCCCGCGGGGCAGCACTTAGATTATTTCCCTGTCGTGGGGGTTGTGAACAACACTGTGACGAATACGGGGGCACAAACATTTCTCCGAATGACTGGGTTTCTGTTTTTTTGGTGTTCTTTGGAGAAACACGCAGCAGTGGGATCACCGAGTCACATAATACACTTATTTTTAATTTTTAGAGGCCCCCATGCTCTTCTCCACAGCGGTGGCACCAGGGACGACCCCAGCAGTGCGCGCCGGCCCCGTCTCTCCTGTCCTGGCCAGTGCTCGCTCCTTGTCTTTAGATGAAGTAAGTCATTCTGCAGAGACCCGTCCTGCCCACCACATTCAGACCCAGATTCACAATCAGTCTAGTCATTCCTTCCCGGTGCTTATGCGCCGCACCCAGGAGGCAGGCGCTGCCCCTCGGTGTACCTGGGTCACCTTCACCGCCGTGGTGACTGCAGGGATGCAGGGAGGGCGGGGGAGGGAGCGCGTGGCAGAGTCTCTGCCAGAAAGCGGCAAGTGCTCCGGGAAGCCATCAGCACAGGCCAGGGGGTGGCCCGGATTCCTGCAGGGAGAAGGGGAGTGGCTCTGAGGGGCTCCTGTGGGGAAGAGGCCAGGAGAAGGGGCAGCGGGCAGCGGCAGGGAGCCAGGCGCAGCGGGAGTGGGGAGGCCTAGGCTGAGGGCACGGCCGAGCTCCATCTGGGAATAGGGGGCCGGCTGGGTGGGGCAGGGCCGGAGCCGGGGGCTCCCAGAGCCGGGTCAGGAGACTCCATCTCCAGGGCAGGCCTCGGACAGGCACGCGCTGAGTTTCCCGCGAGCACTCAGCGAAGCAGCCAGCCTGGAGCGGGCCGGAGGGGCCAGGGCGGGCCTGGGTGACAGGCCGGCCAGCCGGTGAGGCAGGAGGGGAGGTGGGCCTGAGCGTTCCCGACAGGCCCACCCAAGGCCATCGCAGCACAGCCGGTCCCTCCGCGGGTGAGGCCCTCCGCGGCCCATTCCTGCCCAGTGCTGCCCTGTGTTGGCAGTGGCCTCCCCGGCCCGTCCCCTGCATCGCGGCCAGCGGCAGAGCAGACCTCGCCAGGGCCTCTGTGGCTCAGGGGTCTCCCCTCCCTTCCCATCTGCGATGTTCCTCCTCTCTGCCATTTTCACTAGTCCCCCAGGGGAACGCGCGCCCTCCTGGGGTCACCTGAGCACAAGCCCTGGAGCCAGAGGCCCCTCTTGTCCCTGCATCTCTGGGGAGCCCAGCTCCGGCAGGTGGACCGAGGAAGTCAAGGACTTGAACCCCCCGCGCCACTAGAGGGCGATACACGCCAACAAATGGCAAGACTGTGCGCAGCGTCCACTCTCGGCCCCCTGGGGGCGCGCGGCAGCCAGCAGCGGGCTTGGACTTCGGGCAGTTGGGACGCGGACACTTGGGCAGCACCTGGTTTTCTCTGTAGCTCTGCCAGGCCCCGTGAATCTTTGGGGGTGTCTGTTGGGGGACATTTGCTTGCAGCAGGATCAATTGAAGGTCCAGGCAGAGCTGGACAGTGACCTGGACAGGGACCGGCCAGGCTCCTCCCTGGTGACTGCAGCAGGAGGAGGGTCAGTGCACAGCTGTCCACTCAGGGGTCCCGCGGGTCCAGCCTGGGACACCGTGTCCAGGCTCTCCGTAAGTGTGGGGACGCCTGTCCAGGCCCTGAGGCCAGGTCTTGGTAAGGATCCGCTGCAGCCACAGGAGCAAGAGCAAACCCTGTGTGGCAGTTGGCCCACCCCCCGCGGAGGCCACCAGCAAAGACAGAGCAGCGGGGACGTGGCTGGAGAGGCTGGAAAGCGGCCTCCACGGGCTGCACAGGGCAGCGAGCTGCCTCCGGCCTCCTCTACACGGGTGGGCAGGGCCTGCAGGCCCAGGTGGAAATGTCAGGGTAGTGGTCAGGGACCAGATGCCTCTTGCCAGAGCCCTGCTCGGGAGGCCCCAGCAGCCGGGCAGGGGCACATGGAGGCGGAGGGGGCCGAGGGCGCAGGAGCTCTGCTCGGACCAGCCACCTGCAGGGGGCTACGTCCAGCCTCCTCCAGGCCACCAGGCACCTCGGGCAGAGTGGACCTCAGCTCTGCTTTGTCAAATCGTCTCCTGTACAAATGTCCACTATTTGTCATTCTGACTTGCTTTACTGCACAGAACTCCCTTCAACTCCTTCCATTTGGCTGTAAATGGCAGCTTTCACCCTCCTTATGACTGAGTAGTATTCCAGACAGTGGCGGAACCACATCTTGCTCCAGCCCTCGCTGCTACTGACAACAGCCAAGCTACGGCACGGCTCCGTGCCCGCGGACACAGGCATGGACGAGCTCACGGTGTGGACTCACCACGGGGCGCTACTCAGCGATCAAAAAATGAGCTCTTACAGCTCGCCACAGCATGGTGGGCTCACGGAGACAACTCGCAGACCGGGAGGGCGAGCTCGGGGCCTCCAGGAGCTCAGTGTGCCTTAGGCCCGAGCCCTGGGAGAGCAGGGCCTCCTGGCCACACGTCCCTGCGCCAGCCCAGCCCCAGCCCTGCTGGGCCCCGCACACACGCCCGCAGGAGGCTGGTCACTGCGCGTTGGAGAACCAGAGCAGGAGACTTCGACCTTCACAAGGTTTTTGACCAAGGAGAACCGGCCTGTCTGCTAGTCTAGCATTGGAATTAAAGATGGGCTAGGGTAGCGACACGGTCAGGTTTTACTCTGCCGGGCACGTGGGAGCGTGGGCACGGAGCACGCAGGCCTGAGGGTGGACACCTGGAGTGTGGTGTGGGGCTGCGTGAGTGGGCACAGCTGAGCCTGGACGCTGGGGCTACAGGGCGGAGTCACATGCAGAGGACGGCTGCAGCAGAGGACGCACGACTAAGAGGAAGAGACCACAAGAGAACGCCAAAGCCAAAGAGTGAAGATTCTTGGGGGGCTAGCCAGCCCCCCGGCCCCCCTGCCTGCCCTGTGCCTGGCTGCCTCACTACAAATGGCGTAGAAAGATCAAAGCCTGGAAAAGCCACCGAGGGCTCCAGGACTGTCCTTTATCCGCTGCTCAAGTTGGTCGAGAACCTGCCCAGTGCCTGCCTTCCCAAGCAGATGGCAAACCAGAAGTTTATTTTGAGGGGACCGTTAGCTTTGGTGGTGGTGGTAGGGATGGCACAAAGAGATGAGGGACAGGGCTTGGGGCAAGATGGCCGAGGTCCAATGCCAGGTCCCCTGGGGCTGCCTGCGCTGGCGCAGATACTGGGCCTTGGGGGTGCAGACCACCCGCCTCCAGGGCCTCCGTCCCTCCGTCCCAATGCCTCAGGGGCTGGATTAATAAGGGTGTGTGAACTCACCCAGCATGGGGGAGGCTTCCCAGGTGTGAGTTCACTCTCTTATCACAGATAAAAACATAACAAAATAACTAATTAATCTAATTATTAATGAGTGTGACAAATTACCACTAGACCTAAATGTTCACAACAAAATGATGACTGTTTTAATTATGACTAATGAAAACAACCAAGTAATGAGTCTACTTATTAATTAACTGATCAGGCTAATTATCGTTAATGAACAGCACTTGATCCTTCTAATCTGCTCGTGACTAAACAGCTCTCTAGCGGGCCTGGGAATTAGGGGATGCTGCATAAATAACCAATGAGCCTATTATCATTAATAAGGGAATGGCAAATAATCATTCCCAGTAACCACCTCCCTCCAGTGGAGGCGGATTTATGAAAGTGCCTGGAACCTGAGGCTGCATGAGAAGGACTCGCATACATGAGCGCAGCCGTCACACCCCGCACCTGCACACACGGGCTTTGGAGGAGGTGTCCAAGGTCCTCCCTCCAGGATGCGGCTCTCGGGGTGCAGCGGCAAGGACTGCCAACCGGGGGGTTCTGGGCAGCGGCCCAGGCCTGGCAGCCCCTGGCCTGCCTCTGCCCTGGCTGCATTCCCACCTCCTGTGGGACTTTCATCCGCCCGACATCTGGACAGTCACCCAGACTGCAGCACCCGACACCGGACACGCCACACCCCGCCTTTCGTTTCTCCAAAAGGCAGAGGATGCTGGAGCCACCAGCTGTGACACAGGCCGCCACCATCCACCAGGTGGATCTTTCAGCTCGAAAGGCACAGGGAGCGTGTCTGGCAGGACGCCAGGGCCCCAGGGGCTCACTCGTGTGCTGAGGAGGTGGTGCTGACTCGTCCCGTTACAGACGGGACTAATTCATCTCTGGGCCAGTGTCGCTACATCTCCCGGCGAGAAGCGTTCTTCTCTCGCGGGTGGTTCTCAAGTGGGCGGTTCTCAAGAACGGACACAGTGACACGGACACACTGACGGCAGCAGGAGCGAACAGGGACCCCCCTCTCATCACAGAAGACAGCACTATGCTAACAGGCTCTGCTGCCAGAGGCAGCCTCGAGCCCCCCACCAGCCAGGCACCCTCCCAGGCCCGCAGCGGGGGCCACCCCAGGTCTCTGGTCTCGGATGGACCTTTACCCGTGTCACTCCCTGCCCACCTGTTCCCCTGGGCATCGGAGTCAAACTGCCTGGTCTCCCACCAGGGCTGATTCTGCCCCTCTGTGGGCACTTGGTAAGCGGCTGGTGAGCGAATGAATGGACAAACAACTACCTGATGGCACGAGGGAGGAAACCATGAGCAGGTGCAGAGTCAAAGCAGGGGCCAGGCCCACCGCAGGGCGTGGTGGGCTTGGACACGGGTTTGCGTCCACCAGGTTGCGATCAGTCCATGCAGGAGCCGGCTCTGAGCCCCGGAGAGTGTCTAAGGGTGCCTGTTTCTGGCAAGACCCTGCCCTGGAAACCCCAATATTCACATCTACAGCGCCCAGCTCAATGCCCAGCACTCCCTCAGCAGCTGCCCGGCACTTAGCTGAAGGGCAGTGACTTCAAAACTAAAAATGAAAGAATGAAACATGCATTCCCAGGAGCGCACAGAGGGCAGCAGGGGAACTGCCGCTGGAGCTGTTTGATGGCGGAGCACTCATGCCGATGTTTTCGGAAACGCAGAAGCTTTGCTCACGGGAAAGCCCGGTGACAAGCGCACACGCAGGCACTCTATGTGGCACCGTTAACACACAGCGCCACGTGCGTGTAACTCCAGGAGGGCAAGCTCGGGGGTCCAGTCTCCACTCCCCACCCCTGCCCTGTCCTGACTGGGTGCCAGGGGCTGAGCCCCGGCCGCCAGCACCTCTCTGCCCCGCGTCTGCCGCAGCGGGCAGTGAATGCCTGGAGCAGCGAAGTCAGCGGCGTCCTCTGCTGGCACCTCCCTGCCAACACCTGGCGGGAGGTCTGGCGTCCACCGTGGGAGCAGGTGCACAGGTGGGGCGTCCAGGGCAGGGGGCCCAGGGCAGAGCCAGGGGAGGAAGGGCAGGAGGGAGGGCAACGAGCCCTCACCCTCCTCCTCGAGCTTGGCGAGTGACCGCCTGAGAACTGCCCGCCCAGTCTCCGCAGGGCACTGCTGCAGAGGGGCAGGCAAAGCGCTTACCTGCGGGCCCAGCGCTCCAGGGGTCCCGGGGGTGCCCACGTCACCTTTCTTCCCCTGGGGGCAGAAGACAAGGCAGAATTAGCAGGCGGGCAGGAGCCGTCCACCCAGAGGGGCTCTAATCACAGCTTCGGTGGCGACGTCAGTTTTATTTCCCAAACACCCTGATGAACAGATTTGCCCCCAGACACCCTGCAAACCGTTGCGGGGGTGCTCCAGGGTCGTAGTGGGGAGTGGGGGAGGCCTGACCTTGGGGGCTGTGGATCCCAGCTGGTAACTTCGAGGGATTAGGGAACTCGTGGCCCCACGTTCAAAAGGCACAGAGAGGCTCGCCTGGGAGAAGGCCCAGCCCCGCCCGCAGCGCCTTCCTTCCAGGCAACCAATGCTCCTGAACTCTGGGGTCCCTTTGGTGAGGCTCCTGCGGAGAGCAGGCCCCGCCCCCCACCCTCCTGTGCACACACACACACTTGTTTGACTTTGCAAACTGCCTGACCTCTGGGGAGGCTTCCCGGAGGAGGGCTGCCGAGGACCCACACGGCGTGGCCCGGCCGGCTGCTCTGGAAGCCGCGGGTGGATGGAGCGGGGCTGCCGGGCAGCGGTGGACGCCACCGTGACCCACCCCGGCCGGCTGCCCCTGCCCTCCTCTCCCGGCCCTGGCAGGGGCGCCGCCTTCACCTTCTGTCCATCGCCTCACTTTACCCAGCTTTACCCTGCTGGTGTGTGTCCTTGAACACAAACCGGGTCCTGCTCCCACCCCAACCCGCCACTTCCCGAACCGCTCCAGTGCGGGGCTCGAGCCCCCGCCCCGGGCTCCATCCGTGCTCATGCCTCCATCCCTTTGGCTGCCCCCTTTCTCCAGCCAGCCGGACCTCCTCTGCCTTGACCTTGACCCCACCCCGACTTCCCTTGACTTTCCCTCTGCCTGGATGCTCTTGGGGGCAGCCTGAGGACCAGTCCCAACAGCAAGCTGCTCTCTGCCCAGCATCTTCTCCCCCGTCACCCCCATCCCACCCCTAAATCCCCCACCCCTCCCCAGCACCCCACTCCTCCATCCAGGGCCTTCTCCAGCCCCCCAGCCGAGAATACCCTCTGCCTGTGGCCCGCAGCCTCCCCTGCTGCTCACCCCATCTCTCCCTGCAGGCTCAGGCCTCCTGCAGACAGGGCTGGCCCTGTTCTCATCCTCGGCCACCTCCGTCTGGGGCCCGAGACATGCCTGCGCCTGCGGGACTCCGCATGTCAGGGGCCACATGGACAAGCTGCCCCTCGGGAGGGAGCAGGCCCGAGCACGCCAGCAGGGACAGCAGACAGTGGCCAGGAGAGGCCAGGCTAAGAAGGGAAGATGCGGCCAACTGTGTCCTGACTCAGGGAGACTGAGGAGGACCCCCGGGCCACACCCCAACCCAGGAGGTGCGGCGAGGTCAGAACAGGCGACTCAACACAGGAGGTGAAATTCCAAACGCGATCACAAAGCATGTGTCTCATTGGGGGGCACTTTGTCTGCACCTGAGGCTGCGCTGGTGAACGTGAACGTGAACGCCGGGGCTGAATCGGAGGGTGCAGGGCTGCCAGCCCCTTCCTCAGGGAGCTGAGAGCAGATGCCCTCCAAGGACTTCCGGGCCATGCCACAGAGTCGCTGGGTATTCATGAGATAAACCCTCTCCTGGGGGCACTGGAAAGGCCGGGTGAGTACGTCAGACCAGGCCCCGGCCAGCGGTCACCCTGGTCACAGGAAAGCTGTGTGAAACGAGGGAGCTCAGTCGTGGGCAGGAAAGGATCCGAGAGCAGGATCTGGATGGGGACCCCCATCCGGGCCATGGGCACCCCTGGCGAGGGAGCGGGGCGGCTACGCCGACCCACGGGAGCAGCGTCACGTTCCCTAGCCCAGGTGAGCCGGCGCCTGATGGGGGTGTGCGAGGCGTAGCGGCTCCTGCCACCCGGGCTGCAGGGCTCCTGCGGCGGCCTGACTGATACTCCACGGACACCGACGGCGGTGACAGGGCTTGCAGAGGGCGTGGATGAGTCAGGAGGCGCTCCCTGGCCAGCGAGGGGAAACACTGACCCAGAGAAGGACTGTGGGCAGGGAGGAGAGGTGGGGCGAGAAAGTGGTGGGGAGCAAGGCACCCCGAGACCCCAACACCCCGTGAGCTTTACAGCAAGGAAGAGAAAGACAAGGAGGCCAGAGGCCACGGAAGAAAGGGCCTGAATGCGGATCACGGGGTGCAAGGCAGCCCCTCCTCCCCAAAGGCATCCCCTTTCTGGGTGATGTCGCATCCCCCAGAAACACTCGGCAGTGGCTCTGCCATCAGGCCTGGGGCCTGGGTTCACACTCTCCCCCCACAGCACCTGGGGCGTCTCCAGCCCCGCTAAGCCCTCTTGCTTCTTGCCACCACAGCCCAGACCCTTCCAGACTTTTCTGGACCAACCTATGCTGCAGGTTATTTTTCCGAAAGGGTGAAAGCAGCTCTGTTGACATCATTCCCGCCTCGAAAACAGTCGGAGACCACTCCTTCTCTCAGAGACACCCCAAGCTGCGAGCACGGCAGCTGCCAGCCCGGGGAGTCTGGTCTGCCTTTTCCACGCCCTGTCCCTGCTCCCAGCCCCTAAGCAACAGCTCAAGTCAGCGGCTTAGCTGCGCCCCAAACACCCCCTTCAGGTTTCTGGCTTCTGGACTGGCCCACAGCACTGTCTGTATGTAAGAGCCAGCGCCGCCTCCACTTGTCAAAAGCACAGGCCTGCCCATGCCACCTCGCCCACAACGTCCTGCAATGACAGGAAATAATGGCCAACATGGCTGGAACATATTTGAGAGATAAGTTCCCTGGCGCTTCCCCAGAGTTAATGGGTTGGAGCTACCAGGGTTGGGGTGTCAGGTTCTATGCAAGTGATTACGCGGCGGGGCTGCTAACTACCGTGAAAGGGAGTCGATGTGCCCTTTCGCCAGCTCCCTGACGATGGCATGAGGGGGAGAGCGCCACGTCTAAGGTGGATGAAGGGGGAGCAGCCACTGATCTCGCTGAGTCCTCGTTTCCTCAAGTGGAAAATTACAATCATTGTAATTATCAAAGACAACAGTGGAAGACACAGCTCGGATCCGAGGAGGTGACTGATGAGTTTAATGAAAGTGTCACGCAGCTGGAACAGATGCTTGGAGACTGAGGAGGAAGGTGATGAGGGCTCCGATAAGGAAGACAGTCGCAGCAGTAAACTAGCTCTTTGGAGTCCTCGTCGTGGGGGAGAGACCACATGTCAAATAAATCCAGGTTCAAAACCCCTGGCGGGGCCATGAGGATTAAATGGGATCAAGCCCAGGAAGTGCTTAGCATGGTGTCCGCCATTCGGAGACATCCAGTAGTGGTGGTGGTCATGGTGGAGGTGACGACTTTCAATTCATTCTGATGGTGGTGGCGATGGTGCTGATGATGGTGGTGATGATGGTGGGGGTGCTGATGCCGATGACAGCGGCGGTGCTGGTGAAGGGAGTAGTGCCGGTGCTGGAGAGAGCAGCAGCCGCGCAACCTCTGCATTTTGGAGCTATAACTGGCTGTGGACATTTGAGAAGTACTGGCAAGGGCAGGTTTTGCAGCAATAAGAACTGTGTTACTACCAATAAGCCTGTTTCTTGTCATTTTTCTTTTCCTCTCTTTTAAATTGCTACCCGACGCGGTATCTGGATAAGCGCGTGTAATTTGTCACGAGGGTAGATTTTTCAATTCATTCTGAATGTCAGGATGCTGAGCAGGACTGATCTCCCAGGGCTGCCGGGCTGCCCGTGGAGAAGAGGAAGCCCATAAATTCAGATCAGCAATTCTTCCAGCCAGGAGGCGCTCACCCAGCCAGGTGAGGGGCCATTAGCAGATAAAGCGATTGCTTGTGCGAGTGGTTCTAATATGGGCCGTATGGTCTTTTGCTCAGTTCCTGTTCTCATGCCTCCAAATGTCAAGCAATATTATTTTCTACTGGTTAGAGCTGAACCCAGGTGCTTAGGGGCAGCCTGGAGTGGCCTGATATAAACCCTGGCTCCGTGCCAGGAGATGAATCAAATGGCAACCTGTGACCCGCACCGGCCTTGGCCATCTGCAGAGCAGGGAGAGGCCAGAGAAAGGGCTTCACACATTGAAAAGTAAAACAAATTCAAAGCAGGTTGCCACTGACAAACGACTGCCCATGTTTCTCTCGTGGAATCTACTACAAATCAGAGCTGATGGGCCTGAGAGCTTTTGGCAACATGAGACCCTTGACTCCAACAGCCAGAGAACAAGGCACAGTGTGTGCTACGCAGCCACAGAACCAGCCGGCCTGTCCCAAGGAGCTGCTCTCTCCACGCGCCCACCACAGGGCTGCCGAAGCCTCGTTTAGAATTCGGGTGCATTCAAACACACACGTGCACACACACATGTAAACAGACACACACAAACATGTGCGTGTAATGGGCAGGTGTGTGTTTCACTGTGCGCATGCATTTGCATGTCCATATGCACATGTGACCCGATGCATGTGCACTCACATGCATTCACGTTTACACATGTGCACACATTCGTATGCTCATGCACACTCGTGCACTCACACACCACTGAAGGGATTGAGCCAGGCAGACCCGAGTGCCAGTCCCTGCCCCAGCATTTATAATCGGTGTGACACGGGGTAGCCTTGGGGTTTGCAGAATGGAGTTCAAACTGCCCTGCCTTACGGAACCCTTGATGAGCTCCACACGCCACCTAGGTGAGCCCCGGCTCTGCACTGCTTGTCCAGGCAATGTTATCTCCTCCCTAGTGCACATTCAGTTTATTCCTGCACAGGTGGAACCTGTTTAAAATGTGCTTAGAGCAATGGCACGCGCTGAGACACCAAGGATCGCTGTGGTGAGACATCCAGGATCGCTGCATCTCAAGTGCAACGGGCTGTGATAGCCGGTCTTGGTCCTCACAGGAAGTTAAGGCTGGGGTGCGGCCAGATGTTTATTTGGGTGGGTGAACGGGGCATCACAGATTTTGAAAATATGGACCTGGGAGTTCTAGAGTGTCCAGGCACCTCCGTGGCATTGAGCCAGGCTCGTTCTAGTCCAGAACCTTCGGATCAGCAGTATCCGGAGCACTGCCTGCGGCTGAGTGTGCTCCTAACTCTGGGGGTGGCTCGGGGGCACTGGGCTCCTGATCCCCCCTTTCACTGTGTCATTCTGGAAAATACCAGCTTTGTCCAAATGAATGCCTTTGCCTCACCGGGGATTACCTGTCTGCCTGGTGCTAATCTCTAAAGTAAAGGCTTGGAGCCCTTGTTTTAGTCTCAGCTTCTCCATTTCCAGGTCCCTGCAGCTGCCCGTGTCTTATCCCTTCCCTTTACATAGCTGGTGTGGGGAGGGTTCGGGGCTCTTCAGAGCGATGCTTGCATTGCAGCTGATGAGGGGATGTGACAGGGCACCGCCGGGGAAGGAGAAGTAAGTGCTCTGTCTCACGTGTCCGACTCAGCAGAGGCCAACCTGACCGGAAGCTGCCTCCAGCCAGCCCACGCGCACATCAGTTTGCCTTTGTGGGTGTTTTCCTAGCAGTGTCACCCACGAGGACAGAGCGGCAGTCACAGGAGGCCGGGTGTGCTCACTGTCCTCGCTCACCAGAGGCAGCAGGAGGAGGGGCAGCCCTCGGTGCTCCCTGTGCAACCTCCACAGATGCTCCCATCTGTGGCCTCCTGGCTCTCTGGGCCCTGAGTCCCTCGGGGGCAGGAGATCTGCCTTTCCCAGGGGCCCTCGCCCCACACCACCCCACCATCTGGCCCAGGAGGCGCCCCTCCAGCCCCACCCCTGGCCTGGGCCACCTCCACCCTTGGATCACTTGGTCACCTCTCACCAGCCGCCTTCCCCGCCGGCTACTCTCCACACAGCGACTGGGGGCTGGGCCACGCCACCTCACCCCCAAATCCTGGGCTGAGCAGGCAGCAGCTCAAAGTGAGGCCCGGGAGGCTTTGAGCTCGCCCAGCAGGGGACAGAGGCAGCGCTGGCATAAGTCAACAGCCAGTGACTTGACAAGTGGTGCAGCAGATTTGGGGAGCCTGGGGGATCATTTCCTAGTCCTTCTACTTTTGTATTTGTTTATTTTCTCATACCAAAGCATGCAAGGGCCCCCATTTCACTCACTGGGCTCTGACCACACAGGGGTATGAGCCTCCATACGTCCTCATGTCTCCAAGTCCCAAACGCAAAGCTGAGGCCCCTGGCCCCGTGGGCGGGACCAGATCTAACCCTTCACCACCTGCTCCCAGTCCTCAGCGCACGAGGCTGCCGCCGCCTGAGCTGCTCCAGCGGCGGCCGTGTGGGTGAGCCGCGGGGTCGGAGGACAGCGTGTACTCACCCGGAGCCCTTGCAAGCCAGGAGGTCCCTCCTTGCCTTCCGGACCCATCAGACCCTTTAGGAGGGAGAAAGAGAGAGAGAAGGTAACTGCAGGGTCGACACCGCAGGGGGCATTTCGGCCTCTCATTGGATATTGGATAGGAAGACACCGTCCTGGGAGGCCGAAGGGAAGAACCAGCCTCTCTCCTCAAATCTATTAACATTTTAAAACACGTGCATCCATGTGATCTGATTGAGAACCTCGACCAGCCCCGCTGCAGGCAGCATCAGACACTTTAAAGGTGACACAGCAGGAGCAAATGCGGCTCACGGCGCTTTGCACGGAGAACAGACAGGAATTGTCTGCAATCCACGCGTCTCCAGCGTTCAGCCGAGCGCCCCCTCCCAGGCAGCTTGCTGGCTCAGCAAGACCAGCCGGGATTAGCTGACACTCAGGCAACAGGAAAACACAAAATAGAATAGTCCGGACAAATAAATCAATTTGTCTCAGCAAGGCAAGGGTTTTGTGGCCAGGACCCCAGCCAGGAAGGGGTCCCAGTGACCTAACTCCAGCCCTGCCCTCCGACCCCCACCGGTGTCTGCTCATGACCTCAGGCAAGTCGCCTGTGCCTTGGAGCCTCAGTTAGCTCATCTCCCCGGGAGGGCCACACCCCAGCTGAGCAGTGCTGAGGACCACATGCAGGATGGATGGGAGAGCCCCAGCCTAGCCCCTGGGCCCCCGAAGTACACCCCAACGGCACCGAGGAGGAGGTGCGGGATGCAAGTGGGCAGCTGGAACCCCAGCTCAGCCGTGACTCTGATTCCACATGAATTTGGGCCAGAAATACCCTCCCTGCAACTCTTCGCCTTCCACAAATACCAGGATGGCACTGAGAGCTGCCATCTCATGCGTCACTCCCCAGGGCAGAGCTGTGTGAGGGGCCAGGGTCTGTGCCTCCCACTGGAACACACAGATGGACGCCGGGCAGCCCGCGGAGGTCCGAGCCTCCCTCCTCGCCAGGCTGACCCGAGGGGCTCGGGGCCTGCAGGAGCCAGCTCTCAGCAGCGAGGAGCCCTGGGGTTCAATCTTCCCAGCCGGCCCCGCTTTATTAGGTTCAAGCAGACGTTGATGAAACTGCCCGCGCCTGATTCATCTTGGGGGAGGATGAGGGATGTGGGCCCCGGACGGCTCTGCATTTGGATGCAGGAGGCTGTGTGCTCTTTCCATTTTGAGAACGGGGTGCATTTTTCTCTCTCTGAGATTGCTAAGCACAAACTCAAAATTTTCCATTCTCAACAGAAGTCACCGAGGCCAGCTTCTCAATTTGATTCCAGTGAGTAAGCGGAGAGCCACCGCGCCGTGGCGGGCCTGGGAAGTGCTGCTGGGATTCAAGGCAGAAGCTGATCTGGGCCCAGCTGCGTGGGGCTTCGCAGAGCACGGCCGCATCCATCGCCCCCTCAACCTCCCAGGCATGTACGTGGGCGCCGATGACACCACAGTGACATCCAGTGAAGCCAAAGATTGGGAAGGTGAAGTCATGTCCCCAGACACCGTAACCAGAGCTCTGGCTCCAGATCCCGGTGCCTCCCAAGCCCACGGTGCCCTGTGCTCCCACTGCGGGGGCACCACCTCACCATCCCTGGGTGCCCGTGAGGTCCCCAGCCCTCCATGGGCCTGAGTCGGCTTTTGATCAAGCCAGGGGTACTTCTGGCCTGTACCCCAGTTCTTGTATGCATAAATAAATCTTAAAAAATATTTTGCAGGGCCTCCCCGGTGGCGCAGCGGTTGAGCGCTGGGTTGCAAAGCTGCCCGTGGCCTCTGCGGCGCCGGTTCGATCCCCGGCTGCTCCCCGGCCACCGGAGGAGGGTCCCACATGGCGCGCAGACCTCTCCTGCCGCCCGCTGCTCCCCTCAGCAGTGTACTTCGGTCCTTCTGCCTGCTCTGCTCCCCGCTCTGGCTCTGGTGAATTCTCTCACCCTCCTGCGCTTCTGACTGTACCCAGTGCATGTATAAACAAAACAAACAAATAAAGAAAGAAAGAAAGAAAGAAAGAAAGAAAGAAAGAACATGCCTCTATATAAAAAAAAAAAAAAATATTTTGCATGAGAGAAAGTCGATATCCACAAGGGGTTAGAGTTCCTGCTTTTCCTCCCCGCCTCGTCTAGCGTAGCAAAGTCTGCACGTGGAGGAGACGACCGTGTACCCCATCCCCGCCCCCAGAGTAAGAGGCCAGGAAAGCCGTGCCGGCACAAGCAGGGCTGCACCCTGTTAGCTGCCTTTTCCTTAGCGGGAGCGTGAAGCCAAGCGATTCTCTTTGGCGCTGCTGGGGGACGGGTGCTCTGCTGCACACACAGGGGTGAAGAGGGTGTGGGCTCCACACTCAAATCTTGGGCCAGAGCCCCGTTTTGCTTCTTAATAACTATGTAGCCTTGTGCAAGCCCCTCAGTATCTCTGCACCGATGTCTTCATTGGCCGAAGATGCAATGAATGCCTTCTCACCGACAGACTTAATGTGCAAACACGTCCTGATGAAATGTATTATGCATGGACACTCGGCACTCGTCAGCTGAAATCTGAAATGTACCTGCATCCACCCGCAGAAGCTAAGGGCTGAGGGCACGCGCACCGCCTGCAGCACTCCCTACCCACCGCTGGGCAGATGCCTCAATGGCACACTGAAACCCGGGCCTTGTGAAGTCAGCAACAGCTCAGATGACAGAGGCAGAGGCAGCTTTCTGACCGGGACTCCCTGCTGTGGAATTGCTTTAGTTGCACTGGGAGGAAGCATCCTCTGAGCGTCTCCTGGCTTCACCGGCAAAACCATACACATTTGTCCACTGAGACGTGGACTTTGATGGACTAATGCAAATCCACCCATTAATACAAATCCATGAATAGTTCAAAGAACATGAATATTTCATATAATATTTGGATTATACAGATTACTTCCTAATAAGCATCTTCTTTCAAAAAATCACAGTCACTTGAAAGAGGCACGAGTGCTGGGGGGCACGCCGACCCAGGGGACCGGCCGCGCCCCCAGGGGCCCCGCGCATCTCGGCTCACGCTGCCAGCGACCGCAGAGCCCTCGGCCGGCCTCCTCCTGAGGGTCAGCCGCAGTCATCACACCACAATGAGGGAGAGGCCAGAGCGTGGCACGTCCATGCCCCACGGAGGCAGAGACCCGGGAAGGCACGTGTGGGTAGAGGGTGCTCCCTGGGCCCTGGGGGCCCCTGCTTCACCCCTTTACCTGAAAGGAGCTGAGATACCAGACTGGAGGGGGACCCAGAAAGGGCCGCCCAGGCTTGCGGCTCTGAAGGGGGTACCCAGGCTGTAGTGCCCTCTGGTGACCTGCTGCCGGTGACACCCCCGAGACTCGGGCCCCCCTACGGGTGTTGACAGGACGTGGGGCACTAGGATGAAGGGACGAGCTTCTCCGAGAATGAGGGAAGAGGAAGACTGTTACTTTCTAGATCCTGAAAGCTCCGAGGGACCCTGGGCTGGGAGGGGCGACTCACCGGAGCTCCTGGTGGCCCAGGTGGGCCCTGGTGACCTCGTGGACCCGGAGCTCCCTGGCAACACAAGCAGAAACAGATGCCCCTTAGTTACAGCGCCCTTCACCACCCACCCAGCCCTGTGCTGGCTCGAGATTCACTGCGCTCCCCAGGGGCCCTGGAGGCAAGTTGGGGTGGGGTGCATGCGCTCCTGGCAGGGGTGGGTGGACCCCTCTGGCAGGGGTGGGTGGAAAGGGTGGATGGCTCCATCTCAGCTCAATGAGCAGGTGTGACGCCCTGGCTGGGGCCACCGTCCTGTTTCTGCGACACCCACGGCCCACGATGGCAGGGCCGTCCCCTTACCTGCTCGCCCTTCAGGCCCTCTCTCTGCACCTGGGGACAAACAGGCGTCAGCAAAGATAGTGGTGGGTCCCGAGAGTCCCCACCCCGCTCCACCGAGGCGGTCTGTGTCACACTGCAGGGCGGCAGCTGTCTCCTCCCCAGCCGACCTGTGCTCAGTACCGAAGCTCTCCCCCTTCTGAGGCGAGACCCCCCCGCACAGCCCTCCGCCAGCCAGGACCCCCGACTCCAGCCCGAGGCGGCTGAGCACTCACCACGGAGCTGGGAAGGCCCGGAGGTCCCGCAGGCCCCACGTCGCCCTGCACAAACGACAGACAGTGCCCTCTGTCACCTTCGCTCCGCCCTGGCCAGCGTGCCCAGCGCAGCGGCCATTGGTCCTTTCGGCGCAGCTGTGCCAAGTCCACGGTCCAGCACCAGGTCAACCGCCACAGCATCCACCACACCAGGGACCAGCACACGTGTGGTGGGGACCCCAGCCCCTCCACCGTCATGACACACAGGCTGTCCTGTGTCCACCTCCACGGCCAGTGCGGGGTCATGGCAGCTGCAGGGGACCAGCTCGCCGGGGGGCTTGGGCTCCACAGAGCCTATTCTGGCCATTTCTCCAGGGGCCTGTAGCGAAATAGACCCCTCCGCGGAGCCAACACCCCAAGACCCGCGGGGACTGACCTTTTCCTTTTCTCTAGAGGCTGCTCAGGGGCGTGGGGAACAACGCAAACCTGCTGTCAGAGAGGTCGGCCAGAGCCAATGAGGTGATGAGTGAGCAAAAACGTCCTCTCAGCTGATGACGCGCAGCTGCCAGCCGCGTGTGCCCAGGGCCTGCTTCCCTGGCCCCGAACCTACGCAGTCGCCCTCCACCGGCCCCACCCCCGCGGCCAAGTCACCACCTTCACAGAGCATCCGCGGGCTTCCCGGGCCCCGGGCGACTGTGCTCTGGTTCTCAGAGTGTGGTTTCAGGGCACAGTTGAGGGGAAGGCGCAGAGTTAATGACGTTGTATGTCCTTCCACCATGCACCTGCTCACCTCTCACATGTAATGAGTCCTGCTCAGAAACATCTTCTCAACATGCACACAGGCACAGGCGCACACACGCGCACACACACATGCACACACACACAGGCAGCAGCAGGGCAGAGTCGTCCCCTAGACCCAAACTTCAAGGACCGTCCCTCGTACTGATCTGAAATCCACTCCTTACCTTAGGGTTCAGCACCCCCACTCCAGGAGGGCTACAGGAGTATGTTAAACCCTGAAGCCGGGATCACAGATGGTGCTGACCTCAGCTCTGAGCACATGCGGCTGCAGAGAACAGCCAGCTCAGCTAGAACCAGGCCCAAGGGGCCAGTTTGGAAGGCGTCAGCCTCCTCCAGCTCCAGGCCGAGGCCAGGGCGCTTTCAGCCTGCACATCAATCCGTTTACCTGGACGGGGCCCAGCGTGTCTGCGCTGGACAGTCGGAGCCGCGAGGCCCCTGCCCGGCGCTCCCTCGGGCCGCAGCTAGTCTGAGTCAGCACGACCTTCACCGGCTCGGCGGAGGGACAGGGGGTGCAGGGAGGCCTGTCTCTGTCTCCCCCTCCCACCTCTCTCCCCCTTCTCACTTCACCTTTAAGGGACCCCTCTGCTGTCCCTTCTCTCCCAGCAGGCCCCCCTGTAGGATGACCTTCCTCAAGGCGCCGGAATAGCTTCACCCTCTTGTATGTTATCACCCCCCGTTACAGCCCAGAGCACCTCACCTTTCCAGCCCCCTGCTCCCTGACACCTGCCTTCACCTGCTTCTCCAGGACACCCCAAAATTTGTTGCAAAATTGTTTTGCAAAACAATTTTACATGCAGCTTTTTTTTTTTCAGTTGCAATCCAGAAATTCTAAGCAAGACATTTAAGTCTTGTTGAAAAACTCTTCAGAATAGACGCTGGCATCATAAGACACAACCTTTGCTTTGCTTATTCAAGATGCGGCCCAGTTCAGGGTCAGCGTTCTGGCAATTTGCTTGAAACGTTGCAGAGGAGAGAGGAGAGAGGAGAGAGGACTTGGGAGGGTTGTTTGTCCACGGCCTGCCTTAGTCCACACGGAAATTTAAGCTACGTCATATTTTAATAATCTGGGTATTATATAATAGGATGCTTTGGGTATTTCTAAATGGATTTTTATTAAAAATGAAAAAAATGTTAAAAATGAGAGCCAGGAACATCTTGTCGAGCTGAGTTCCCGATGCCCACCTCATCTCCGTTGTCTGCCCTTTGTTCCAGGAACAAAGTCAGCCTGGACGCCCCCAAAGTCAGCTTGGGCCACCCTCCCCCAAAGTCACCTGGGCACCCCCCAAAGCCAGCCCAGGTGACCCTCCCCCAAAGTCAGCCCAGGTCCCGCTCCCCCAAAGTCAACCTGGGCCCTCCTGCCCTGAAATCCCTACTCGCCCGCTCCGAGGGCCTGCTTACCTTCTGTCCCTGGGGTCCCGCCACACCAGGGGGGCCGGGTCTTCCCTGGGGGAGAGAAGGAACATGGGCAGTCGGGGTGTTGATGGAGGCAGTGGGCAGGGCATGGCCCACGCTGCACCCTGACTTCCCCAAAGGCACAGCCCACCTGAGCCCAAACTCCCCGCCGCCTCACAGCTGACAGTTCTCCCTAACTCGCCCAGGGGCCACGTCTCCCTGGTCCCCGGGCGCACCCCAGAACCGCAGCATGGGAAGTGTCTGAGCCAGCACAGGGGAGGTGAGGACCCGTCTGGAGAGGAAGCAGCCCCCCGTGGGCCCCCAGTCTCCTGCCAGTGACTCGTGCTCCTGACTGATAAGCTGGCGCGTTCCCTCACTGTCTTCAATGCAGAGACATGGTTTTAGGGTAACTTCCTAGTAATCATTTAAATATTTGAATTAGTTACTCCCAGAGACCAGGTCCTCAGGGCGACATTCAAGGGCATAAGACTTTCCTTCCACTGCCCCAGCCTCCCTCCGAGCGCCCTCTCTGGGGACACCTAGGCCGTCGGCTCCGCTCTTGTCTGTCCGTCCTGAGAGCTCCGTCGCCAGTCACAGGTGCTCTGTGCCCTCTCTCCCTTTCTGCAGGTCCCGCAGGATGCCCCCAGCATGCCCGCCCGGTTTCCACGGCCTCCCACATCCCCGTATCTACACGCCGGCCCACACGGATGGGCCTGTGGTGGTCCTCGCGCCTCTGCCCTCCCGGCCGGGCCTGCCACCAGCGTGTCTGGCTGCCTGGGCCTTGAGGTTAATCGTCAGGTGTGACGTCACTCACACATGAGTTCAGGAAGGGTTTAGAGCCCCGTGCTCCCTGGGGCCCCTGGCACAGGGGTGGGGGCCTATACCCGGGACCCGCAGATGCCCAGAGATGCAGAGAGGGGTCACGGCACCCCAACCCTGCAGAGTTTGTGTCAGACCCCACCGTTCCTGTCCTCCCGCTAAACCCAGTCCAGCGCCTCGCGCACCTACCTGCTCGCCAGTCTCCCCGGGCTTCCCGGGAAGCCCATCCAGGCCTCGCTCCCCCTGGACAGAGAAGGAAAGAGGAGAAATGAAGGCCCAACGGTGAGCACAGAGGGCAGCGGCCAGACCCCACAGCCACATCACGGAAAGTGGGGGAGCAAAGGCCTGGGGCCTTACAGCACTCAGCCCCTCCCCCCGCCAGACACCGTGCTTATAGTGCACACTCACACTCACACACAGAGACACTCACACACAGACACCCACACAGACACACCTGCAGAGACCCTCACACAGACACACGCACACACACACACACACACACACACACAGGCACAGACAAGCTCACAGATACGCACACAGAGACACACACACACAGACTCACACACAGACACTGAGACACAGACACACCTGCAGAGACACACACACACACTCACACAGAGACACACAAGACACACACAGATACACAGACACACACACACAGAAACAGACATACACACAGACACACTCACACAGACACACCCACACACAGAGACACACACACACATACACACACACACACCCCAGTCTAGACTTCACTCATGTTGGGGCTGAGGAGCCTGGTCAGCGGTCAGGGAGACCGGTGCCCTCTCCGCAGTGCCCACGTGGCCTCTCCGCACACTGTGTCCGTCTCGTGGGCCCACGCGGGGCCAAAGCCCTGGGTGTGGGGCTGTGAGCTGCAGGCACCTGGGTCCATCACCACCCACAGTGCCGTGCACCCCCACACACCCCGCAGTGGAAGCCCCCTGAGAATCCCCTGCTGGCCACCTTCACCCATTGCCACGGGCCCGGGGAACCCAGAGGCCTCCCCTCACGGGCGAGCACACAGAGCACCTGGGGCCTGGGAGATCACCCCAGGCCCGAGATGTCCAGCCTCCCTGCCAGAGCACTCGTGCCGCGGGCCAGGCTCCCGAGTGTCCCCGGAGCAGGGCCTCCATAGACTCAGCGGAGGAAGCGGGAGCCATCTCGAAGCAGGGGACTCTTTCTGCTGCCCAGCCCCCACATGCCCCGGCCTGGCCCCTGCAGACCCAACAGTGCTGGGGCCCCTGCAGACCAAGAGCCCGCCAGGCTCGCCTGGGATGCTGCAGGCTGTGGGCTGCTGGGCGGGACATGCTGGACGCCGTGTCTTCATCCCCGAGGCTCAGCACAGGGAGCAGGGCCAGGACACGGCACAGAGCTGACGGATGTGTCTCCATTAGCAGGGGTGGGGGGAGGAGCAGGAGAAAGCAGGTGAGGGTGGGCGAGGTGTTGAGAGCAGAGGCAGCCAGAGGCAGGGAGGGAGGGTCGGGTCAAGGTGGCCGTGTGTAAAGTAGAACCTCAAACCGCAAGGCCTGCAGGAACCGCTGGGACGCGGGGTGGAGTAGAGGCGACGGGGAGAATGGCCAGAGGCCCAGCTGGAGCGCACACCCCGGAGGTTGGAGCCGCTCTGCTCTGTGCTGTCTGCTTTCTTGGCCCTGGTTCCCGCGGCACCAGCCACGCCAGCGCCCAAGGACAGGGTGGGAGCCGCAAGCTGGGCCCCTGCACAGACAGTGTTGCAGGTTCTGGGGTGCAGGTGCTGGGGCAGGAGACCCGCCTACAACCCAGACTAACCCCTGGCTCCCCCAAACTCAAGCTGTGTGACCTTAGGCCATCACTTAGCCTGTGACTCAGTTTCCCCACCTGCCAGTAGAGATGCTACTTATCTCCTACAACTGCCTTGCGGGTTCGGTGAGCTGGCAAATGTGAATGCCTGGAACAGCGCCTGCCGCCTGGAAGGGGACGAAACAGCGTGTCTGTGGGGAGCAGGAGAGGGAAGCAGACGGCTGAAGGGGACAGCGGGAGGTGGATGTCATAGGAAAAGAGGGGGTATGAGTCTGGGACAGAAGGAATGAGCGAGGAGAGCCAGGAGCCGCAGACTGAGTTCTGAGCCGGTTCTGCCAGGGCCGCTGGGCCGGCACACGCCTCCTCCTCTCTGGGCTCTTGCTCCTCGCGGGAGCTCCTGAAATACCGAAAAGAAGAAAAGCAGGCCCGCGGCTGCGCTCCAGGGCCTCTGAGGCCGCTCGGGTTTCGCCCTCCTCAGCGCACTCGGACAGCTGAAAGGAACGTCGCCCGCCTGCAGCTCCGGCCCCCCCTCCACCTGCGCCTCTGTTGGCAGGAGAGGAAGCGAGTCTTAGGGACCACGTCCTGGTGCCCATGGGGTCAGGGGGGCTAGAAGCTTCTATGAGGCCCCAGGGCCAGTGAGGGAGAGCCAAGGGATCAATGGGAATCTGGCTTTCTGATTCCAAAGATGGCTGGTGCTGTTACCCTCGTCCTCGGGCCACCTTGTTCCCCAGTGAGGGCAGAGCCCTGGAAGCTCCCCGGGGCCTCAGGAGCTGGGTGGTCACATCCACCCACGGGGGTCTAGGGAGTGGGGACCAATGCAGCCCACTTGGGGCCCTTGCAGTGAGTGGCCTCCTTGGTGACCAGCTAGATCCATCTTAGGATTTGCCAACCATCCCAGCCCCTCCCTGCCTCTGTCACCCCGGCATCCTGGGGTCTAGGGGCTCCACACCTTGCGGTGCCCGCAGGGGCATCTTCTGGAAAAGCAGGGCTGCCGGGGCTTACAGGGCTGCCTGCAGGCGGCTGTCGGGCATGGCCTTGGGGACAGGTGCTCCTGGCCCAGCTCCGTGCAGGCGAGCCAGGCAGCTGGACTGACTGTCTCCAGGGAAGATGGAAACTTCCTTCTTGCTGAGGTAAGAAATCAGAGCAGTTCCCGGGAAAATAAACAGTTTGCAGAGCCCGTGGGAGAAAAGAACTGGAAAGATGCCGGAGCTGGGATCAGGTTCAGGCTTCTCTTTGGACAGATGGGGAAATGGAGGAGCCCGGGGGGGGACAGCGCCCCTCAGGGTCAGCCAGAAAGTCAGGAGGCGTCAGCAGGCAGTTCCCATGCTGGGCTAGCAGAGCCCGCTGCCATGCCTCCCCCAACTCCTGTCTCTGTCTGTCTGTCTGCCCCCCGAGCTGCCAGCACTGTCGTAAGCATTTCAGAAATACACCCCTCACTTCATCCTCACAGAGCCCCTATGCCGGGGACACGGCTGCCCAGCATCGAGCCCAGGGCTCCCCCCTCTGTGCAGGGCTCAGACGCAGGCTGTCGACTCTGGGATCATTGTGTGTGTGTATGTGTGGCCGGGGATAAGAGGTTCCCCTATGTGAGATGTTGCTCCTGGGGAAACTGAGGCAGAAGGTTCTCCCCTGGATTCACTGGGAGGTGCCATGCACCTGAGGGTCAGGTCACAGGCCTGGGTCTTAGTGCCTCCTGCTGTGCTATCCAAGCCCTGAGGACCGCCTGGTCCCCAAGCTCTGCCCGCGGCCGAGTGGGCTTCTAGACCAGGCCTGGTCCTGGGGGCCGCAGCCGCCTATCCACTCGCTGTGCTGTGCTGACCACTCGGCTGTCTCAGAGGCGCGGTCCCCACACTGTCACAAGCCAAGTGCCACCGAGTGGAGATTTGAACAGTGGATCGCGCACGTCCAAACTCTCAAAGGAGCCGAGACACAGATCCTGGGGCCCAAGTGCGGGGACCGGAGAGGCGCCAGTCACCATGGGGGAGAACACAAGCCACCCGCCAGGCCCCCTGGTCACCCAAAGCCTCTGTGGACCTGGTGAGGTGGCCCAGAATACACAAGCATCTTTTGTTCTGACTTGTAATCCCACTTCGGAGCAGGGGGAGCCTGGGGAAATCACCCTACATTTGAAAAATAAACCAGCAAATAAAGCTATAGGTTGAAAGAGTATCACGAGGCCTGGTTTTTAATGGTGGAAAGCTGGAAAGCACCCTTCATGATGGGTACTGGGGCACCGGGCATGAAGCTCGGTCTGTTCACGTCCTGGAACAGCGTGGTCGGGCACAAGTTAGAGACCTTCGCAGCTGCGGGGCGAACGCCCTGCGAGGACAGACAAGGCCAGACAGAGCCTGTCCTGGCAGCTGCGTAGCCCCGACTGCTGACCACAGCCCGCAAGTGTACACCATGAAACCCCATCATGTAACAACTTAGAAGTCCTTGTAAAACTGGAGAGACAAACTGTAGAAGACAGACTAGACTCTGAAAAAGCGCCTGGGACATGGCTTTGCAGAGTCCAGATCAAGTTCTTGATCTTGAGGCCCTTCACAGAGGGGTCCAGAGAGACCCTAAGAACCTGCACGGTCATCTGGGGAGGGAGTGGACAAGCCGCCCCTGTCCCCGGCAGGCAGAGCCTGGGGAGGCGTCTGGCCACAGGGTCCCCTCGTGTGGTTTGGCAGGAATGGGCAACCTCCACCGTCAAAAAGTGGCCAGCGCGGCCGAGGTTGTCAGGGCTCAGATTAGGCCAGTTCACTCGGTGAGCAGGGCTGGGCTGCAGCACCAGAGGTCACTGCATGGCCCCTTTTGTTTGAGAGTCAGGGTGACGGAGCAGAGATTATGCAGCTCACTAGGTGAGACTGGAGTCGTGGTAACAACGGGGGCCTGGAAACCCTCCACTCTGTCTTGGGAGAGGCCCCCACCTGCGGCTCCTGATCCAGGCCTTCTGGGCCCAGAGCTCATACTCAGGGGGAGAAACTAGGGCCTTGTCTGCACTGGCCCCACCAGCCACACTTTTGTACACCGCACGCACATGCGCACACATATGTACGCTCAAGCACACAGGCACACCTGCGCACACACACCCATACACACAAGCAGGGTGTCAGTGCCAGCCTCCTCCTCCTGCTTTCTGTGCAAAGCTGTATGGCATTAAGGAAGTAGCCTGTAAATACCTTCTCTCCTTGGGCTCCCTTTGCACCCCGTTCTCCTTGGAGACCCTGGGGGGAGAGGAGAAAGTCAGTAGCACAACATCTCAGTCCAGCATTTACAGTTTGAAGGCTGTGGACCAGCTGCCTGGATGCCGTGAAGATCCTGTCTCCTTGGAACTAGCTCCACACCTGGCTGCTCCCCACTCTCCACCCCTGACAGCTGCTGGGATCCTGGGGTCGGCAGCAGGAGCTGACGAGTCAGGCCCCTCCCAGGAGGGAGGTCAGGGGCTCGGGCCTGCTGAAAGGTAGGAACACGTCCAGTGTGGCGATGTGCTGTCCCTGTGCCCCCCCTCCCGGAGACGGGACCGTGGGGACCCTGTGGGAAGGCCTTTGAAGGGCAAAGATGCTGCCGGGTCCGTGTGCTGGCTCCAGGATGAACACCTACAACTTCGGGGTCTGGACAAGAGCCTCGGGGCAGGGACTCTGGGTGCCATCCAGACAGCAGAGGGTCTGAGACCCGCCCCCGCCCCGGGGACAGGCTGAGCCTCCAGACCATTTCAATTCCACCCGATATTTTGGTCGGACACCGACACAGGTCTGGAGCGTCCCCGAGGCAATGCGGCCTACTCTGTGCTGGTCACATCGCGCCTTTCTTTGGGGACAATCTTAACGAGAACCAAAAAGCCACTTTGCTCCTTGGAGACCATTTCTATTTGCTCCTGGTGGCACATGGCCACTGCGCCTCCGTTGCGTGTTCCAAGGGCTGGAATTAATAGGCTCTGCGCCCCCCGCCCCCACCAGGGACGGGGTGTAGACATGGCTTCTGTGAGCGAGGCTCAGACACTCCTGGGCTGCTGGGTAAACTCCTGGGCTCCATTCAGACCCACACGTTACTATCTGGGGTTGGGGCAGGAGAACATGGTGTCAGCCTGTCCTCCGGAGGGTCGGGCACTGCACCGTATGTGCGTGGCTGGCCCAGGCGGAGATCCGGTGCAGACGCAGAGGGGGGTCTGTCCTGCAGCCTGGGCAGGCCCCGGGGGAGGGGTCAGAACACCTTCCTAGAGAAGAAGCTTTACTTACAGGAGCCCCGAGGTGTCCAGGAGATCCAGGAAGCCCGGGTGGCCCTTGGGGTCCCTACAGAAAGAGTCACAAAGGAAAGGTCGGATGGAAAGAGAAGGCAGAGCTGGCACCGTGACCTGCAGGGGGCACATAGCTCACCACCATGGGGTACCCTGCACCCAGGCCTCCCCTTTGCAACCCATGCCATCACCGGCCTGGCACAGCATGATCCAAACGGATCTGCCTGACACCCAGGACCCACCACGGGGTGCTGCTCTAGGTGCCAACACATCCACCAGGGGCCCCGCACCTGGGGTCTGCCAGCTGTGTGCAGCTTCTGAAACCACACGGCTGAGCCCGGGGGCATCAGCCCCCCACACTGCTGCATGACAGGCCACCTGAACAGTCCCGCAAAGACCCCGTGGAAGCCCCGGGTGCCGGTGCCACCTGCGCCACCAAGTGCCGGCTGCTGGGGGCAGCGGATTCGGCAGAATCTACGAGAATCTACACCGAAGCTGCATTCCCTTAACCAATGTTAATCTGATTTTCCTCATCCATTCCTACAGAAATACCAATCAGGACACAAGGAGAAAGGCACAGGCACACACACACGTGCGCATTCCCCACGTCGATGACTTTAGTGGAGCACAAGCAGAACTAAAAGCACGGGGGGAGAAGGGGGGGCCCATGTGCGTGTCCCCGCTACCTCGAGCAATGGGTTTTGCATCAAGAGTGTCCGCTGGGGCCAGGAGACACAGAGGAAAGACACTCACCCGCATGCCCACTTCGCCAGGCAGCCCCGGCTCTCCCGGCTCTCCAGGCTCCCCCTGCACACAGGGAAGAAAGTGGTCACAGCCCCGTGGGGTGCGGCTTGGACCCTCAGGCAGCCCGGAGCCTCAAGTGTGTCCATTCCCAGAACTCAGTACAGAAGCAACGAGGCTGCCGGTGTCCAGGGGCCCAGACACCCCCACAGAGGCTCTCTGGGAGCAAAGGCGCAAGAGCCCCTCTGAATAAGGTGTTCTGTCCCCCCACTCACCCCTGCTGCTGGCAGCCAAAGGATACGGGCCAGGGCAGAGAGGGAAGCAGAGGGCTGGGGCTCGGGGCCGGGAGCACAGCCCTGCAGGAGGGCCCAGCACGGGGTCTGCGGCACCCAGGACCCCTCTCCTTGGTCCCCCTAAACCTCCTGCTCTCTGCACAAAAGGCTGGGGCTTTTGAGGTGCCCACAGTCCAGGCCCCACAGGGGGACGGCTCCACGTGGCCAAAGGTGACGCAGGGGGAGGAGAGGGGATTTCTGCCAGGGGTCTTGGCGGAGAAGTCGGCCCCTGTTCCCAGGGGGACTGGCCCGCCCGAGTCGAGATCAGTTTTGCCTGCATTTCGGGGTCGTGCGCCAATTCAGGGTGGGGACGAGGAGGTGCAGTTGGGGTGCTGACAGGAAAAGGCTGGTCAAGTGGGTACCTGGTGCTGCTTGGGCCTAGCACCCCAAACCCTCTAGCTGCAGGCTGGGGGCTTGGGGATACTCTTCACCTTGGAACCACCAGGGGGTCCCGATCTCGGCATGGGGCACGCCTGCTTGTCGGCCACGGGGACAGTCGCCCCACAGGCGCAGAGGTGACGCCCAGGGGCAGCTGCGCCCGCTGGCACTGTCATTACCGGGCTGACCGCTGGGACCCGGATGATGCTGGCAAAGGCCGCCCGCCGCGGGACGGGCTCTGACCGGGAGGACCCGGTGGCGCCGCCGGTGGGCGGCAGGAACGACGTACCCGAATGCCTTTGCTGCCGTCTCTCCCAGGGGGACCGGGCAGGCCCAGGGAGCCCTAGGACGAGAGGAAACCAGAGTGAGCCCCGCGTGGCAGCTGGCGCGGGAGAGCGGGCCCCGGCGGATGCGGGCGCAGGGGCCCTGGGGCACTTCACGAGAGCAGCGGTTCCGCGTGAGGCGGGGTCTCTGTGCGGCTCTTTCTGGGAGTCCGCGGGTGCTTTCTGGGGCTGAGTTAACGCAACACCTTTATTGGGAAGGGCTGTGGGTGGGGGGATCCTCAGCCTCCTTGACTTGCCACAACCTCACAAGCCCCCCGGCCACAACCACTCCCCCCCCACAGTTTGGCTGTTCTGAAATTCATTCCCACAGAGACTGCAGAAGAAACCAGCAGAGACAGCAGTGATTTGGGGGGCACAGCACCAGCCAAACACGCGTTCACGAAGCCACTATCTGCAGTAAAATGGCAGAGCTGGCAGGGACCGTGAGGTGACATCAGGAGTTATGGGACATGGAAGTGATGTAGCAGCAACGTGATACTGAGGTGACGCAGTGACAAAGTCACGCTGGCAATAACGGCATTAGCGTGACGCGAAGATGCCGCGTCTGGCGGGAACCCTGTCTGCCCATCACGGGCACCAAGCCCCGGCCTGTCACACCATCAGTGTATTCTAGAAAACAGAAGTGACTGCTGCCTACAGGCAGACTTCCAGATCTGCCCAAAGTCACAAGCAGGGGAGACTTCCAGGCTGAGCTGCCTTTAACACCAGCCCCAGCGTTTCTGCCTGTCAGTCCCCAGATGCCTAGTGTCCCACCACAAAGCGTTTTTACCACAGTTTACACGGATCCCCGGGCACAGGGCACAGGGCCACAAGGGGCACAGGCTGGTGAGCTGGCAGGGCCACCCCAGAGTCCACCCTGAGCTCCCTCCCCAGGCATCTGTTCTTGCTCGGACATCTGACCCACCCACCCAGGGAAACCCAGCCAGGGAAGCCGGGGCCTCTGTCCACGGCCTCATGGGACAGAGCCGTGCACCGAGCTGGGATGCTGGGGTCAGGGGCAGGGAGGGCCAGCGCCACAATGCCCCGTCAGCCTTTGGACCCACACTTCACCCCCTGCCTGCTCACTGATATGAACAATTGCTATGTGCACCCCCAAGTGCCAGGCATGACAGCCCTCAGTTGGCTTCCATGCAATTCTAGGGCCAAAGTCAAGATGTCCCAAAAGGAGACACATCACAAAGAGGTAAAGACGTCCTCTGAAGAAATGCCTAGAAGGTGCTTCCCGCAAGTCAGGCCTTTGGCGCAGCAGACCTCTCCTGTCTCCCTGCTGCTCCCCTCAGCAGTGCATTTCAGTCCATCCACCTGTCCTGCCCCCCACTCTGTCTCTGGTGAATCCTCTCACCCCCTGCACCTCTGGCCTGCACCCCAGTTCTTCTACCCTAAAATAAACAAATAAATGTCAGGCCTTTGGGGTGGCGTGGTGCGGGCCCACCCAGCCGCGGGCAGTCCACTCAAGACGCCGGCCCCCGCAATGCCAGGGCGTCTTCTGTCTGCTGCAGCTGCAGAGGGGGGAGGGATGTCTCGATGGGCTCCCACCTCAGGAATAAAGGGTGGGGCAGCAGGGAATTGAGGCTCCCAGGACCAGCCAATAAAGGGAACCAGGGAGGAGACCAGAGACAATACCGGAGGGAACTCCGGAGAGTTCTGGAACCTTCCCCTTTGCCCACAGTTGCTACATTCCCAGCCTGGTTCTTTCCAACAGATGTCCAACAAGTGGCAGCACACCAGTCTCATTCACAGGATGGGAGCTCTGGGAGGCTGGGGGCACACTTTACAGAGGACACCCGGCTCGGAACAAGGTCCCCACACCGGCAGTGTGGACTCAGATTCAGGTGATGCCAAATCAGCCTTTGACCTCTTGCTCCCCCCACACAAACTCTGCCTGACCTCGTCTGCAGCCCCTGTGGGGTACGTGGGCAGAAATGAGCCCCCCACACACACACCATACCCACGCTGGGAACCGTGTGATCACCTCACTGGACAAGACACAGAAAAGAGAAGAGAAATTTCTCCTGTTCTGGCTAATTAACCATCAGGCTTTGTCATAAAGAGACCTCCTGAGTGGAGCACTCGGTCCAGTGCGGGGCCCGTTGACTGGGCAAGTGCCTGGGGCAGACAGGGCTGGGAGAGAGTGCAGCTTCCTGCGCCTGTCCTGCCCGGGACAGGCCCCCGTGTGTCGTGTCCTCCTGCACCTTCCTTCATGCGCTCAGCATTTTGCCCCCAGCCTACAGTCATTTGAGGGTGCATAAGCAGCTACACTTATTTCCCCAAACCCTTTAATTATTATAAAAATAGAAGGCCCTCAACCACAGCGCTCCAGCCAGATAACCGTGGATAATGCCTGTGAACACACAGCTCAGAATAGCAGCGGGAGCCGATCAGGCCAGCCGTGAGCAGGGAGGGCCCCGGGGCCAAGGCCAGTGGCAGAAATATCCTGGGCGTTTCACACGACAAACACACATGTAAATCGGATCTGCGGCTCAGAGCAGATACTCTGCAATGCAGTTATTAAATGAAATAAGTTGATCCCCGGGGGGACAGGGCAGTCAGGGCCGAGGATTCCAGCATCACTTTGAGGGAAGGCCTGGACACTGGCGCTGGCCAGGGGAGAGGAGGAGGGGGTCTGAGTCACACAGCCCCCGCCTCGCCCACCACTGAGTGAGCCTGGACCCCTGGTTCCTTGATGGGGGTCTGGGAGCCAGATGCTCAGAGGCTGGGCGACCACATGGCCAGAGGTCAAAGGCTGACATCCCCACTGTCCACTACATCGTGGCTGCCTTGAGATGGTCACTGCTGCTCTAAGTGCTGGCCATTGAGTCTGCCCAGCTGCCGACACCCCCACCCACCCATTCATTAAACCATGGGGTGCTCCGTGAGCCCCCTGCCCTGCCCTGCCCCGTCCTCCACCCAGAGCCGCGCTGCGCCTCGTCCTTGCGTGGCCGTCACAGCAAGTGTGTCTCTGCTCTCGAGACCAGAGGTGGGGTGAGCACGGGAGTGACACAGACACAGGGATGGAGGGAGAACAAGGCCTCACCCAAGGGAGAACAAGGGCTGTCACCCAAGACAACCAGGGGCTAATGGGGTTTGCCCCCAGAATCTCTCTCTCACCGCACCCCCCCCAACGGGTTAACATTCTATAGCATTTTGCAATGTGTTTTAAGAATGAACCAAAAAAGTGCTTCCTTTTCACCCTGTCTCCCAAGCGAGCTCCCGCGGCCCGAGCACGTCACCTAAAGACCGACAGCTCCCCGCGGCCCTCGGGCGGCTGTTTCCAGGGGGCTGACCAGTCCCGGTGAAAAAGACAGGTGTGGACTCGCGCTGACCCTCCACTTCTCTCCTTGGAGCAAACCTCCGGGCACGACCGTGCTAACGCCCGGGCGCCTGCGGGGAGCGGCGGGCTGCCCCATGAAGGCCGCCCCACGCTCGTGGCCAGAGCGGCACCTGCTGCCCTCCCAGTCCACGCAAGGGCTGCCGTGGCCCAAGTTGCAGATCCCAGCCCCGCCTAACAGCACAGCTGCCGAGTCTACAGGGAACTGGTCCACACAGATGTGCCCCCGACGCCTTGGGGCCCCTCTCCAGGGACACGGGATACTCTGAGCGCCTGCTGAGTGGGGAATGGCCTGCCAGTGGCTCTGCTTTGAGTTCTCCGCCAGCAGCTTGAGCGCGCCGTCGGCTTCCGGGGCCCGTCTCCCGGGACCTGTCGGGCTCTTGCAGGTTATGATGGACGTGAGGGGAGGTGCGGCGCTCACAGCTGGGGACACTCACAGGCCACCCTCCGAGTCCCCCCTACTCGTCTGCCTGCCAGTCCCTCCCCACTGCAGTTCTGTCCCTCCCCACTGCCCCTGGAAGCTTCCGCAGTCACTCTGAGCCTAGCCCCGGTCACTCTGCCTCTCCCCCCGCCGTGATCCCACACCTGCTAAGGGGGCACCTTTGGGTGTGGACACACGCAGAGCCTCAGGCTCCCTGCACCGCAGAGACAGTCTGATGTCAAATGCCCCGAGAATGCTCATCGCCCACATCTGCAGCCCGGCGCCCCCCGCACCAGCGTGGGAAGCACGCTCTGCTCGAGGCTGTGTGACTCCAGAACACTTTACTGTGTGGAAGCCCCGCCACACCTCTGCCTCCGGGTGCTGCTCACAGGTCCACTCTCCATCAGAGCCCCCTAAGCCCCCCAGAGCTCTGGGTCCTGCTTCTCAATTCTCACTACCACCTGCTCCCAGTCCACCCTACTCTCCCTGCCCACCGGCACGCGCTCGACCCCCGAGTCAGGGGCAGGCACTCCCCAGGAAGCTGCTCCCGACCCAGTCCTGCCAGGCAGGTACCCACTCCAGACCCAACCCTCCTGCTCCCTAGCCACCTGCGCAGCCCCTGGGGGAGATCAGAGGGAGACCCTTACCTTTTCACCCTTTTCTCCGTGGTAAAAAGGCCCCCTGCCCTAGGAAGACAGAGCGGAAAACAAAGGGTTAGCACAGAGTAGCCCGGCTCGTCAGCAGCACCTGAGCTTCCAAACGGCCAGATGCCTCCTCGCCGGCTCTGCCAAGCAGCCTCCCAGGTGACGATAACTAGTATTTATCGAGTATTGATATAGCGTTTCCTTGAAATTTTGCAGCAACTCTATGTTTTGGTCCTTTTCTTTGCTGTCCACGTCATCTTTACTGAGGTGTAGTTCACATACTGCGCGATTCGCCTGACAGAGCGCGGGCCCAGCGGGCTTTAGCATGTCCAAGAGCTGCGTGGCCGTCCCCAAGACCCACTTGAGGGCCTTTCATCACATTCCCAAGATGAATGACGTCCCCCCTCCCTACACCCGTGAGCGCTCACCCCCTCTGCTCCCACGACCTGCCCTAGGCAAACACTGATCCATTTTCTATAAATTTGCCCATCCTGGATGTTTTGCACACACATGTTCAAACAATATGGCCATTTAGTGCTTTCGAGGTTCCTCCCTGTTGTACACGATCCACGCTTCATTTCAGTGCACAACAGCACCCGCTGCATGGCTGCCACTCACGGCCCATGCGTTCACTCCCTACGAGCTATTTCGGGTTGTTTCCACCTTTTGGCTATTGTAACATATGCCACGAACATCTTTGTATAAGGCTTTGGGGCAAACATGTTTTCTTTTCTTTAGGATCTATAATGAGGCGTGGAATTGCTAACTCATAAGGCAATCCTAGAAACCGCAGGGCTGTTTCCAAAGCAGCTGCACCATTTTACGCCAGCAGCATAAGAGGGTCCCAATTTCTCCAAGACCCTGTGTCCCACCCACTACTAGAGGGGGCACTGCAGCCCCCAACGACTGTGATTTTCGGCTCTCCTTCGAGTTTGCCAGGCTGTGCTCTGCATATTTCAGGGCTCTGTTGTGCGGTGCATGTATGTTTATAATTGTTGTTTTAGAAGAACTGACCTTTTAATTACCTCTATAAAATGCCTCTCTTTATTTCTATTAACTTTGTTATCTTAAAACCTATTTTGTCTGATAGAAGAGTAACTACAATCACTTCATTTTTTGTTTCTGATTTTCAAATGTACATTTTCCATACCTCACCTCTCCAGCTGTTTATGTCATTAAATTGAAACTATGTCTCCCATGAACAGGATAGAGCTGAGTCCACCCTGCCCAGTCTGAAAATCTCCTATTTTAATTAATGTGCTTCAAACATTCACATGTAATGTTCATATTTACAGATACACACGTGCCATTTTTGTTTTCTCTATGTTGCCTCCTGTCTTTTTATGCCTATATTTCTCCTTCACTGACTTTTTTTTGCATTAAATGAGTTCTCTCTGGTCCAGTATTCACATCTCCTTAATGATATTTCACTACATATTTGGAATTATTAGAGCTTGCTTTGGGGCTGACCATATACATCTGACCTTATCAGGATCTACTTGAGGTATTTTTTGTTTGTTTTTTTTTAAAGATTTTATTTATTAAAGATTTTATTTATTTATTTATACAAGCACTGGGTACAGTCAGAAGCGCGGGAAGGTGAGAGAATTCACCAGAGCCAGAGCAGGGAACAGAACAGGCAGACTGACGAAGCACACTGCTGAGGGGAGCAGCGGGCAGCAGGAGGGGTCTGTCGTGCCATGTGGGACCCTCGCTGGCGGCCGGGGATCGAACCAGCACTGCAGAGGCTGTGGGCAGCTTCACAGCCCAGCGCTCAACCGCTGCACCACCGGGGAGGCCCTACTTGAGGTTTATAGCAACCTCCAGATGAGATTTAGAAACACACTCCTACACTGTCCTCCTCCCTTTTTGTGCTGTTACTATTATACACATCATCTAAGTATTTGCTAAAGACCCAGCAATACACAGCTATATTTCTTTGAATTCGGCTTCCCATTACTTTTCGACCTCAATTATTTCTGATGATGTGTTGGCTGTTGATTTTACTGAGGTTTTCTTGACCAGGTGAGTCACCTTCCCCGGCTGCTCTCCAAGTTTACTCCTTGTCTTTTAGCATTTCCACTGTGATGTCTCTGAGGATGAGTCTCTTTGTGTCTATCTTGATTGAAGTTCATTCAACTTCATTGTGCAGGTTACTGCTTTTCACCAAATTTGGAATATCTTTAACCAATCTTTCTTTGAATACGTTTCCAACTCCCTTTTCCGCTCCTTCTGGAATCCCCATCATGTGCATGTTTGTGCATTTTATGGCCCCTACATTTCTCTGAGCTTCTGTTCATTTTTCTTCCTGTCTGTCCTCTGTTTTTCAGATTACGTCATCTCCACTGATCTATTTTCAAGATCGCTGCCTGTTTCTTTGGCCTGTCTAAATCCACTGTTGAGCTGCTCTAGTGACTTTTTTCATTTCACTTATTATAATTTTAAACTCTAGAATTTTCTCATTTGTTTCTTTGTCACAATTTCTATTTATATTCTGTATTTGATTAGAGATGATCCAAGTACCTTCCTTTACATCTTTAAGAGCGACCTCCTTTCTCCCTTTGAACGTGATTACAGCAGCTGCTTCAAGGCTTGGTTACCTCTGCCTGTGCTCTCTCCAGGCAGAGTCTGCTGCCTGGTTTCCTTCCTGTGTGTGAGCACGATGGGAGTTTCTCTCTTCCCTCCTCACCAAGTTTACATGATGGTTAAGTGACCCTGACATCACAAAGCATGTTCCACGGGCCCAGCACACACAGTGCTGTCCATGCTACAGCTCTCCCTAGCTCCACGTTGCTTTGCACAAGCAGTTGCTTCGCACAAGCAGTTGCTTCCTCCCTCTAAGGAGGTGGGTCTGCAGGCATGGGAGAAAGGCGTGCAGGTGCACACAGGACACAGACTGAGCATGCAGGGTCCAGTCTCTGCCTCATGCAGGCTCTGTGCTCATGGGCAACTCATCCAAGTTTGAAAATTTGATGTCATTCCCATTAGAAAAATGGCAAGACTACAATTCAGAAGATGTTCCCAGGGGTAATGAGAGAATGCGCACGATGTCCCTGTCAAACCAGCTCGAGAATGAGCCGTTGGTAGTTGACAACACAGGGTATAAGTGAATCACATTAGCCAGGTTAGTTCTTCTAAGGAGAGGTTTTATCTTGTTCTAGGGTATCCCCCTGAGCCCTAAGAACCGAGAAGAAATGAATATAATGACAGAAGAAGAGAACAGCCACTCACTAACCATGTACTCTGAGCCAGACATTTTATAGACAAAGTCATTATTATCCTCCTCACTTAGCTAATGGGGTAGAGGAGATTTGTCAGAACCCTCTTGTGGCCAGCAGCTCGTACAGGCGGGTGCCAAGGGCAGGTCCTGAGGTCCATCGGACACCACATGAGCTGCTGATGGCTCAACACACGCTGGAGGATGGGGCTATTTTCTCTCCATGCCAGAAAGTAGCAAGGCAACAGGAGCACTCACTGAGCACAGGTGTGCCAAACTTCTTGCATGTGGTAACCCACTGCCTCCCCAGAGAGCTACCAGACAGTTGATTTCATCACCCCCTCATCCACAGATGAGGAAACAGGGCAGACAGTGGAGGCAGGACGTGTTCCCAGTCACTGGACTAGGAGGACCTCCTCTGAACTGTGACTCGGTAGCCGGGTGCTTTTCCCCAACACACCACCCACTGCAGCCCGACATCAGCTGCAGGTTCCATGAGCTCATCGTGCTGGTCCAGGACCAGGGAGCTGATGATGAGCCCCAGCCCGGGCATCAGGAGGTCAGCTGAGGGGCCAGTGGCATGGACCACAGAGGTGTGGCCAGATTTGGGGTTTGAGACGTCCCAGAGCCAAAGGCAAGTTGAGATTGAATGAGGTAAAAATATAAGCCAGACAGACAGGGGCTGGGTGAGGGGAAAATCAGGGTCAGGCAGCAAAATTTATCCAGTAGAGCATGTGCAGAGGCCACAGGGAGAAATGACCAGTCTGGAGAATCATGACTGCCATGTTAGAAGCACAGAAGTGGGGTGAGGGAGCAGGTGGCACAGGATGAAGGAGAGCAGCCGGCTGGGCCCCGTCAAGAGCCTGTGCCCATGGACTGGGGCTGGATCCTCATTTGGAGGGTGGTGGGGACACACCCCAGCCCCCGGGTGCAGGCACTCAGCCCATCCCAACTGACCAGGCAACCTGGGCAAAGTCCAGGTCTCCCATGCCCGCCACACAGAGAGGGCCCCACTCACCATGTCTCCCTTCTCTCCCTTGGGTCCAGGAGCTCCCAGCAGCCCAGGGGCACCTGCGTCTCCCTGAGGAATGGAAGCACAGCACTGGGTCAGACCCTCTGAGGGCTGCTCTGGGCACTGCCAGGAGCCCAGCGAGCCGCACTCCCTTCCCGGGGGCAGAGGAGCACTGAAGGAGGCACGGCAGGCTGCCTCTGGGGAGGCCTTCTAGGCCCAGAGGTGAGCGACGAGCCGGCCCCAGCCAGGCTCTGCCACTTCCTGGGTGAAGACCGCCTGGCCTCGGGCCTCGGCCCGTCCTCCGCTCAGGGCCAGCCTGTGCTCCCAACACCGCCAGACATCCAGGCTCCCAGAGTCACTGTCTGTGTATGGGTATGAGCCTCGAAGGCCCTGGCCCCGCATGTCCAGGTAGAGAGCACGGAGCTCTGTCCCTGCATGGGCAGCTCACTGCCCGCCCCTCCCCGACCTGTTGACCACAGACACGTCGCCCCCCAGCAGCGCGGCCCAGCCCGACAGCGCTGTTCTCCTCCACGCCACGGCTGAGGTGGAGGGCACAGCCCAGGGGCCAGAGAGGGGGAGGCCCCGGCCCTCTCCAGGACCACCTGCACCCTGGGCCTGCGGTCCTCCAGCAGCGGGGGAGGGACGCACTGTCAGTGGTGCGGTTGTGTGCGTGCACGATGGGGTGTGTGTGTGGTGCTGGGTGTGTGAGCTGATGGGTGTGTGTGATGGTGTGTGTGATGCCGTGTGTGTGTGATGCCGTGTATGTGATGCTGTGTGTGTGATGCTGTGTGTGCTGCTGGGTGTGTGCGATGCTGTGTGTGATGCTGGGTGTGTGTGAAGGTGTGTGTGATGGTGTGTGTTCATCATGGCCATCCGGCAGGGTGCGTGGAGGGGTGCACTACTGAGTGTAGGGGTGAGTACCACAGGAGGGAGAGCAGGAAGCAGGGGAGCAGGGATGAGGACAGAGGGGTGGGGGCCTCTAAGTGTCTCTGCCTCCCCCTTTTCACTGGGGGGGTGGCCTCTGGACAGCGTGACCCCCTCCCGCCCCTCAGCCTGCATGGCCTCCTCTTCCTGAGCCCAGAACGAAGCAGCGAGCAGCCATCCTGGGAAACATGGAGAGAGGAGGGGCTGTCCCCCACCCCGGGCCGGACGCCACCGCCCGCACCTCGGAGAGGACACACGTCTAAACAGCAGGGCCTCAGGAGCCAGGCCCCAGGTTCCTGGAACACGAGGCCTCAAGGACGGACACTGAACAAGCTGACCACAGGGAGTCAGGTGTTGGGGTCACCAAGGTCGGGGCTAGCGGGTTTGACAGATGTTCAAGCTTAACGTCACTTCCTCCCGTCCGTCCCCCACAAGCGCGCACCACCCGGTCCCGCCCTCCCTGCAGAGAGCAAGGCCAAGGCCCAGGTGCTCCTGGCCAGCTCGGCACTGACCTTTGGGCCGGGAAGTCCCACGGGGCCATCCAAGCCCTTTTCACCCTAAAGGAAGAAAGACCCAGAAACCAGTCACCCTACTTTCACTCCCCCCATCCTCACCCCTGTAGGCTGCCCCCCACATGCTCCCACACACTGATGTGTCAGGAGAGCATCCCTTGGGGGTACCTTGAAAGAAGACCGGCATGCTGCTCAGTGGGGGCAGGAGGGGGTGGGGGCAGAGGGGAGGGAGGGGGCCCTCCAAGAAGGCTCTCGCCTGCTAGACCTGGGAGGGGGCGCGGCAGCTGGGGACCCGCTGGGTTGCTCCAGTGGGAGCAGCTGGGGGGGACCCACAAGCCACACCAAGGTGAGCCGGGGGTGACTGAACAGGAGAGAGGCGGGAAGGGGGGCCTGCTGACCCCAGACGTCCCTCCAGGGGTCCCTGCCAGGACCTGCTCTGGGTAAGCCAAGGTGAGCGAGGACGGGACAGGACGGTGTCGCCACCCTCCCTGGCACAGGCTGCCCGAGGCAGGTGCCCGGCGACCCACCCAGCAATGCAGTGGGCAGCCGGAGGGAGGAGGAGGAGCTTCTGCCAAGACGGACTTAGGAGAAGCGGCTCTGGGGGCATCTCGGAGTGTGTGCCCGCCGATGAACTCCACCCAGGCCTCTCGGGCTTGTCCATGTCTCCCGGCCCCGCCCCCGGTTTCGGGGCACCTCCTGTGTGGGCCCAAGGGGGGAACCCCACTCCGATCAGGGTCTGGGGCTGTGGGTCAGCAGAAGCCCTTTCTCAGCCTGCGTATCTGTTCATGTTTATTCTGCGCTAATAGCAGGAAACATCTCCTCCCCTGACGGAAGGGCCCCCGGTCTCCCGAGAAACAGCAGACCAGGCCGCGGGCTCTCGGTGCCCGGTGGGTGGAGGTCAGGATGCTGGTGCCCACAGCGCTTCAAGGTCAGAAACTCCAGGCTGACCCACTCGGGCGTCATCTGATGACAGACTCCCGCAGACAGAGAGGGAGAGGGTGTGGGAAGCCCCAGCCCACGGCCTCCCACCCCACTCGCCCGGATCTGGCTGGACCCGCGTGTGAGTGGACATGACACAAGCCTGGCCAGGAAGCCTCAGGCATCCGGTGTCCACCCCCCGGCCCCCAGGTCCCCGCATGGCCAGACACTCCAGCTCCAGGCCGAGGTCCCGCGGCCACTGCACCCACACGGCCCAGCCCGGGGCTCCGCGGAGGACAGAGCCGCTGCAGGTGGCACCTTTTCTCCGGCGGGGCAGGAGCAGTTGATGGTCTTCAGGAAGCCGATGTGCTCGCTGCTGGAGCTGGGGGGCCACAGGGGCGGGGGCGGGGGCTCCGTCACCACGGTCACCTGGCACTGGAGGAAGGCCGTGGCTCAGGGCTGGGCTTCAGGGGCCACACCACGCGCTCACTGACCCGGGGCCCGGGAGCCCAGGGACTGGAGTCCACCCTGGGGTCCAGGGAAGCGGGCCGAGATTATCGCCCCGGCCGCACCTGGGCCTGGGGTTTGGAGAAGAGGTTGGAGAAGGAGAGACTAGAACAAGACAGAGGCGCAGTCCCGGGAGAGGAAGACCACCTGGGCAGCCCTGGGCCCTGGGGCCATCCCTGCCACCGCCTGGTGCCAGCGCCCCGTGAGAGCGGGCCGCAGGGAGGGCAGGCGCTCCTGGTTACCCCGCAGCCGCTGCCTCTCTCCCCAGAGCTGGGCCTCAGCACCCACTGCGGCAGCCCTCACAGGACCCCTCCCACCCCTCCCTGCTGACACGGGACCCGGGACATTCTGAGGGGGTGACCCGAGCCTCTGCTATTCGTTCCTAGGCCTAGACGCCCCTGCTGCCCACCCAGCCCCCCCAGGCAAGCGCCCTGGCTCACCGGCCCCGAAGGGATGTCACAGCAGGTCTCCAGCTCCGCGTGCCGGGAGTCGCAGTAAATCACGACCCGCTGCAGGTCAAACTGGAGAGGACGAAGGGCAGAGGTGAGTCGGCCTGGGAGCCTCCGTCTTGGCCAAGCGCGCCGGGGGCTGAGCCTCAGGGGCTCCGGCACTCGCTTGCCTGGGCAAGCGAGTTTGGTTCACTGGGGACAGTCCCAGCCTGCGAGAGCCCCTCCCCTCCTGGCCCCGGACGCCATTCTGATGCCTTAGTCTATCCTCAGGTAGGAAGACGCCGGGACGGGAAGGGAGCTGGGCACCTTGCCAGGCTTTAAGCATGCGCACACCTGGCCGGGGTGAGGTAGCGTCTGAACAGTGATTTTTAGAGTTTTCCTTCAATTTCATTATTTCTTTTGTTTAATTTGGTTCCACATCTATTGTCTGATTTCACCATCTCTGCCCACCCCAGGACCCTGGCTCAGGAGGCCCTGCCGATACGCACGTCGATGGGCACGCTGTCGTAGAGGCGCTTGCCGATCACGGTCTTGCCCTGGATGTCAATGTTCTCCCGCTCCTCGATGGGCAGTGTCTGCACCAGGGCGCAGTCGATGTAGAGGGAGACGTTCTGGGCCTGGATGCTCAGGGCGATCTTATGCCACTCGCGGTCAAAGAGGCTGCTGACCGTGGGCCCCCGGAAGACCACCCTGACGGCGTCCTGCAGCGCGCCCACGGCGTTGTACTCGACCGCCTTGTCCTCGCCGTCCAGCCGGATGGAGACCTGGGCGGACAGGACGGGGGCTCCTTAGGCTTCATGGGATCAAAGAGGAAGGCACAAGTCCGCTGACTGCCTCGGCCCAAGCCACTCTGTTTCATCATCTAACCCAGATCACCGTCGTCACCTGACGATTATCTGGTACATAAATAACGCGCCCATTGCTGGACACAGTCTCCCACTTCCTACGGTCCCATCTCTTTGCACCCCATGCTCTAGGCCTTGCCTTCAGGCCTCAGATTCTTCTGGCCCCCCACAAAGCCAGGGCAGGGGCCAGCAGGCTAAGCCATTTTCTTTTAGGGATTTTTTTCCCAGAAGTGGGACTGCCACATCGTACGGCAGTTGTGTTTTTAGCTTTTTCCTCTATCCCATAATGGTGGCACCATTTCAGGTCTGTCTTGGGGACTCGGGAAGGTGCCCCAGGACGCAGGTCTGTCAGCAAACCCTGCAGGTTCCATTTTCAAAATACATCCAGAATCCTCGGTTTCTCCCCAGTTCGTGTCCTGCCTGGTGTTGGAGACAGTGTGGTCTCTTGTGTGGGTTACAACCAGCCTCCTAATAGTCCTCCCGGAGTTTCTGCACCGCCCAGAGTCTCCTCTTAAACAGGAAGCCTGACATGGGCCAAGGTATGATATCTGGCCTCCCATCACCTCCCCAACACCCTACGTGGCCCGAGACCAGGCCCTTCCATCTCCCCAAATTACAAATGGTGCAACTGCCAGCTCTCAAGGGCGGCTGTAAATACCCGATGAGCTCATGGGTATGAAAGTCCAGACCTTCGGTCTGTGATGACAGAGCGGACGGGGCAGCTGCTACACCATTCAGCTCCCAACTCATCTGCAGCCTGGACCCGTCTCTCCTGGGTCTCAGCCCGAGGTAAGTAGGTGGTCCTCGTCCTCTGAAGGCCACCTAGGGAACTGAAACTTGGAAAGGCACCTGGAGGCCCTTCCTGGCAGGCTCATCTCCGCTGGCGGTGCCTCAACCCCCAATGCTCTGGCTGGAGGGGCTGGCAGGCCCAACACAGCTCTGCAAATGCCATGAGGACCGAGACCCCAGACGGAGGGGGCGGTGTGGACCTGCCCACAGGAATGTCATGGCCGGCGCCCAGCCTGCCTCAGACCCTGAGAACCGGAGAGGCAGGCCTGGTGGCCGCAGATGGACCTGAGCTGCTCCCCAGACAGCGGATTTCCTTGTTCCTCTGCCCACACGTAGGGCGCAGGCCGCTCGGCCGCCAGGCCTGGAGATGTGTGGGCCCCAGCCCGGCCTGGCCTATGGAGAAGTCACTGGGCAGGTGGGCACAGGTCCGGCTGCCTGGGCTTCCTCTCCTCTTGTGGCCGCCTCTACCCCAGCCCACGTCTCTGCCCCGCCACGAGGGCAGCCCCTCGCTCTAGACACCACAGCTGTGATGGGGACAATGGACGGCCCAGGCGGGAGGTGCTGTGATCCGCCCGCTCTGGCCCCCAGCATTCAAGTCCAGAAGCTCGTACGATGCCTGGTCCCACTGGACCCGTGAGCTCATGCCCAAGCGTCTCCCGGGTGGCCGGGGCCCAGTCCAGGTGCAGACGCCATCGCTCCTCCCCAGAAGGGCGGCGTCCGCACACAGCCAGCTTTCCGGGAAAGGAAGGGGGTCCTGATGCCAAAGACGCATTCAGCGCATGACCTCCCGGGAGGGGCCCTGCCAGCCAGAGCCTCTGTCTCACAGCCCCCTGGGGTGCTGGTGACTGACGCTGGCCACCCCTCCCCACTCAGCCATGTGCCCCTGACAAGTTCTCCCGCCTTCTTCAAACACGAGGGGCTGAGCCGGCTTCAGCGCCTCCTTCAGGGTCAAGCCTGGGAGGGGGCGTCCCGGATAAAGCCGAGCACCCGGCAGCTCGCAGGCTCAGTCTCAGCAGCCCCCCGGGGGGTCCGCCACCTGCTTCACAGCCGAGACGAGCACAGCTCAGAGAGCTCAGGGCCTCAGGGACTCAGCAAAAGAAGGGCGACCCAGCCCAGGCTGGCACAGTCACCAGCCCTCGCCCACATGCCTGCGCCTGCAGAGCAAGTGCCGGGGCACGAGCTGGCCCACGCGGGGACGTTGAGGTCCCAGTATCCTGGCCAGAGAGACCCGGGACCCCATGCCCTGGGGAGGCAGCTTCTCCCGTGTGCGGGTGTGACCATCCCGGGGCTCCCCGTGCCTCCCTGCCACAGAGGCCCTGTGGGGAGCTTGGTAACGATACAGACCCCACGAGAAGGATCGGAAGCCGTGCCCCCCCGCCAGGCGGCCCCCTCGTACCTGCGGGATGCCATACTGGTCAATGACCTGCCACATGTACCAGTCTTCCTTCCGAGACGCCTTCCTGAGCCGGAAGGTGGTGACGAAGGCGTACTCGTCAGGCAGGCCTTGCGGAAACACGTCCCTGGGGGGACAAGGACGGAAACCGGCTGATGGGGCGGCGGGCCCTGGCCCGGAGCCTGGGCGCCGGCTTTGTTCACAGTGAGAAGGGCGGCTACGTTCGCTATGGGCAGTGTCCTCACTGGCCTAACCCTGGAAGGCATTTTACAAACTTTCATCTAATTTGCTTCTCGTTACAATGAGATGTGGGCTGCGACACTAGAAATCGGATGAAAACTTGTCCAGAATCTCACGGCTCATCAGGAGCGGAGGCTGGCCCCGAACATACATAAATACGTGTGTGTGTTTAATGGTGCTTTTTAAAATTATTTTTGCATAGAAGAACCAGGGTGCAGGTCAGAGGTGCGGGGTGAGAGGACTCACCCGAGACAGAGTGGGGAGCAGAACAGGCCGAGCCTCTGAAACGCACTGCTGAGGGGAGCAGCAGGGGGACAGGACAGGTCTGCCGTGGGTCAGCTCCCTGGCCGGCCAGGGATCGAACTCAGCCCTTTGTGGTGACAGCACTGAGACTTAACCCCTAGGCCACAGGGAGGCCCTGCATGTGTTATTTTAAAGCAGCAAGAAGAACGTGTTTTCACTTCCCCAGGTGGGAGAGAAAGGGCGTGTGGTCAGAGCAGGAGTGGGGGGCGCCCGTACAGACACGGGAGCCAGGCCAGGGAGCCGTGGGACAATCGTGAGGCCCAGAGGCAGGACGGGGCCAGATGGCTCGGGCCTCTCCAGCCCTGAGCCCGAGGACCCAGAAAACGATACAGTGTTAGATGGGGGGCTGAGAGCAGCAGAGGGGGCAGGTATGCTGGCACCCTCCTTTGCCTGACCGCAGACCCGGCGGTGTCAGACCTGAGATGAGTGTTCACAGTAGGAGCCACCCAACAGCGCTACACGGTGGGGGCACCTGCTCAGGGGGACGTGACCAGAGCGTGGAGCAAGGGGCGCCTGATTCCGTGTGAGTCCAGGCACCCAGGAATGCTGAACCTGGTCCCCGCTGGGGACCACGAGCTGGGGGCGGGTGGTGTGCATCTGCTTTCACACAGAGGGGGCCAGTCCAGGCGCCGTGGACTCGCAGCACTGTCTGGTCAGCTGGCACAGCCCAGGCACGCAGGGAAGGCCACGCCAGGCATGCTGGGATGGCATGTGGCCGGCCAGGGAGGGAGACAGACGGCCAGGGAGGGAGAGAAGGAGACGGACGGCCAGGGAGGGAGACAGTGGCCAAGGCAGGCCCAGGCCAGGGTCCCAGGGCGACCGCCCCAGGCACTGAGTGGTGGGTAGCCGGGCTGACTGGCTCCACTGCCCAGGCCGGCAGGAAGGAAAAGCGACTCACTCTGTCCTCTGTACCACAGGGAAGGAGCCCAGGCGGACATAGGAGCTCCGAGCTCCGTACTCTCTCCTGCCCACGACCTCCTGCACGCTGAACAGGTCCATCAGGTCAAAACCTGTCCCGGGAGAAGAGAGAGACGCGTGAGTTTCCCCCGAAGGCGCCCGCGGCGGATGTGGGTTTGAGTGACTTCAGCAGAGGGAACGTTCAGTTACATATTCGGGAGAAAACAGAACTCGGGGTAAGAGGGGTCCAGCTTCCGTTGGCGATTCTGGGTGGGTGTCAGAGACTCGCGGGTGTCCGGTCCCGCGGCCAGCAGCAGGCGGGGGGAAGCAGTCCTCGCAGGCCGCCCGCCAGGCCCCCGACGCGGCTTGCACGCGGCCACCGAGGCCTGGCTTCCCCAGCAGCCACACTTTCGCAAATCCTTTGGCTTTTGCTTGGGTTAGAGTCTGGCAGCTTTAGTTCCAGCCTCTTAATGAGGAAAACATCAGAGAGAAGAAAACCGTCTGGTGACACAGCCCTGACTGCTTTGCTCTTCCCTGGCCCTGAGAAGGGAGAGCGTGGAAACTCTGGACCGCGGGGCCTGGCGAGGGGTAGGACCGGCCCATCCAACATGTGTGACTCTGGGCAAGTCACTTAACCACAGGGGCCTCCAGACCTGGTGACTGCTCGGAAGTGAAGGCAAAGACCCCCACGCAGAGCCAGCGCGGGGACCCGAGACCCTGAGTCGCTCAGCACGCAGCTGGGGTAACACCAGCACGTCTCCCCAACACGCTCCTCCCACACTGACCAACCATCTGGAGGCTGGCCGAGCCATCCTGTGGGTCTCAGAGGGGCCAGGCACATGCCTGGGCTGGGGGCTGGGGGTGCGATCCACGGGCTCGACCTTGCATCCGGGGAATGGACGGCCCCGGCAGGGAAACACCCCGCACCAGCCTCACTAACTCCACTTCCCCGGAGCTCACACACCTGCCTGGCGACACCAGCCCAGGGGCCTTGGGACGATTCTCAGGGTCCAACACTCAGGCGCTGCCATGGACCACTGGGAACAAACGAGAGGGTTCCCAGGACAGGGGTGAAAGCATCTTCTCTCTCTAAATCCCGCCCAGGGAGAGCAAGCAGCCCTCAGCACGTATGTTTAGGCACCGCCCTGATCCAAGTGCTGTGGAAGACACAGCAGGGACAGGAGGCCTGAGCACAAAGCCGGACGGGCTCGGCACGTGGCGCCAAGTTCCTGCCGGTGCGTGGGCACTCCCTGACGCCCGCGGGCACCCACTCTCCATCCATCACACAGCGGAAGCAACAGGATGGAGTCTACATGGCTTCCCCATCACCACGTCGCAGGGCCTTCTACACGGCACCCTGGCCCCAGAGGCCAAGTGTTCACTCAGCACGTGGCTATTGAGAGCCTGCCCTGGACAGGCAGGTGTGAGCACTGGGGGTGCAGCCTTGAGGGGCAGGAGTGTGTGGGGAAGACCCATGTTCACCCACAATTATCGGAAGCTCGCCAGGCAGGCCTGGAAGCGACACCCCTGAGCCGGGCAGCAGTGCAGGCCTCGGGCACAGGGCACCAGGCAAGCTGCCCCAGCCAGGCCGCCCAGGCTGCCATGGCCTGGGGGAGGGTCCCCGCAAGGGGTGGCTGTGCTGGGATTGAAGCCCCGGCTGACCTCAGGGGGTGACCCCTGCCCAGCCCCGGGCCACTCTGAGGCTTTCTAGTTCTCGGAAAGTGACTAAGAATTGCCATCACCTCATTTCTAAATAGCACTTGGCACCCAGGCTAATGAGCAGAATCCATCATGTAATGGTAGCCGGTAATTGGCCCCTCAGATGGAAACATAAATCCGGAAGGAAGCTCCTTTATGGATGAGAAAAGCACACCTTTAAACTGGGCGTTTTAATGTTCCAAGGCAAAGGAGACAGCCTCCCCAGAGCTGGAGTGTGGGATCCCCAGGGGCGGGGCCCGCTTCCGCACCGGCCTCCACCACGTGTGACGCAAGCGGGCCCAGGATGCAGCTGGCACAGGGTTGCTGAGGACAGAGCCCCCCCAAGGGGCACCACCTCCACCCTGCTCCCCACCCCACCCCCAAACCACAGACTTGGTCCCCAGAACAGACTTGGAAACACTCAGCTGAAGGGGCCGTTGGCCCGGGAAGGCTGCAGAGGGGGGTGTGCCAGCACCCAGCAGGAGACCCTGAACCCCCCAGGCAGATGCCCATGGGGTGAGGCCCACTCAGCTGCGTGGCCCTGAGCAAGTGTGTTACCTCTGCTGTTTCTGTTTTGTGAAACTGGGGTAATAATAGTGTAGGTTGGAGAGATGAGGGCTGCAGAATGAGAATGTCTGGGTTCAACTCCCTGCTCCCGCTCTCCTACCTACTCAGTCTTGGGTGCTTCATTCAACTCCTCAGGGTCTCCACTTCTTCCCCTGCCAAGTGGGGAGCTCGAACGGACCCATCCCTCGAAAACAGGTGGGTCCACTGCCCCATAGTAAGCCCTGAGCAGGCAGTCAGGGCCAGTCAGTCTTCTAGGCTCTGACTCGGCGTGACCTTGGCTGAGTCACTGCGCTCCTGCCCACGAAGTCAATCCCCGCAGGTGTGCCACAGGGGGCAGGTAGAATAGGGACTTTTTGTGGTTTTAGCACCAATAGCTGGCTGTCCTAGTCCCCCCACTTCCACAGGGCTGGGAGGAGCGTGCTGCCCATTCAGTGGCGTGACCATGACTCTGAAGGCCGTGCTTCATGCAGCAGAGAAGCCCTGGTCCAGCGAGCTCGAGGCTGATGTCAGGCCAGTCCCGGCTCGGCAGAGCAAATCCCAAGATGCACCCCGTGCAGGGGACGCTGATGGAGGCTGCCAGGTTATCTCAACACTGCATGCTGAATATGCTCCCCACCCCTAAGGGAATGTCTCAGGAGGTGGCCCTCTGCCATGATTAGCTCATGCAGCCCCTAGGAGAGAGACCCCAAAGACTTCCCACACCCCTCCTGCCAGGTGAGGACCTTCCTGCCAGGTGAGGACCTCCCACTGTGTCTCAGCCGGGGAGAGGCCCCTCCAGACAGGGAGTCTATGGCCACATAACCTGGGACCTCTCAGCCCACAACTGTGGAGTCAGTTTCTGCCATTTATCAGCCACTTAGTCCAGAACTGCTTTGCTACAGCGACCCAGGGGACTGAGGCCCAGAGTGGTGTTGAAGAAGTCACCTGATTTTTTTTTTTTTTTGAGTCTGGGTCCTTAATGAAGAAAATGGAGACAATAATTCCTGGAGGCTGTGGAGAGGCTTCAGGAAGGTGACCTCATCCAGTGTCTCCGGGAAGCCAGGCTAGTCAGCACCCCTGATCCTTGCTGTGATCAGAAAGTGGCACTTTCTGATTACATCCCTGTGAAATCCCTGATAGGAGAGCCTCACAGCACGTGACAAGTCCCCGCAGCCCCAGAGCCCAGCACTGGCCCTGGCCACGCAGGGTCAGGCCTCTAAGCATGTGCTGAGGAGCCAGGGAGTGTCCTGGGGAGCCCCCTGGGACTCTCTAGCTGTGCACAGTCAGGGCTCCCAGATGTGGGAAACTGCAGCTGAGGGAGCAGGACAGAAGCCCTCCCTTCCCCTGCCCCTGACTCCTTGGCACAATCCTGGCTCCCCTGGGCAGGTGCCGCCCCCTCATCACCTGCCCACAGGGGGCCCTGCCAGATCTCCCATTTGTTAGCCTCTGAACCCCTGCCTGGGGACAGGGCTCCAGAGCCAGTTCCTGCCCCAGGAGGGTAGGCAGGAGGGCGCCTTTAGTCCATTTTGAATTACTCTCTGTGGGAGGCATCAGGTGTGGACCCAGTTCCACTTCTTTGGCAGGAGGCCGGCACGTTTCCCAGCACCATTTGCTAAAGAGCCTCCCCTTGCTCCCTGTGAGGCTGTGGCGCCTTTGCCAAAGACCCTGCCCAGTCCCGGAGGAGCCACGAGCCCTCTCGGTACGCAAACACGCAAGCTCTGCTCCGAGAGTCACGTGCGCCCCTGCGTCCACAGCAGCACTGCCCCCCAGGAGTGGGGCCAGCCTAAACGCCCTCAGAGAGAGGGTGGGGTGAGGGAGACACGGTGGGACACTACTCAGTTAGTAAAAAGATGAAATGGTAAAAAGACAAAACGGATGGATGGATGCTGAGACGATGACGCTTCGTGAAGTAAGTCAGAGAGTGGAAGACAGATGTCACGGGGCCTCGCAGATCTGTTGGCAGATAAAAAGCATGCAGCGGAGGCACAGCGAAAACACACCCCAGGCTTAGTGAAAAATGAGAAACATTCTGGCTACCAGGGAACGGGTGGGGGAGGGAGAGAGAAGACACTGACGGGGCTCGGTGGCAGCTGAGAGAACAAGTGCACGTACGGGAGTGAAAACAGAACCCCGGGGCACACCGACATGCGGCGACGGACAAATTTAAAAATTTATGATAAAAAAAATTAAGGTGTGTTGGGGGGGAGCATGGGGGACAAAAAAAGGGGGCCTCCCCCGATGGCGCAGCAGTTGAGAGCTGTGCTGTGAAGCTGCCTGCAGCCTCGGCAGCGCTGGTTCGATCCCCGGCCACTGGCAAGGGTCCCACATGGCGCGCAGACCTCTCCTGCCGTGCCCGCTGCTCCCCTCAGCAGTGTATTTCGTCAGTCTGCCTGTTCTGTTCCCTCCTCTGGCTCTGGTGAATCCTCTCACCCTCCCGCACTTCTGACTGTACCCAGTCCGTGTATAAATAAATAAATACATCTTTAAAAAAAAAAAAGAAAAGAAAAGAAAAAAATAAGGTGTGAAAGTGGGAAAGATGTTACCAGAGCACACCCCAGGGCCCCGGGCCATGCAGCTCCAGGACGACGGTTAAATTCCCAGCCCCTCAATCTCCTTTCTCATCTGCACAGAGGGCAGAGGGGCAGAGGGGCAGAGGGGCTGCTTCCCAGCTGCTGGCGCCCAGCGCAGGTGCCCGGCCCTGGACACGCCCAGCAAGGGGGCTCTCGTGCAGGGACCTGCTGGAGGTCAGGTGGGCCTGTGCCCAGTGCGGGGTGGTGAGTGGGGGCGAGAACCCTCCGTTTCACAGCTTGTCAGCTGTCCCTGGAAACTGCCACTTCAGCTGGCTTGCCCGTAGCGGCTCTCCGTGGGAGAATTAAAGAGAAGTTTTTAAAAAGCAAGCATATGCTCTGCTTTCTGCTTCCACGATGGCTGGTTTCAATGAGTAAAAACAAAGGCTTCCACAGGACGCAACTTTGAATAACAAGCAGTTAACTAGGTGGCAGACGGGACAGACAGAAGGAGGAAGATGAATTGCCTGCAGTAAATAGAGGCTGGAAGGACAAGGACAGGGTGGTGGGTGGACTCGGAGGCAGGCCACGCCGGGTAGAGAAGCAATTGTCCGGCCCCCAGAGCCAGCTCAGCCGCGGCCTCAGGAGCCTGCCAGGGTGTCCTCTGGCCCAGGCAACCCCATGCTGGCGCCCACCCGCCGTGCTCTCTCCTCTCGCCCTTGTCCTTCAATGTCCACCCTGACCCAGCATTGCCAGACTCCCCCAGACCCAGTAGGACACCCGGTCTTCAGTGGGAAGACGTGCCCCCGGCTCGCCTAGGGGTCAGCTTCCGCTTGGGGCGAGCTCTTTGTGGAAAGGGGCCCTGATTCATGTCCCCATCCCTAAAACACCACGTCCTTGTGTCGTCCCCGTTTGTGGCACCATTTGCAGAGAGCAGGGAGGACAGTGGTTCGGAATCACCAGCCCTTACATGCCCTGCCTGCTGCCCGGACCCCCATAATAAACAGCACGAACCCCTCAGTGTGCCCACAGGTGCCCCCACACAGCCTCACACAGGTTCACAGCTCCCACTGGGGCTCTCAGCGCAGGAGCCACAGGCGGCACCGCTGCTAGCGGGTGACATGCAGCCCTGGCTCCTTTCTGTGTCCTCGCTGCTCCCGATGGCCTGGGGGTGCGCCCTCCCTCCGCCACAAACTCAGGCAAGTGGCTCATCTGTCTTACCCCGGCATCCCCCACTCACTATCACGTTGTAAGGGCTGAAGGAGGAGACACATGCCCGTGTCCTGGCACCCAACGGGCGCCCAGAGTGCCCGTCACCGCTGGTGGTAGAGGTGTTTCTGCCGTCACTGCTGCCGGCTCTGACACCGGCTGGATGACGAGCAACTCGGGAGAAGCCGCAGAGGGACACTGGTCACCGCCAGGAGAAAGTGGGGAGCAGTGAGGGTTCTGTGCTGCATGAACTGGCAGCAGTTGTCCCGCGGGCATGTCCACACTCCAGGCTGGGTGCGACGGACCAGGCTGGCCAAGCAGGGTCACAGGGCAGTGAGTGGCCAGCAGCTCCGCCCCCGCACAGCCACTCGGCTCTAAACAGATTCACTTCCAGGTAATTGAGTTTCAACACGAGGAAGGTGAAAGTCACCTTTATCTCGCCAGTTGGACAAAGAATCCTGGCAGTGGAGGGGCCTCCAGCCACACACCAGGTTGAGAGCAGAGAACGCCAGCCCTGGCTATGGGCTCCTCCCGAGGAGGCAGCCCTGGGTGGCCCCTGGCCAAGGGCAGGGAAGTGGTTGGGGAGCAGTGGATACTGACCTTGGGCCAGTCCCCCAGGAGCAGCAGAGCCGGGCCTTCTACGATGGTCACTGGGTGAGGACAGTGCACCTCCCCCAACCCCAGCCCAGGAGGTTAACGCTCACACATGCACCTGCGTGCACACAGGTGACACTGCCGTCCCCTGTTCTAGAAACGTCCTCAAGTGCAGAGGCAGCTGCTGGCACTTCATGGGGCAGGGGCAGCCTGAACCTGAGCTCCGCTGTCCCAGGCCCAAGACCCTGAGTGGCAGGACCCCTGGGACAGGGGCCACTGGTGGCCTCAAGGCCTGGGGTGGGGACAGGCCCTTGGTGTTCCACGCTGGCCACAACTAGAGCCCTGTGGAGGGGCTGGGGGATCCTGACCTGGGGCCTCCTGGTGAGGGCAGGGGCTGTCCTGGAGGGGCTTCAGATTGTGCCTTTAAAGTGATGACCAGGACCCTGCCCAGGGTGACTGGGTGAGGGGGGAGCCCACTCAGCACCCCCACATGCCCCTGCACCCCATCACAGAGTCGCCTGCTGCCAGGTCTGCAGTCTGTTCTCCCACCACTGATCCACACACACTTTACGGCCCTGATCCCTTCTCGCCTCACTCCGGCGCATCTGCCCATTCACGGCTGCCGGCCCTGCCCGTCGCCAGCCGCTTCCTCACTCCCTGACTCCCGCCCGGCTCGCTCGTCCCTACACGACATTCAGGGTCTCCTAAGGGACGGTCACTGACTGCGAAGTGAAAGAAGTCACTGTCCTCCCCAGGGACAGTTTTCGTGACAAGGGCCTCCTGCAGCGTCCAACTCACTCGACCAGGACTTTGGGGCGTGGTGGGAGTGAGACGAGGCCGGCGCGGCCAGCCCTGAATCCGAGAGCTCCCGCGCAGGCACCGCGGGCGGCTGCGTCTCACCTGTGATTTCCCGGGTGCCCCCGTTGGTGTGCTTGAAGCGATCTCCCTCCACGCGCACGCTCGGGCACAGCACGTCTGCGAAAACAAGAGGACACAGATGCGTGAGCGCCGGCCACGGCCAGCCCACGAACGTGACGTCCCAGGGACCGTGTCCAGCGTGTGGGGCGTCAGCGTCCGGGGCAGGCAGAGGCAGCTCCCCAGCCACCGTCCCGTTCACACTGCGCTTGCCAAACGCCAACACTGCTGCAGGCACAGCGCTGGCCACAGGGCCCTGCCCGCAAGGCTCACGGCTGGTCCCGAAAGGAAGCGAGACGGGGTGGCCAGGACCGACACTGTGACTGGGGACGGGTTGCTGGGAGACTCAGGCACAGGCCCAACACCCTGTCGACCTGGGGATCTTGGGGGGCTTCCCCAGAAAGATGCTTGAGGCAATACAGGCAGAGAAGGTGGTTCCGGCAGAGGGGCCCTCAGACACACGTGACACATATGTGGAAACTCCAAGTCCACGTGTATCTGTGAAAGAGGACGTGGGGGCTGGGCCCACCTGAAAGGTGTCTCTGCTGCCACCCCAGGGGCTGCAGGCACAACCCGGGAAGAAGCGAATCCCAGCAGCACCCAGTGCCCGCTGTACGCAGGCAGCGGAGCTCGTCACACAGCAGGATGTCTTCTCTGCTTCATGACTCCCCACTTCCAACCAAATTTGGGAGGAAAAGAGTCTCCTTCATTGCACCAAAAATCCCAGCAAGAGCCCCAACTTTGACCTTCAAAGTCCAGGGCGCAAGGGATGACCCCACTTCTGGGTGAGCGGGCGGCTGGGACAAGTCTCTGATTCTGTGTGTCTGGGGTGAGTGTCTGCGACCAGGAGCCCATGCCCAGCACACCCTGTCCAGGGCGGCCTCGGGGACTGGGCCGGAGCCTGGGGACCGGCGCAGAACACCCTCTCTTCAACGTGAGACAAGTCAGCGCAGCGGCCGCCATGCCGACCCGGCATCTGGTTTCCTGCTGTCATCCTCATCTCATCTGCAGGCACCCCCGTCAGCTCCACGGAGTGGCCCGATTTTCCTAGTTGCTGAGTTGCTGGTCCCCCACCCCGAGCAGCGAGGGCAGACACACGATCTTCCCAGACTCCAGAGAGGTATTTTTAGTGTTTATCCTCAAAGGCACCAGGAGGTCTGAGGAGCCCCACGGAACGGGTTCTTTGGGAAACAGCGCTGGGCTGCCAGGACCAAACCCGTGAGAGGCGGTGGTGCAATGTCATCCATGTCCCCAGGCCGGGGGCCTGCCGCAGGGGAGCGCCCCGAGGCTGAGCTCTGGGAGCCCACCAGACTGCCCCGCTCATGCACCATCTAAACTGGGTTGACTCAGAAGGTTCTGTCGTCCGTGCTGAGCTAACCTCTGCGGGCTGAGAGCTGGCGCTCCTAGTGGGCAGGGCCGCCCAGCCGGGTCTCCGAAAATAAGCCGAGGGCTGAGCCTGGTTCCTCACCTGGGATGGGCAAAGACAGTGGAAGACCATGAACGCAGAGAGAGGCAGACTCTCCCAAGACGTTAGACCTTGGCCAAACCATTCTAAGGACTCGTTCCCAAAACAACCCGCCAAGCCCCGCTGGGGACATCGCCAAGCCTTGCACATTCAATAGGCACAAAAGGCAATTTATAGCGAAGTCAGGACAAATGGTGCCCGGAATACCCTCCGGCAGGCTCCCTGGGGGGAGGCCTCAGGGCGCAGCTGCTGGCAGGAGGTGGAGTTGGCGTCCAAAGTACCTCCTAGTCTGTGACCATGGCCGTGTGCACCAGGCTATTTCCACATCTCAGGTAATGATCTATTTATCTCCGCCTTAACTCATCTGCTCAAACTAGAGCATCTATAGCGCTCCAGCCACGCGCCAGGCATGGAGCCAGCTGCAGGGCACACCGACAGGCGGCTGGCAGGTCAGGCTCGCTGTCCTCCAGCACCCCCGGCGGCCTGTGCACGGGAACCGGACACGCAAGGGCTGGGAGCACAGAGTGGCCGAGACAGCCTCCTCGCATCTCTGCTGCCCAGACTCCCCTCCTCCTCAAGCTGAGGCCCTGCTTAGCCTTCAGCCCCCCACCTGCACCCCCGCCTGCCTCCACTCACCCTGGCCTGGGAGGAAGCCCTCCACCCGCGTGCTAGAACCCAAGGACCACATGGGAGGCCTGTCCCTCCCCAGGTGAGCTGGTCTTTGCTCCGCTGTGTCAAGTTCAACTGTTCACTGCCTTCACAGCTCCGGGCACAGAAAGGTCCTGCACTCACATGGGCAACACCTGAGCGGAGACGCTGAAGGGCCGGCTGGGCGGGGATCGTCGTGGTGCCATCATCAGGGAGTTTCACAGACCCCCACCATGGGGCTTCCCGCCAGGGCCCTGCAGCCTCAAAGCCACCTGGGAAACTCCCTGCTCAAAGCAAGCCTGTGTCTACTCACTGCCCAGCAGCAGCTGTTTCTGAATCGCCCCAGGGGTGGGCACCCCCAACCTCAGCAGCCACGCCTGTGAATCCTCTCAGCTTCTCCGCATCTGCCCCAGTGCCACCTATGGGCTGCAGGGGCCAACCATGGGTGAGGGGCCTTGCACGCCCTGCTTCCCACACTCTTGACAGTGGATGGGGTGGGGCAGGTCAGAAGCACCCAGTGGGGACAGGTAGAGACAGCTGCTCGGCCTGAGAGGGCCCCTTCAGAGAGGGGTTCACTTTGCTCCATGGAGCCCAAAGGATGGGACTCAGGTACAAGGGAGCATGGTGAGACCTCCCGCAGGGCAGGTGAGAGGTAGACCAGAAACACAGTGTGGAGAAGGCCCCAGAAGGCCTGGTGTCCACAGCAGCCGCTGGGACAAACCATCTCCTCCCCAGTTTTGAAAAAACAAAGGATGGGGGCCTCCCTAGTGGCGCAAGGGTTAAGACGCAGCCTATGAAGCTGTCCGCAGCCTCTGCAGCACGAGTTCGATCCCCGGCCGGCCAGGGAGAAACCCACATGGCGCAGCAGACCTCTCCTGTCTCTCCCGCTGCTCCCCTCAGCAGTGTACTTTGGTCAATCTGCCTGTTCTGTTCCCCACTCTGTCTCTGGTGAATCCTCTCACCACCTGCACCTCTGGCCTGCACCCCAGCTCTTGTGTGCATAAATAAATCTTCAAAAAAAAAAGAAAAAAAAAGGATGACTGACCAAGCCCCACAGGCCTCCAAGCAGGGGACTTTGCAGCCTCCACCCACCTCCCCGCCCCTTGGCTCTCGGACAGATGGGCACACAAGATAAGGTTCTATTTGCTGCTTCCAGTCCTGGCCACAGTCTCTCCATCAGCTTGTGGCCTGGGATCAGCCGCTTCTGTGTCCAGACTCAGGGTCATGTCCCCAGATTTGGCCACAGGGCCAGAGGCCAGAGCCCAGGAAAGCCGGGAATGGGTGCCAGCCTGGGCCCTGAAGCCTCGTGGGAGCAGAGGGCACCCGGGATCCCGCCACAGGCTCCCAGGTCCCAGGGCAGGGGCAGGGCTGCCAGTCCGGCCCCTTGTTAGCTCCAGTCCCCTGAGTATGGAGGTGGCTTCCTGGAACGCCTGGCCGCATTCCTGCGGCACTTTGGTGAGGCTGGCGGGAAATCACAGCCAGATGTCAGGGAGGAACAGCTGGCGTGGCCTCCCCGCCCTCCTCTGGACACAGCGGCTGGTGACGGCAGAGCTGGCACTGGAGAGGGGCTGGGGCCTGGGGTCTCTGCATGCCTCTACCCAGAGCATCCACCGGGGCTGCACTCCCAGACCCCACCTGCAGCCTGGACCAGCTACCCCCCCTGCTGCCCCCCACCGGCAGCGAGAAGCAGCCAGGCTCCAGGTTCACCACGAGCTGCCTGATCTTCCGGCCTCGCGAGAGCGTGACTACATGCCTGCGGGCTCCGGCTGGCGCCTCCCCAGTTCCTGACTTCCAGCCTGCCTCCACTCACCCCAGCCCTGCCGCGAGCCCGTGTTCTCAGGAGACGCCCCCATCTCTCGGGGTCTCCCTGTGTGCCCTGCCAGTCTACTTCCTGGCTCAGCCCCATGTCCACGCCCCGAGCACCCCCGGGTCCCTGGGCTCCTGCTCACGTCTCCGTCCTCACCTGGACCCTGGCTGGCCTCACGCAGCTCTGGGGTACCAGCCTTATGTTCCCGAACATCCCTTCTGCAGCAGCCCAGGGCCTCCGGGTGAGGAGTCCGTGGTGCAGGTGCCCCCTGACATCACATGACCCTGAAAGAGTGAGCCTCATTCGGGGTCTCATCCTCCCACTCTGCCCAGCAGGTGCACCCAGAGCCCAAGCCTTTCCCTGAAGCTTCGACGCACAGGCCCGGGGTCCCGGTGAGGGTGAGCGCAGAACAAGAACGCACCTTCTCCCGCCACTGGAAGTAAAATCACCATGTGAATGTGCAGTCCCCTCCCCGAGCTGGGGCACTTGGCAAGACGCAGTGCCCGTGGGAGCGGGTCTCGCCCAGTGGATGGTGCTCTCCCTCCCGGCAGGTGGCACCAGGGACCCAGTGCTGGCCACCCAAGGCCCCACAGGGGGCAGCGGCTAGGGAGGATGCGGACTCCTGCCTGGCCTTAGCACGCCTTCTACTCCCACTAGGGCAGGAATTCCTGCCGAGGCCTGGGCAGAATTTAAGGATGCCCGGGAAACCCCTCAATGACAGGCAGAGGAAGCATATGGAATGCAGAGGGTACAGGAACATGGCGCGTGGACAGCAGGTGCTGGCCCATCACTGCCAGCGACCCCGCAGCCGACCCCTCCGTGTCCGCCCCTCTCCAGACAGGGTGCCTGTCCCCCTTTTTGTCCATGGAGAGAGGGTCAGAATGAGGTCACGCCTGGCTGGCGGCTTCTCCGAGGGTGAGCAGGCAGGGGGGCTGGCGCCATGGCTCCCCGGCCCGTCCTCTGCCGCCTGCCCGCCTCGCTGGCACCTGCACTTCTCCTGGGAGGACTGCAGGCCAGGCTGAGGGCCGCCTGGCGCTCAGCACAGGGAGCCCCAGTGCCCCTCCAGGCCGGCAGCCCATTCCCACGCAGGGCGCGACGCAGGCTCTGGAGAGCGGGGGGCTGAGGGCCGGGGTGGTCATG